ATTCAGCTCGTCCACTGACTGGAGGCCCTGCAGGCTCACTGCATTGTTGCACTTTGACCTCTCAGGATCGACTTGGCATCGGTTCAGCTTCAGCTCCACGCCGCCCGGTTGAAGCTGATCGATTAGCGGTGATCATCAGCCGGTTTAGCCTCTCTTGACTGAATAGTAGCTCACAGTGTGTGTTTGTGTTAGCATTTAATAATTGTGTTAGCGGCGGATGCGGCACACACTGTAGCAAAGCTCACATCTCATTTAAAACACCACAAAACATTCAGCGTTTGTCGCGTTAGCCAAGAAACTGATAGCATTGCAATTACAGCGTTGGTGTTAATTTTCTTTTATGTCTTTATTGCTATTTTCTCCCGTTACCTGCAGATTCCCTCGGGCACATAACGCATAACTATAACTATCATCAATTAATCCCGTCGTTAATTCGGTTGTCTTTTGTTTAAAGGTGTAGGATGTAGTCACCTGCTCCAAACAGAAATCCTTAACCTCTGTTGAAAGTGTTAGTTTATTTTTGGATATTTTAAACTAAATAGCTTTTTAGTATGTAGACAAATTGAAGACACAAATTGGTGGTTTTATGAGGAGTTGGGGGGATAATGGCCCTGGGGTGGTGGCTATGTTGCCAGGCAACCAGCTGAGAAACAACTCGAGCTACAGCTCTCTACACAATGCACAATCATGCTGTTATTACTCTTGGCAAGAAATACGTTATTTAACCATTTAACTCATGCAAAGAGGGATCGAGCAATAGTCAAGATGGGTGTCAATTCATTTTTCTGTTTGACTAGTTGATTAACTGTCATTTCATTTAAAATCTAAACGCACTGGTTATCCTGGGACATATGCAGCGCCGCGCTGTTCCCATGAATCAACTTGTGAATGGAGACTTTCTTCTCCGTGCAGCTACAAATACTTCCCGTGTTCTCCGTCACTGCTCTGGTTCAGTGAGCATGTTGGACTCCAGCCAGCAGGGGATATATCAGCGTTGCACAAAAAGAACCTGCTCCCCCCCCAAAAAAAAGAATTGCCAGAAGGACAGACAATGCTTTCTTGAGTACAGTTTAAAACGAGTTGACTCCTTGTATGCCTGTCTCCCTTTTTGTGTAATCCGGTTAAGTGGGAGCAGATACAGTGAAGGAAAACAAATGCATTTGGATAATTACTTCAAACATTGTTTGTGGCCTGTCAATAAGATTAAAGCTCTCAAGAAATGGAGAAACTCTCAAGGGGCAAACATGTCTGTGTTTTGTGTACGTGCTTCTGGCCAGTTTGCGTGTGTAGAACCCTAAAAGAAAAGTAAACGCTACGCTGAATACTGCAAAAAGGCCCAAACTTCAATACCGCTTTGTAATGTATCCAATGCATAGTGGTGAAATCTTTACTTTTGCTTTTGTTGAGGCTTCTTGAGGTAAACAACCCGTCATGAAAAGCTGATTCGGAGCATTTAACCATTTCACATTGTTTTTCCGGCTCACCGGGATGATTCTCTCGGGACATACGAAGGTGCAAACTTTCAGCTTTCGACTCATCCGGTTGATGTTCAGAATGTGTGGTTTGGTTTTACCCTGGTGGTTTGTGGGTAATGTAGTTAAGGAGTCTCTGGTTCTGCTGCGTCATCTCTCTCTCTCTTGTTTACCAGCTTTCGCTTCAGTGCACCGAGTCCCCCCCGGAGTGAACAGGACACATGGTAATGTGCTCGTTTAGCCGGTGGAAAAACTGCATTTTCAATCTTTGGACTCTTGTGTTCCATGACTCATTATTCATTGTGTAACGTCTTGTTCCAATAACTTTGACTTTGGCCTGCTATCGAATTCGTATGAGGACTCTGAGGATTGTTTGTCTTAAACTAAGCAATAGAATATGCACATTTTAAGCTCTTCAGAGACATTTGCATTTTAGCTTTGACATTTTGGACCTATTCTCTTTAAAAAAAAAAAAAACTATTCAGTCATTGCAGCTCATGCAAGGAAAACTAATGTGCACTTGGGGGCTTTTCTTGGAAATGGAGATAAAACATTGCTCAACTTTACTTTCCTACAAAAAGGCAAAAGGCATTTGGCGCATATTCCAAAGAAAGATTCATACTGTAACAATCATTTCTAGTTTCTATTCTCTCCCTGCGTGCACCTCCGCCGCCCCCTTATCTGTTGCTCCTCGTTGTGCCTCTGGGACGCTCGCCCTCACTGGCCCCGCCTCCTGCGACCTCACTGAACCCTCTGATTGGTCCGAGCTTCCCCTCCACGTCCCCGCAGGGCCGTCCCCCTTTTTGCTCCGCCAGTGACTCCCTGTCAGTCTGTTTGGATTACTGTAACAGCTCGGGCCTCTCACATGGGCTGCACTCTCCTCTCAACGCACATTACACACACACACACAGACACAACTACAACTGATCAGAGGTGAGAAGGATTAGGTGACCGAGAGCAGCGTTTTGTTTTTCACCCCCCGGAGAAGAAGAAGAAGAGGAGGAGGAGAGGAGCGGGGAGTAGCCATGGAGTTCAAGTAAGTGGGATTGTTTTGGATTGAAGGATGGAGAGGAGGAGTGGAAAGAGTGAGCAACTGATGGACAAATAACATGAGGAACGAAGAACACGTATTCTTTACTCCCATCAGACGTGATGTAAGTGTGCAGGTGTGCACTTCACTGTACGCTCGCAAGAAAAGATTTGCTTTGCCCTCATTTCCTGTTCTGTCGGGCTCTCTGGCACCAGCTGATCCCTCTGGAAGCCAAGAAGGTGCATCATGTGATGAGAAGAAAGTCCATGTTATTATGTAACCTATAGGTTTTGCTCCAATGGCTTTGGATGTGTTTGGTGCTGTAACCCTTGTTAATGCTTGCTGCAAGCTGCTTTTATTTAGGATGTAGGTAGAAATACAAACTTTTTTCATTGCCATAACCAAGACGGTTGGAAAACAACTTCTGATAATTAAGTGTTGTGAATTTAAGAGCTGGTGGAAGGCAGATTATTTTATATTTAACATTGTTTCATCACTGAAAAACAAAAAAACGCTGAGTCCAGTTGTTGTCCTTACATGCATTAACGCACTCAGACAGCCAGACAGGTCAGAGCCTTATCTTGTGTCACCAGAATGCACTGTTGACAGAGTGTGTATGTATGTGTGTCACTAGATATAAATGTGTGTATATATATATATATATATATATATATACACACACATTTATATCTAGTGACACAAACAGCCTCTCTGAAAAATGGCACTTTAAACATGTTTTAAAAATCATCATCAAAGTTGATTTAAAATAAAAAATGTATCCCAAAGAAATCTCTTAATGCCCAAGCACAGTACAAACTAAGCTAAAGCTAAAACGGTGTTCCCCAAATTGCTTTTGAGGTCTTGACCCCCCCCCCCCCCACCCCCCGTCCACCCAAATACCAGGACACTTTCATGTGGTTTGCAAAGAGCCTTTTCTAATCTCTCATCATCCTGTTCCCAGTGGATGATTTAGATTAGCATGAGACTGTTCTTATAATTTAGGAGCGAGGGTTATGCAACCCCCTCCAGCATGGAAGGCGTTTGAAAACGCTACGTATACCCTTCACTCTTTTTAAAGTCAGCGTTTTAATTATTTAGCAGAGCTGCTGTTAGATACTTACATCTGTGCAGTATTTTTTAATTATTGAGCTGTTTGAGCACTGATGAGAATGTGCGGTTACCATGGCGATAAGCCTGATAGACCCACCATCTGGCTTTAGGTGCTGAGAGGATTTAAAACACAATAACGGCTGACATCCATTTGAATGATTGCGTAGTTTCTTTATGGCCTTTAGTACCAGTCAGGGCGGCATGTTGTCCTCTCCCGATCACGGGGATTTTATGAGTAATGAGAAGTAATATACGCCTTATCTTGTGCCCCCAGAATGGACAGTTGGCAGATACGGCGCCACGTGACACATTCATTCAGAGTGCAGCCTTTCTTTCTCTGGGGCTGTGAAATGTGCTGTAGGACATTGATAGCACGGCCCTGCTTGTGCTTTAAGGTTGATTTGATGCCGTTGGCCTAGCTTAGCATAAAGACCGGAAAGCGGGTGAAACGGCCTCAACAAACTTCAAAAGCACACATTCTAGCCACGACGGAAGAACGACACTGACCGGTTTAGGCCGTGAACTGGACGGGCTTAGATGACAATTTGTACGCTCGTGGTTCCCTAGATTCTCTCCGTGCAGCAGTGAAAGTTTATTATGGGTTAACGTGGTGCTTTCTTTGTTGCAAGAAGAGTTGTTTCTGTTCTATTCCAGCGACTAAGTCTGCTGGAAAGGCGGTTTTGGCTGCGGTCTTTGAAGTGTCTTAATGCATCAGCGATGATGTGTTTGTTGAGTGTCGGCCCCCGCGTACAGGCCCTCTACTGATCGGCCCTTCTGTTGCTGTGTGTCGCTCTGACCGAGTTTTGGCGGACATTAGCACGAGATCACTGGAAAGGCCTCGACGCTGCCGGCGCGAAACCGCTCTGTCAACATCGGCCGAGGTTCTTTTCTTTTAATGGAAAAGGTCAAAACGCTGAATCTGAAAGAGTCGCTTCCCCGATGTTATTCGCTGACGGACGGAGAAGGTTGATTACTCGGCATGTGAAAGGATAATAACATTTAAATTAATTAAATTAAGCAGCAGAATAGACAAACACCTCATCCAATGGCATTATGTTTCATTCTGAAGGACGTCATTGGCGTTGGAGATGGAGGAAATGCTAAAACTCTGATCATATGTTTTAATTTATCTCCTTAAGAACAATTTTGTGGTTTCTTTTGTGTTTTTGTATCTTAAATGGCTTCTCCCCGTCCAGGGTAAACCTAATATTTAATGCCGATTTTTTTATTTCCTTCTCTGTTTTGCTCCGTCATTGCAAGTACAGTGAGTCAGCATCTCTTTCTCTCACACACACACACACACACACACACACACACACACACACACACATACAGAGAGAAACAAAGCTCACTTCAGCTTTCAACTACATTGACTGTGGCGGGGACCCATGACTGCTGTCCTCCTCCTCCTCCTCCTCCTCCTCCTCTTTTCCCTCTATTTCTTTTCTGCTTCCATTTGTTAGGTAACCGTCTGTCAGCTCACACTCGCTCACACTCTCCTGATGTCGCACACGCTCGCTGCACCGCAGTGAGACAGCATTTATTCCAGAGAGAGAGAGAGAGAGAGAGAGAGAGAGATGCATGGATGTGATGGACTGAGACCGAGGATGATGGCTCACTGAGCGAGAGTAACGGAGGGAGGCGTCTGAAGAGATGATGTCAAAGCCGACAGGCAATCGGGGCTAAAACGACCCTCGTCGACTTCTCTGCGCGCACACACACACACACACACACACACAAACGCAGCGGTCGACCCTCAAACGCACGCTGTTGTCTCCTACTCGCCTGCAGCGGAGAATCGTGGGGTTTTTTCGGGTTTCGGTCTGCCTGCCGGAGTGGACGACGCCTGTTGATCGGCGCACGGATGTAGAACTGTGAGTCTTTTTTTATTGGGGAAAAGCTGTGGATTGTTTCAAGCTTAAATTCCTGCATGTTTAAAACTTGGAGTGTTTCCTCCTCCAGCCTCCATCGTGTGCTTTGTTGTCCCGCGTGTCCTCCGCTGCGTGGTTAGTTGACAGCTCCATCCAGCAGGAATCGGATGTGATTATGTAAGCGCAAAGCGAGGCTGCTGCACCCACCGCCTCCACCCACCATCCACCCCTCTGTGCACCGTCAGCACAGGGCCTCTTCTGGCTGCCTGCAGGATTTATTCGTTTCACTTTTCTAAGGTCCCATTTGATGCTCCGTTAAGTGTCCCGTGGAGCCGGTGAATGATTTGCATCCAACCCGAACACGTGTGTTATCATTCAAACCCCTTTTTATGACACATTTCTGAATGTGGTGTTGAACTCCGTCCTGCTCAGATGTGAATCTAGTCAGTGATTGTTGAGGTTTCTGCAGGAACTGGTGTCTTCTTCCCCAGCTTCGCGAAGAGGTGTTTGTCAGCCTGCAGCAAACGCACACCAGCAATGTGACACAACTGACCCGCCGACAACACCCCAGCTTCATTGTGGCTCTAATTTTCCGACTCCTAAGTTGGAGGCTTTTGTGACGGGAGCAGAACGAGAGAAGGCTCCGTAGAAAGAAGTTCAGTCCCCCGGGGTTCTCCTGTCGTCGGCAGAGGTGTCCCGATTCTGTGTCCGGCTTCAACGAGGAGAGACGATAAAAGCACTGACACACTTTCTGTGTCTTGTGAGCTGCTGGATAACGTCACAGAAAAGTCCAACTCCGAAACCCGGCATCGTAAATACGCTGTGTGGTGGCGTTAAAGTGTTTTTATTTTTGTAGGTTAAGTGGTTCCGCCTCTCGCCGATGAGGGCGGAACACAGAGGGCGGCGCTTTCACTTTGTTATCAAATATTTAACTAGTGCTTTTTCTCTGATTTACGCCGACTGTGATGCGCTGCTCCTCGGCATCGAGGTCGAGAGCCAACCGAGATTAATTCATCCAAATGTAACTTCACAGAACTTCATGCATTGATTTATAGGATGTTTTTTTACGTGTAGTCCTATAGCGCTGTAGGGCCCCAGTAAATTAACTCTATAACTGGATACAAGAATGAAAAGACATACATACCCCCGTCTCTCTTGACCCCCGCTACCGAATGAAGGATGCTGAGAGCCAACCTTCATCTTTGCATCTCGGCCCTGTCATCCTGTCTCACCCTCCTCCCCCCTCCCCCTCCCGTTTCTCTCTGCAGGGTGCCGGGGAAGCGCGGGAGGGACTCCCATGTCAGAGTTTCAGGATGGCCACTGAAGGCTCCACTATTCCCAGCCCCGTGGTGCGACAGATTGACAAGCAGTTCTTGATCTGCAGCATATGTCTGGACCGCTACGAGAACCCCAAAGTGCTGCCCTGCCTGCACACCTTCTGTGAGAGGTGAGTGGAGTCGCCGCCACGCGACCTGCGCGTTTCGACCCCGTGAGTTATGTGCAACGTAATCGGGTCTCGAACCCGGACGTCTACCTGGCAGGTTTTCTGCGACAGAGGGATGCTGCAGGTGTGAGATGCAGCAATAATGCTCAATGGGTCGCGCAGGGTTTTGGCAGATTTGAGTATTGTTTCACGCGAGACGCCGCTCTGCTGTCGGGTGCGTCGGTGCCGTCCTCTCTGATAAATGGCCTTTTGTTTCTGACACAAACGACTGATTCTTGTCCTCTGGCTGCTTCTGGAGAGGCTTTTAAGCTGTCAAATTGAACGATATAGCAGATTCTATATCTGTTTCGCACATTTCTGCAGTAAATTCCCTTCTCCGTAATCGGTAAGAGGAACCCTTTTACGTAAATTCCTCCTATTTTAATACTTTTGATCCGAACTGATCACATTTGTTGTGAAGTTAAAATCGAAATGCGATGTGTCTTTCATAGTTTTTCGTCCTTGGTTTTGATTTATTGGATCTGCCTTTTATAACTTATAAAAGCCCATATACTGACATGGTTTGTAATAATTGCAAAATAGATTCTACAGGATTTAAATTACATTACATGTCATTTAGCTGACGCTTTTATCCAAAGCGACTTACAATAAGTGCATTCAACCATAGAGATACAAACTCAGAATAACAAGAAACAAGTGCAATTTCATCAAATAAGACAATTTACAATTTGCTATACATAAGAGCCATTACAAGTACAATTTAAGTGCTACAGTTTGTTAGTCTTTTAGTCGAGGTAGAGTCTGAGGAGGTGTGTCTTTAGTTTGCGGCGGAAGATGTGAAGGCTCTCTGCCGTCCTGGTGTCTTCAGAGAGCTCGTTCCATTTCAAGGACAGCGAAGAGTCGAGATCTAGTCGAGTGTTTTGCTCTCCGTGAGGGAGGGACGAGCAGTTTAGCAGATGCAGAGCGGAGAGTGCGGGTTGGGATGTCGGGTTTGACCATGTCCTGGATGTAAGCTGGACCCGATCCATTCACAGCCTGGTACGTGAGCACCGATGTCTTGAACTGTATGCGGGCGGCCACCGGTAGCCAGTGAAGAGCCTGTTTTGGGAGTTTTTCCTGTGCCGATGTGAGGGGTTGCGGGACAGAGGATGTCGTATGTGCACAGACTGTAAATCCCTGTAAATTTGTGATTTTGGGCTATACAAAATAGAATGAATTGAATTGAAGAGAGCGGAGGAGTGTGGGAGAATTTTGGAAGGTTGAAGACCAGTCGAGCAGCTGCTGGTGAACAATCTAATGCAACCCTGCGTTGTATAAAGATACTAAATGCCCCCCCCCCCCTCTCCCACCTGTTGTCCCCCATCCAGGTGCCTGCAGAATTACATCCCTCCCCACAGCCTCACACTGTCCTGCCCCGTGTGCCGCCAGACCTCCATCCTGCCGGAGAAAGGCGTGGCGGCGTTGCAGAATAACTTCTTCATCACCAACCTGATGGACGTGCTGCAGCGGGCGCCGGGCAGCCGCAGCCAGGAGGCCGCCGCCCTCAGCGACGTCGCCACCGTGGCTACGGTCCGACTGCTGTCCTGCCCCAACCACGCAGGCAACGTGAGACTCCGACGCATCGGGCGGGTTTCTGTTTGTTAGACTTTGACATGAAGTTCAGAGCTTCTCTCTGCTGGAAGATGTCCGCTTTAAAAAGATTTATATCATGTTTTTGCAGACAGGAAATTCAGCTGAGCCAAACGCCAACATCAGCTCTCATTGATGAAAAATGGCAACGTGCAGATGTTTTGTAGGTGTGATGTTTACCATGATCCTCTGCTAATTTACACCAAAGACGACACAGCCGAGGCTGATGAGGAGATGATATCCTCCGTTCTGGTGGTATTTGGTCATAAACAGACGTATTTAAAAATACTCTTAATGGGTCGAGGAATCAACAAGGCTGTTGGAATCCAAAAAGTACGTCCTCAAACTGTACAAAATGTCACGGCAATCCACCCAGGGGTTTAAGATAGTTCAGACCAACAAATGTTGCCGTAAGCCAGGCTGCAAGGAGGCCAAATTTTTTGTTTACCAACTTTCATTTTTCCCGCTGCTTAGCTGATGGAATTTTACTGCCCGCCCTGTGAGACGGCCATGTGTCAGGAGTGTACGAGTGGGGAGCACGGAGAACACCCAACCGTGCCTCTTAAAGACGTCGTGGAACAGCACAAGGCCTCGCTGCAGGACCACCTGGACGCTGTCAAGAAGAGGTACGGCGGCAGCATCACGCAAGACTCCTCACATTCGCCTCCTCCCTCCTCCCCCTCCCCAAGTAACAGCCGTCACAACGTTCACTGTCCTGCCAGGTTGCCCGAGATCAGCTCAGCCCTGCAGACGCTGTCGGAGATCCTGCAGCAGCTGACCAATCAGAAGAGCTCCATCGAGGACGGCATCCACGCCACCTTTGACGAGCTGCAGAAGACCCTGAATGTCCGCAAGAGCGTTTTGCTGATGGAGCTGGAGGTCAACTACGGCCTCAAGCAGAAGGTGAGGGCACGCGGCCCAAACGTGCCGGGTCGCGCCTTTTATGTTCGGTTTAGACTTTGCTCTCTATAACGCTATAGAAAGCTTTCAATCCATCACAGTTTACTCGTCAGGCTGTTCCGGTATAGGCCGGTCCGCTCTCAGGGAGCTGCAGTCCATTGGCTCCTCCTGTCAAAACACTGCAGCTCAAGGGAAAGTGGGAAACGTGACGCTGGTGGCCAGATGGAGCCGGTGTGCTGCTCTCTGGGTGTGTCATGTGACCTCCGCTCCGCGTGAGAAAAACCCTTTCTGCTCCTGTCTACTCTCGCAGCACGCTACCTTTCACAGCCACAGAGTGTGAATTAGTATAGAGAGGGCGGGATAGTGGAGGGTGGGACACCGTGGACTTAGATAGATGGCTTAATGGCCTCTCGTGGTGGAGAAGAAGAGAAGTGTGATCTTCTTCTTTTAGAAATATGACTTTATTGTATTAGTTCATTGTTATTATGACCGGTTTCACTTTCTAATGTCAGAAATGAGTAATTAGCTCTCTGCTGCCCCCCGGTGTGTGTTTGTGTGTACTAGGTGCTCCAGGCCCAGCTGGATACGCTGCTGCAGGGCCAGGAGGGCATCACCAGCAGCTGTGACTTCACAGAGCAGGCCCTGAGCCACGGCACCGAGGCCGAGGTGCTGCTGGTGAAGAAGCAGATGAGCGAGCGTCTCGCCGAGCTGGCGGGCCAGGAGCTTCCCCTGCGGCCGGGAGAGAACGACCAGCTGGACTTCGCGGTGGAGACGGAGGGGCTGAAGAAGTCCATCCACAACCTGGGCACCATCCTAACGACCAACGCAGTGGCCTCCGAGACCGTGGCGACGGGCGAGGGCTTGCGGCACTGCGTGGTGGGCGTCCCCACCTCCATCACCATCACCACCAAGGACAAAGACGGAGAGCTGTGTAAAATGGGCAACGCGGTCATCGCCGCCGAAATGTCCTCCCCCGATGGGAGCAAAGGGGAAGGGGAGATACTGGACAACAAGAACGGCACTTATGAGTACTTGTTCACAGCTCCCAAAGAGGGGACTTTTAACTTATCGCTGCGTTTGTATGACCAACACATCAAAGGGAGCCCCTTTAAGATAAAGGCCACCAAATCCATCGATGTGTCGCAAACTTCAGAAGGCGTCAAGAAGAGGCTGAAGTCTCCGGGCAGTGGACACATCAAGCAGAAAGCCATCAAGAGGCCGGCCAGCATGTACAGCACGGGGAGGAGGAAAGAGAACCCCATCGAAGACGACCTCATCTTCAGAATCGGTGAGAAATATTTTACACGCAGTGTTTTAAAATCCATGAAACCCAATCGAATATTTTTAAAGAATTTTTTGAAAAAGAAATCCAAATATGTTGACCGGAAAAATATAATATATTAGCTAACACCTATGGATTTTTTCACTTTTTTTCCATGACATTTTTCAACTCAACATATATGGCCTCTTTTTCAAAATATTTTTGGACATAATATTTTTTGACCTTTTTTTCTGTGACATTTTCCAACACCCCTATTTGGACTTTTTTTTCCCCAGTTTTTTCCGACCCAACATATATGACCTTTTTTTCAAAATATGTTTGGACTAGTTAATAATTTTCCTTGACATTTTGTCTCTTTATTTTGATGTAGTATCTCTTTACATGCTCTAGCAATAACATGTGTGAAAATAAAATTCAAATTTTTAATATAAGCTTGACATTGAGTTCAAGACCATCAAGTCAAATCTTCAGTCTGATGAATGAATGAACAAACAACTGAAAAATTGGCCAATTGATTGAACTGCTTATACAATATACATAGTTTCAAAAGGGATATCAAACAATTTAAACAACTACAAATATACGGTCTCACCCAAATGCCAATACAAAGATAGCTCTAATCTAATAAACATTTATGCACAAGTTCTCATCACATTACGCCTTTATTGAATAAATAAATATATAGTAGTCTGTGTAGTGCATTAATATATTTCATGTTTTTTAAGGCACGAAGGGAAGAAACAAAGGGGAGTTCACTAACCTGCAGGGAGTGGCTGCCTCTTCTCTGGGAAAGGTGCTGATAGCAGACAGCAACAACCAGTGTGTTCAGGTACAAAACCCACCTGTGCTGAAGCTGCTCTCCGCCTACACATCCAGCAGCATGACGTATGTTGACTGTGCTCCCTTTGCCATCTCTCTGGAAATAAGCTGCAGTCGGGCCTTTTCAGAGCCTTGATAGTTTTAAAACAATGAACACAAAACCGCCGCATCTAACAGTTTCTTGTTTGTATTCATTTCAACATCTTTTACCACGTTCTGTGTGCCGCAGATTTTCTCCAATGACGGCCATTTCAAAAGTCGCTTTGGCGTGCGCGGCAGGACGCCGGGTCAACTGCAGCGGCCCACCGGCGTGGCCATCCACCCAAACGGTGACATCATCATTGCCGACTACGACAACAAATGGGTCAGCATCTTCTCGAGCGAAGGCAAGTTCAAGGTAAGTCGGGATTTCACGTCTTGTCCGTCGTCGTTATTGTAGCATCTGATCTACTGTTGGAAAAAGAAAATCTGCAGGTTTTCTTTTTTTTAATAACTAATAACTGACTACATGTATAAAAGAAAAGGTTCTTTACACTGACACTACACCCTGAGTTTCCTGCATTAAACTATGTAAATCCCCCAAACAGAACAAGGTCGGCTCGGGGAAGCTGATGGGCCCTAAGGGCGTGTCGGTGGACAGGAACGGACACGTCATCGTGGTGGACAACAAGGCCTGCTGCGTCTTCATCTTCCAGCTCAACGGCAAGCTGGTCACCAAGTTCGGTAACCGAGGCAACGGCGACAGGCAGTTTGCAGGTACACTCAATGGTAATATGTGCACCTCCCCCCCGCCGCGGTCTCACCAGCGCGCACGTGCATGTGGAATGAAGACGAATGCCGAACGCGGAACCATAAAGTTCCCGTCATCCTTTTTGACGTCTGAGGGTTTTTCAGAATAAGATCTCAAAAAAAGCAAGAAAATGCGTTGAAGCGTTCTTGTTTTGTCATTAGCTTAGAAAAGAGAGATTTGCATGGAAAAGGTCCGTTGTTTTCTAAACCAAACTGCGGGTGTGAAGTTGATTAATGGCGAATATCTGAGACTTTTCTCCGTGTTCTTTTTAAGGTCCTCACTTTGCTGCTGTCAACAACAACAATGAGATAATTGTGACGGATTTCCACAACCACTCAGTCAAGGTGAGTGCAAAGTCAGCGCGGTGGAAGTGTATTACACTACTTAAAGATAATTCGTCATTAGAAATGGGGGCTTGTATGACACTTTTTGGATTTTCTTCTTCTATTGCAAATACGTAGTAATTTTTCCCCTCCTAGCATCAGATCAAATGATTGTGAATCCCAATATTGGTTGATTTATCACAATTTTACTTGTATAATATATAATATAGGTGTTCAACACAGAAGGCGAATTCTTGCTGAAGTTTGGTTCAAACGGCGAGGGCAACGGCCAGTTCAACGCCCCCACGGGGGTGGCGGTGGATGTCAACGGAAACATCATCGTAGCTGACTGGGGCAACAGCAGGATACAGGTCGGTACGAAATGTCATCGTTGAGATCTTGTGTCCTCACTTTGAAAAGTTTGAAATAGTTCTAATGTCCATGAAGCAAAAGAAGTGGGATTAAAACCTGCAATAAAGTAATTTTGTATTGTTATTTTCCACTTTAACTATTGATATTATACCTTTCAAATTGTCCACAGTCTAAGATGTGTCAAGGAATGGCCAGCAACATAGTAAAAAGGCGTCAAATTAGAAAATACAATTGTAATCCAGATTGAACGGTGGATATAATCCAATGCATGTGACGTATATGATGCTGTTATGGTCATGGGGGTATTTCTCCCCCCTGCAGGTGTTTGATGGCAGCGGTTCGTTCCTCTCTTACATCAACACGTCAGCCGACCCGCTGTACGGCCCTCAGGGTCTGGCTCTCACCTCCGACGGACACGTCGTGGTCGCCGATTCCGGCAACCACTGCTTCAAAGTCTACCGCTACTTGCAGTAGCCCCTCTCTGTCGGCACGCACACTGTACGCTGTACAGACACACAAACGCACACACGCACACTCACACGCATGCTGGCACTCGTAAGGATGGCGGATCACCCGTTTCACCGCTGGATCGTGCGGTCGTGAGAGGAACGGTCATATTCACAGATGGGTAACTAGGGGGGGGGGGGGGGGGGGGTCATTCACAACCTCGCTCACATTCCATTTGAATTCCACACATTTAGAAAAATAAAGCTTTAGTGTTGTACATATGTTAGACCTTTTTAGTTGCTGTGATGTGGCAGGAAAACTGTAAAAAAAAAAAAGTGATTGCTCTTGTTCCTCAAAACACTGATCGTACACTGTTAAGTGAGTTAAATTAAAGTAAAGTCATATCTAAGTCACCTTAAAATTAAGGGGTAATCTAGTTCCAGTGACGGCAGCTTCCTGTTACATGCTCTTAAAGGTCCTCACATTTAATAGACACACTGTAGGTAGCAGAGCATTGTAGAGCATGATTAGGCTTCTCTGTGCATGTTGTCTTTACTAATAAGTGCCAGAAAAGCTGATGTGCACAATATAAGAGAATGGTTTTAAACTGACAAACACTATATGAAGGGAAGAACTGTTTCAAATACAATACTTCTATTTATTATGTGAAAATAATTCATCGATGTGATTCAAAATACATTTAATTGAATAAACGTGGTTATTAAAGTAAGCTGATAACTTTATTTTTCTAAAACCACACAATGTGTTTGTTTGTGCAAGACAAGTGGGATTGTTTTTGTCATCAATTAAGGTACAAAACGAAAGCCACTAGACGTATGTTGATTTAAAAGTCGGGTGTGGTTCTGTGCAAACATCTCAACGGCAGAAATACTGAAAATATGATCAGTGAAATGGTGTATTCATCATGCTGCAATTCAGGTTTAATCCATTATCAGAGAGCTGTGATCACACTCACCCCTTTCCTACTAATCAGAATGTATTGATCAGTCCTCAAAAAAACACAATATATAGTTCAACTGTGTGTTGTAAAAAGGGCAGTGTGCTCCTGTTGGAAAGCCTTAGTCAAACTGTGCTCATCATTGCGTATGAAATTGGTCATCCATTTTCTACACAATCTTGTTAAATGTTTTTTTTTGCCATTGTCCTGTTTATATTTGTAATGCCAAATGGAATTAAAGTGCCCACAGGAATGAATTGTGTGTTGGGTTGATTTTGGTGTTGTGTACTTACTGCAGCTTGTGATAAGATATATTAATGATTAACTTGCATAGCTGCTGTTATCTCGTTATTGTCAAGTCCTGCCACTAATCAAGCAACGTGTGTTATTAGCCGGCAGAGGGCGTCAGAAACTCATGAGGGGAAATCAAGCGACGTCACTCTTCCCGTTAAAGTAATGCTGCCTTCACTTGCAGTCGGCAATTATGACGATTCAATCGAACAGCACGTTAAAGACACAAAACGTTGGGAACATGAACATCTTACCACGGTCCACCCCATCATATAATGATGCATCACAAATAAGACATTTTCCTGTTCGCTTTTAAAATAAATACAACTTAGCACATTGATCGTGGTAACAGCAGTTTGTTTTACAGAGGAAATTGAAGAGGAATTTACGAGGATCCTTTAAGGCAGCACAAGCATTCCGCGGGAATTTCGGACCTACGAATCATTTCTTTCCTGTTTGGGTGACAGACATTAGCGCAGTGCAATATTATCGTGAATAAGCCACTCGTGTCAGTGGACGCTGCCGCCACAGCCAACGCAATACAATGGTAAGCACATATTCCCCTTTCGTCGCTTTTGATTTTGATAGTGCTCTCAGAGACAACCGACGCTTACCTTCATGTTAGTATTATCAAGCTAGCTCCGAGCTAACGAGAGCGTCAGTTAAGACGTTAAGATGCTAACACGTCCGATATTAAAGTTACACACTTGTCAACAACGGTCGTGATTTCACGATGTATATAGATTACTTTAATTGGCGTGGTTGTTACCCTTGTTTCATTAATGGGAGGGCATGTCTCTGATCTGCAGCCTCGTCAGTCTGTATATTACAATAAGCTTTCGGTCAATTAGCCATTAGCCTGCAGCACCAATAATACGTCATAAGGTCATACGCAATTACGTCATGTGTAATATCTCGCCGAGTGCAGTGTTGCCCAGTGGTGTCTGTGGCGACCCGAAGCTGTGTACATCAACAACAGGGAAGATCACACGTCAATCAATCCGTCGCACTGTGTTTACTGTAACTTCAGTATGGTGGCATGTTGGTAGCTGACGTTATGTTAAATCTGTCCCAGTCAAAGAAGAAAGGACTCAGTTTGGAGGAGAAGAGAACTCGCATGATGGAGATTTTCTTTGAAACGGTGAGTTTTACACCCACGAGTTGTTATGTAGTATTGTTAAGTGTTGATTTAATTTAGCCGATGTTACTTTAGGCTGCCACCTCTTTGCGAGGAAGACAAAGGCCAACATGCAAACAACCACCAAAACATAAATAGACCTGCAGCGACTTGATGCTGGAGTGACACTGAGGAGGTTGTTGTGTTCTAATTTTAAACCCTTCAGCAGAGACGGAACAGTTTGTTCTTGGAGTGAACACACAACTTGGTCGTGGGGTCCTTGATAGATCGTCAACAAACACAAATAGGATCGGTTACTAATCTGGTCTTACAAAGTCAATAATATATTTCCTCTAATAGATATATTTGTTTTCATTAGAAGAGTTGTCCGTTCAAGTCTCACAACAAGTCATTTTGATCAAGTAAGAATTTGCTTGTAATAAAATAATAAAAGTTAAAGTGCTCTACAAACATTCTGTCACTATGATGACATCAAATCAGGCAAACATGTAAAAGAACAGACGGTTACTATTTTATTTTAAGCTACCAAAATAATATTTTAATGCTAGAAAATATTTGGAAAGGCATTCTATTACAGGCAAATATGCTTGGAAATAATTCAAGTAGTTCCTTTTGTGTGATAAAGACCAATACTTTTCAAAAACATGTTCTCTCTTTGTAGAAAGATGTGTTTCAGCTGAAGGACATTGAGAAGATCGCCCCGAAGACGAAGGGAATAAGTGAGTAATGAGTAATGGAGTGTTTACTTTAAGCGGTCTGTTAACGTGTGTCCAGCTCATTTGGTGTTCACATTCGCTGGCAAGGAAATATGTTTCCCCCACCGGTTGCCACTAAATAAATAAATAAATAAATAAAATAAATCTAATGGTTTGTATTGCTCTATTTAAAGAAAAGGAAAGCATGACTGTGGGAGTCTGAGCAGGAGACGGGAGAGATTTCTATGGGAAAAAAACATAATGTGCCATTAGTTAGTTTTTGCTTTGCCGTCTTTTTAAGGCCATGCACCGCACTGGTCTCATCTTCATACAAGTTGATTTAATCCACATATTGATCTAATTGTTTTTCCGCAATGAATCACTTTTAAATCTTGTGTTCATTAGAAATGTACTCATTACTATTCTTGGAAATAAAGAATTCCGCACGAAAACAAGCTTAACACTAACTGCTAATTGAATAAATGTTACCAGCCCTGCAGACATATGAACTAACTAAAAGCATCAAGGACTAAGAAGCACAACCAGACATTGGAGTTGTTTCCCCAATAGGTGAAACTTTAAAGACAAATTTGTTTCATACAATTATGAACAGAGCTGCATTATGCAAAGCAGCAATAAATACAAGAAATGCTCTTTTGAGTAAAATACCTAATAATAATAATAATAATAATAATAATAATAATAATAATAATAATAATAATTATTATTATTATTATTATTATAATAATAATTATTATTATTATATTAATATTTCCAATATTTGTTATTATTTCCAAAGACCACAAAGTCAGTGTAAACACTTGCATTCTTAAACCATTGTGGCGACATGCTTCAACATGACCAACCAGGATCAGCTCTCACTGTATTCAGTGCGTAATGCAAACGCCTCCGTGTCGTCATGGAGCTCCACGTTATGAGCGCCGAGGGGACATTTCAAATGTATATGAGAACGTGGATTTTTAAAAGCTGCAGAGGAACAAAGCTGTGTTGTGTGGGTGACCGGGGGAGTTTTTTTCTTTTTTTTCTTTTTTAAGTGGACACAACATTAATCCGGGGAAACTGGATTGTGTTACTCTGATTGAAAGCACATGTTTTGGTCTCCCTTGCTTGGGCATGATGTAGTTGGAGAGTGATGAGGGAAGGGGGTGGGGGACAATAGATCTGTGTTAGGGCACATTTTTCTGTTGAGGAAGAGAACATGTGAGAAAAGGGGCCGTGGGAGTGCACTCCGTTAAAAACTGAATAAAGAGTCACAATGACACACGGGCAACGTTTGGGAGGCCGGAGTTTAAAGGAGACCAAAAATAACACGCAAAAGCTTGGTCAAAACCATTCGGAGTGTTTTTCATTTTCAACCCTTGCTTTAAAATATTCTCTTTTGCTGCCTTCCAACATCATCTCAGTCCTCAACGCAGCGGATGAGCCCTTTCAGTTTCGCGGAGGATCGGCAGAGCAAAACGTGTGGGAGTATCGCATTTCACCGCTGACTCTGTTTGAGATGGAACTCCTGCTCTCTCACATCCTCTCACGCGGCGCGCTCGCCGATGAGCATAAAGGGACCAGATAGGCTGCAGATGTGTGGGCTCAGTCGAACATCGGGACGCTTCGCCCGTAAAAATGAGGCCTCGTGCTGACTGTTGTTTTTTCCTCCGTAGAATAAGATATTGTATTCGACACCAAAGGGATTCAACGTCACCTAAAGCCTCATAAGCTCATAACAATCACACCTCCTGCTATAAATCCTCCTTCCACAAATCACCTCCCTAATCCACAAACGCCAAACAGTGTAATAATAGAAACTGAAGGATTGTGGGTCTTTAAATGTAGGCGGTGTGCTCCCCTCCTCCCCTCTGTTGCTTTTAAGCTCCGATGTCGGTGAAGGACGTTCTGCAGAGCCTGGTGGATGACAACATGGTGGACTGTGAGAGAGTGGGCACATCAAACTACTACTGGGCCTTTCCCAGCAAGGCCCTGAACACTTGCAAGCACAAACTGGAGGAGCTGCAAACCCAGGTGAGTTTTGGTCCTGTGCCCCCCCACCCCCTCCCTCTACCCCCCAAAGCTGCAGATGTTTCCAAACAAAACTCAATCGGGACAGTTCGTCCTGCTCTGAACAGCCGGTGGCGTGCAGCAGTCCCTCCTGAGCGGAGACGGCGGATTCGAGCAGAAGTGTGTTTTCTGTAAATGAGTTCATGATGAGTTGGCCGGATCGGACCGTGCTTCTGAAAATGGGAAGAGAAAACCGGCAAGTGGTTAAATTATACATGGATTTTTTTCTCTTTTTTTTTTAATTGGTTCATTTATTTTTCAATTTGAATATTCAAAATAAACCCGAGAAATTACCAAATGCATAAAAAGCAGAAGCTCCATAATTCTGACTCAACTCTGATCATCTGAGCAGCAGAAATGAGTTGACACGCAGAGAGACACCGCTCGCCTCAGACCATCTCTGTGTCCCACTTCCTGTCCCCCGTGGCGGGGGCAGACAGACAGACAGACGGTGGGTGGGCGGCGACTCCGCAGAGATGGTCGCCGGCTCAATCGCGCAGAGCAGCGATCCGATGTGCGATAATACCACGAGCGTCACAACGTACGCAGTCATTAGATGATAATGACGTGTAAACATGACAGGAATGGAAATGTGTAGGTCTCATTACTACGGTCTGTTAACTATGTAAAATATGCATGGAAATAACACCACCTCCTGCCTTTCTGCCATTATAGTAATACCCATTTGCATCACTAACTATTAATATGGATAAACCATTCGCCTCTTATTCACTGGTGAGCCATTAGGATTTTAAGTTTGCGTGTAGGTGTTACAAGCTTTCATAGCTGTGGTCGGCGACGTGCTAACCAGACTGCTTCTCAGTGACTTTTCCACATCTTATAACCACATTGTATTATGCCGGAATACAGGAAAAGCCCTTTTTTCTTTACTTTGAAGATTTCTGAAGCGAAACAGCGGAAAGTCTCTGTGCAGAAAGCTGTGGAAAAAGCGACCGTGGGACGAGAAGATACAGTAAGAATATCCTCCGTAAAAATGTGACGTTTAATGCAATTAAAGAAAAAGGTCAACAAATCCCTGTTAATTCACTTGATAAAAACCCCTAAATGACCCGTGTCTGTGTAGGAGGAGAGAGGCGCTCTGCTGAAGGAGCTGCAGGCTCTGAAGGAGGAGCGAACTCGGCTGCAGGCCGAGCTGGAGAAGTACCGAGAGTGTGACCCCGAGGTCATTGAGGACATGAGTAAGTGCAGACGCAACGCCATCGATGACCTGAAAATGTCCCTCTTTTCTTCTCGTATCTAACTGGGTGGTATCAGCTGATGCCGCTGGATTCACAAGCTCGGTCCGTAACGTGTGTTTATTCGAGGGTTCAACGGTAGTTTGGGATCGGAAGTGGAGGCTTTTTCCGCAGACGCCAAAAAAGATGACTGACAGGAAAAAGATGGGAGACCGTATTCCAAGATCGGGGACTCGCGAAGGCGCATGGCGCTTCTTCATTTTATCTTATTCAGAGGAGTTGTGCTACGGCCAAGAGACACTCCAGCTACTTTAAACTGGCGGTTTCACACACGGGAATGAATGGAGACTTGTGCATGAGGAGCTGCTCTATTTCAGTGAAGTCTTCTGCAAACGTTAAATATGGGAGTGATAAAAATACCACTTTAGAACAAGGTGGACATTTATGTTTTCAGGTTTTTTTTCCCAAATAAAGTATTGAGCCCACACAACACGGACACACGTGTACTTCAGGGACATGAATGAAAACCGTAAACTGTAACAATGAACCAGGGCTGCAATAAAATCACCTCCTCATAGTGCTAATGACGCATGCAAAGGATGTGGAACAAACTTAATTTAATTTACTGTCACGCCAGTTCTCGCCTCTAAGCGCACTGCTGGGAACTCGATTTCATGTGCGCCGTTGTGTCCCTTTATAAAACTGCAGCATGAACCACAAACTGGTGTCGAGGTGACGCAAGCTGTGCGAACAGAGACGTGGCTTCAGCTGCCATGTCCCCTTTTTTTTTATATTTTGCAACCGTGCAACCTCTGACCTTTCAGTTTAGCGTTGAAACGCCATGGAGAAACCGCCATGGGCAGGTCACGTGACGGCCGACCTGTGGCAGACAGGCCGTGTTGCCTTGTGTGCACATGCGACACGTGTGTTGTCATAGACGTTCTGCTTGAACGTTCAATCCAACGCAACGTAAATATTGTTTTTCTCCTGACATTCGCACAAACATGACGGTAATGATTTATTACTTATTCAATTGTTGACGAAATTTGGGCCTCGTGAAATAAAGTTTTAGATTTTGTACCTTTTTTAGAGAGGGAAAGATAAAAATGACAGTTTAAGTAATAAATTCACTCGTGGTAAAACCCCAGACATTTTATAACTTTGTGTGTTCACGTGTGAATTTAGATGGCAGCAGATGCATCAGAACGTTTTTGGTTTATTACGCTCCAACGACTGGACAACAAGGTTTTTATTGAAGCTGGATTGGTCGTGCACCGCCCAGCTGGTGTGGTGAAAGGTGGAGTTCACAGGTGCACAACAGGTGTGACGCTGCGAGCAGGCCGAGTTAAGACGTCATTTAAAACCCTACTGCGAGCATTTTTAAGAGCTCTTAAATATGTTTTCCCGATTTATTTTATGGGTTTGTAATGAACATTGCGTGTTACGCGCTGGCCTCATTTATTGGCAGATATTCGATATCTTTGCATATGTCCGTGTGTCATGTCGTCGAAATGAATGTAGGATTATGTAACGCGACCATTAGTCATCCAGGCTCACAGAGGCCTGTGAGTCAGATGCTTTTCGACTGGTCGCTCGGCTGCTATTTATCTTTGTGGGTATCAATGTGTGCTTTTCATTGTTGACTCTCAATAAATGCTGACAGGGCTGTCGCGCAGAGTCGATGACACAATCGCTGAGCGTGTCCTTGGACCAAAACGCTCTTTGTTTTTTTTTTTGGGGGGGGGGGGGTTCGTTGTGACAAATTGCGACGAAATTTGCCAAACCTCGGGGAGCAGCACGCCAGTCTCACTCGCGGCCCAACGAGTGTCCGCCGAAAGTCAATGCGGATTCAATAAGCGGTGGTTTCCTGAAGCGATTGTCTCAGGCGCTTAGCAACGGCGTTTGTTACCTGCTGTTGTTTTGGATCCCGTTTTAAGTGTCACTTTAAACTTGAGCGCGATCCAGTCAGATCGCGTTGTTCGCATTTCCCAGCGGGCTGCTCCCAGCCGCAGCTGCAGGTGACGTTTGGGCTAAACTGTCCACTAAACTGTCCACTTGAGTCTTAACAGTCAACCGCCACACGTCCGTCGAGTGGCTGCAGCTACTCGACCATCTGAAGGTGGTCGTTTTGCTGCACAGCTGCATATTTGGATCCACTTCCCCCAGTGTGTTTACTGTCGAGTGGACTAGAAAATTGTCCGCTGGGCTTCTGCATTAAGCACTTGTGAGTTTGGCCTAATTCACATTCGCACCGCACGCGAGTCTTCTTTCGTGAACGAGGACACACAACGCGGACGTTGACGCTCTGTTTCTACGGCGTAACTATTTGCAGTCTTTACACAACAACACACATTGCAGACAGAACGTATAAAGCGCGTATTGATCATAGGTTTTGTTTTGCAGGAAAGTCAAATGTTGTAGCAAAAGAGGCGGTTTCCCGGTGGACAGGTGAGTCCTTCTCTCTTTTTAAAGAATGCACTTTCTGGAAAGGAAATGAGTTTAACAACCGCAGGAGAAACAAAAAAAACATTTTGGGTCTCAAATGTGGATTATTTGCGCTGCATTACACCAGTTCTTATCACAAACAAACCCTTCAAATCGTTGCATTTGAAATGCTCTGCAAAGTCACGCTGTCAGCTTTCTTTTCTCAACACACTCTTGCTTCACTTGCGTCGAGAGATTCTAATTTTTTTTTTTTTTTTTTAAAAGCTCTGAGTCATTTCCGCCTCTTTCATGACTTGTACTTCCCTCATCTGGGGCGGACAAGACTCAACCAACACATGAAGTGTTTCCTCACAGCGCGGCGTACAACAGCCGCTGTATTCTAGAAGCTTAAAAACACCAGGAACGTCGGCTGCGTTCCTAAAACGCATTCGTTGCTCTGATGAGTTCTGCGTAGAATCAACACGGCGACGCCTAAACGTCTGTGCACGTCGGAGGGAGTCTGCGTGACGGTTTCTCTTTTCAAACCAAACATTAAACATGGCCGTGTGGCTGGCGTTATTTCAGCGTCCCGCAACCGCGTCCTTTCTGTGTAATGAACCGCCCGCGGCTGCAACTTCGACTCGATTGCCCTTTGGCTCCTTTGCGCACACACACACACACTGACGCAGTTAATCACTTGCACTGGAAGTGCTCTTTGTCAGATCAGAAGTGAACGCCAGTGAGCGGCATTACTAAAGGCATGATTCAGAGATTGTTGACTTAAGACCTTGATAAGACTGGCGTTAATCCACAGGAAGCTGCTTGATTTATTCTTCAAACGCTTGTCTCCTAAATCTCTGGTTATTTGTGATTAGAGCCACAGTGACTGTTATCTGGGCTACTTATAGACTCGTGTGTGACTCAAATACTGATCGATAATGTAGTTAATATAATGTCTAGTTAATATAATGATGTGTTTTCCTTGTACGAGTTGACTTCTATTGGAAACAGACTTTCTCCAATTAAACCAAGGAAAATTCCTCATCATGCATCATCAAATCCAAGAAGTAATGTACTGCATAATATGTCTGAATAATGTTCTGCTTTAAAAATCCTTTGTACAGTGCATCAGGAAAGAGCCTATAATTATATTCAAACACCATCAAGGATATTAATTGAAGAGGAAACCGCAGTTGTTAGATGAATTGTCATCGGAGCAACAAGGCCGATGATCTTTTCTTTGGATCGAGCATCTTTCTCAAGTCAAGTGCCTTCATCCATGATGCCATAACACCGGGGGGGGGGGTGAATGCATCGATGTATTTCGTCTCATGTAAACAAAGATTTTAACTCCTGCTTTTCAGACAACGTTTTCGCCATCAAGTCATGGACGAAGAAGAAGTTCTCCTTTGACGACAGCCGCATCGATAAAGCCTTCGGGATCCCCGAGGATTTCGACTACATGGACTGAAAGCTTTCTCTTTTATCTCTTTTATTATTTTGTTCTACCAGAGCTCCTGGTCTCTGTAAGATGAATAATCCGTGTTAAAGCTTCGGTTTGAAGCCGGCGTACCGGCTCTCGGCGGTCATAGTTCACGTTCTCCATGTTTCTGTCGTGGCTGCGGCAGACAAACTCCACCGGCCGATGTGTTGCAACCAGAGAAGAGCAGCGGCGAGCATGCGCGGCTGTGAGGGCAGAGGGGCTCCTGTGAGGAACACAACCTCCTAGACTGACTTCTGGGACACCTGTTTGCATGAAAACTGAGAGCGCCACTTTGATGATGGAAAGTAATCTACACTTGACACATCTGTGGAGCCAACGGTCTGATTCAAATGGTTCGAGCAGATGGTTTGGAATCAAATCGTTGGGCTTTTTTTTTTTTTTTTCCTGGGAGGAAAAAGGAGAAATGTCTTTTGAGCCACAACAACCGCGGATGTGTTTTAAAGATACGTTACGCGTACAAATGTTGTAAATATTCCAAGTGCGTTTTCTTTTTGCTGAACCTCCTTTTTACGTTGCCCCGAATAAAATCTCCATTTCGATTTGCACGAGCCGCTTTCTGCCGTTCATTCTAAAACTTAGTGTGCAGTTTACAAACGTACAAACACGCGGCCTCCTTTCTTTTGTGTTCGCAAGTCTTTAGAAATTTTCACCGAAACGTGATGAAATCTGTCACAAAAGCACATTCCTTTTACGGCTGTGAACAAAAAAAGGAACCAGTTGTCATGACATGTCAAGTAATGACTATCGCTCTGCTTATTTTCCTCCCTTTTCTTTCTCTGCCAGACCAGCGGGAAAAAAAACGGGTTTTGGGGTGTTGTGTGCAGAGTGTTTACTCAATGACCTAGTTGACGAGGCCGGTGTACCAGTGTGTTGATTTGAGTTTTGAAAGGTCTCGTCTGGTCTTACTCACCAGAGTTTTCCTTCCAGCTGACGAACGATATGCAAATGTTTAGTTCTCAGTTGAGTCATTTTTTGAATCTGTAATGCTGTAAATATATGATGTGAAATATATATCTATATCCTTGCAAACGTATTGTGTACATATAATTTATCATAAGCTCCATTATTTATCCTGAGGTGGATAATCTGATAACATGTGCATTGTCTTTTAAGGTGTCAATCTGAAGCTTCTTGTTAAATTCTGATGAATCATTTACAATTCAGCAGAAGAAAAAAAAAAAGGAAAAATGCTGAAATGCACCGGCCACACCTACAGGAGAGTCACCTGAGTGTTCATGTGCGTACCTGCCTAACCTGTCCCAGGTGATTCATGAGTGGGACATGCCGAAGGCCCAAGCTCTCGCAGAGGACCGTGCGTGTTTTTACCTCACGGCCACTCGCTTAAAGACGGGTCTATGGTTGAATGTGACTCGTCAGCGGTGCCATAATTAGGCCGAGTTAAGACTTTTACTTTTGCCTAAAGTAGGACATATGATTATGTAACACTGAGATATTGCATGCAAGGTGCCATCAAATGTTGAATCCAGCTTTTCACAAAATGATTGATCAGTCAGAAGTAAAAATAAGTCCTGCATTCAAAACTACTTTTAGTAAAACTATTAACAGCAAAACAATTATATAAGTAGATAAAGTACTGTTCCTGCAGAAAAACATCCTCAGTGACTGATAAGATTATGTAATTGGTGAAGTACCTAAAAAGGTAAAGTACTTCCATTGCTGTGTTCAAGTCATATGGGGAAGTTCTGATCTTTTACTGAAGTTAAAATAAAAATACCATGTTTTAAAAAAACTCCAATAGAAGTAAAGCTCAAGAGTAAAAAGAGCCATTATGTAGAATGGCTTCATTTAAAAATTTTTATGCAGAATATTACTAGCACATATGTTTTTATAGTATAACTAATCCGTGTTGGAAAATAACTTGATTAAATAGAAGAGTATATTTATATCATTAAAATATCTTTGAGACTATACATTCTGCTCATTTGTACTTCACTTCGTTCTAGAGGAAAATATTGTTACAACCAGTACCTCCAGTACCTGTGATGTCCATGGGGTAACTGGCCTTCCCCCAATGTCAGCTGGGATCGTCTCCAAACCCCCTGGCCTCCTGCACAGGATAAGCGTCTAAGGATGATTGATGGATGCATGGATAATAACAGAATATGAGTATATATAATATGTATTTCACACTTATTCACACAGTTACCAGCTACTTTTGAGACAAAAAAACACCATGATATTCTCATACGATCGGATACCGTATAATCATATTTTACTGGTGCTATATTTGGATTATACTATTGCCTTTTTTGTTGAGGACTCGTAACAAAGTCATAATACCATTTTTCCACGGTCTTTTCTGGAGTTTTTGCAATGTTCCCTTGTGAAGTATGATGTATATAATTGTCAAAATTTTACTTTTTTTAAGGCATTTTTTCTTTGCAATAATGAGGTTATTTTAACAGAGCTCAATACAAGTAATAGAGATGGATTGCTCAGCTTATGGTCAATACATTTTCAATGATATATAATGACTCAAAATGTGCTCTACCAAACGGTGCATAAGAGATTAAGTGATATTTCTCTATAAAATAGCATGAACAAATAATATAATTATTTAATTGCAATTAAAATTAAATAATACAAATATGGTACATGGTGCATCATACATTACATGTATTGCATGATGGTGCCAGTGGTGTCTGTCCGACGTGCGCGCGCGCGCGAGAGAGAGCGAGAGAGAGAGAGAGAGAGAGAGAGAGAGAGAGAGAGAGAGAGAGGGAGAGAGAGAGAGCGCCCGCGCGCGAGCGAGAGAGCGAGGGGGAGGCTGCTGCTGCTGCTACTGAGCGAGAGGAAGACAAACACCGCGGAACACACGGCAGGCTGCTAGCTGAGAGGGCAGCATGGCGGGGCTTCAGGACTTCCAACAAGGCAGCCACTGTCACAGGAAAACGTGGATCAATATACTACTCGGAATACTACAGTTACTTTTGCCCTGCGTGCAGCACGGAGGGGCGCAGCTGCAAGGTTCGGCTCTTCCCGTCATTTGTTTCCTTCTTCGGGGGTTGAACGTCAACGCGACCGTTGCAACCACTAAAAAAAAAAAAAAAAAAATGTTAATTTAACGTTAGCTACCTTGACTTGACACGCAGGTCGCTGACAAGCTCATTCGTGATAATTTAGTGTACGGGCGATAAATGTTATTTTTTTCAGGTAGAGACCAAAGCATATTTTCATTATTTTCTTTACCGACACGGGAGAGCCACCGTTTTGCCAGGCGGCTAATTCGTGCTAGCTCAAACCCAAATAACACCGGGCAGAGAAGTAACCGTTCAACGGTCGGGGCTTTTCAACGGGGCGGTTACCCGGTCGCTGCCGTCCCCGCTAAGAAGCTCCTGGTTGCGTTGAGCTGGGGTGACCGGAGGCGGATAAACAGCCGTGAGCGCCGCAACAAGCGGAGCTTTTTTTTTCCAAGTTCGTTAGCCTGCGTGCTAACCTCCGTGCTAACCCAGCGGCTAGCGCTCAGCCTTTTGTCAGCCTGCCAGAGCCAAGTCATTTCCTCACTCGTCGACCCGCGTCGCCCCGGTTTATGCATTTGTTATAACCCGCCGTTAAAACCGGGATACTGGGTAGTTTCCAAAATAACAAATAAAAACGCTCAAATTGTCAGCGGTTTGTCGTATTATTTGTTTCCCCCCATGTTGCCTCCAGTTTCCAACCCAGCAGCTCATTGATAACAAATATGTATTTCTTGCTCCTACAAAGCTCTGAGTCAGATGTCCACCAGCGTGGTCGAAGTCTGGCAAGCGGAGGACGCAGACCCCTTAGCCCAACTTCAGGTAATCATTTATTTATTTTAAAATCTTTTTACACGTTTCTTTTGTACGTGCATAAATAAGAAATGCAGCCAGTTGCATGAGCACGTGTGGTCGGTGCATCCCCATTGTGTTCGCCTCCACTTTGCAGACACTTGAGCTGTGCATGTTACACTTGTGTGTGTGAGGAAATACGTGTGGACATGCAATACTACGTGGTTGTACCGCTGTGCAAGTGTTGAACTATGAATTTAGTGAAGAAGTAAAAACCAGAGCGGGAGGCCACCTTTCATGTGGCTCCTCCTTATCTTCATGCACGCAGAGTCCATTGTACAGTTCAGCAGTGCCCACTGAGTCTACTGCTTCTTTGCACTTCTTCCCTGCATGATCATTTTAAATGATCAGTCATTCTCATACTATTACATTTTTTTTCATAGTTGGGATCAGAGTTTGAATTTGTGCAATGTTCAGGTGTGCAGTTGTGAGGGTGACGTAATCTTGGGGCGAAACAAACACAAACAGCAGCACTGACAACCTGTCGTGAGGTTGCCAGCTGACTGTCATGTTACCTGAGCGAGGGGTGTGGCATTTTCACAAGTCCTTTGTAAACAAAGGGAGTTGATAATTGGGCTACTTTGAAAATGCATTAAAAGGAGAAGAAAGAAATGATGCATGTTGCACCAAAGTCTGTTTGATGAATAGGTATCGTCTACGGTACAATAAATGGTGCGCCATCAAAACAAAAACTATTGATTTTCGTTGCTACGTTTCTGAAATACTTATTTTGCAATATGCCCACAGCACTAATTGCCACAGACATGCCCGGACCGGTTATTACACAAGAGCAGTTATTTCAATATTGAAGATATTTCTTAGTTGTTTTGATTGTTTAAGACATTGAGATAGTTTAAATACAGCAAACAATAAAAAGAGGGCTTATGCAAGTGTCTGGACATGTTTTTTTTCCTCCCCGGTCATTTCTACCTGGCCAATTGACAGCTTGCAGAATAGTTTATAAGTCATTGTTGGGTGTCATGTTTAGGTGGGCAGTGGTGTAACCGTCTCAATTGCACGGGACACGTGAAACGCCTTTTATCTGTATCAGTGCCGCTGCTGGTCTGCTGGATAAGAAGGGTGCTGAAGTGACGAGAAGGGAGACGCGTGCCATGACACATAGTCACAATATCATTCCAGATGTCACAGTTTTTGCAGCAGCGATCCTGATTGAGCAGAAGTGCTGTGCACAACTGCAGCTTTTATTTTTGGCCATTTCCATCTCATGCCTCATCTTGTCAACCTTTGCTTTGTAGCATCATGTATTCGTATCAACTGCAAGTCTAAAGAAGTGAACTTGTCCTTCCTTTGCATGTTAAAGCATCCTTGCTTTTTTATTCAGGCCCCCCATAACGTGCTTCAAATTCCTGCATTGATTTGAAAGACTCTGCAACTAGAATCCACTTTTTAAAATTCCCTTGTGCTTTAATGGCTCACCTGCGGCACCAGCCTGTGTTCCTTCATGGTGGTGCTTAATCAGCTAGAAAATCAGTTTTGCCTCGTTCAATCAAGCCGTCCACATGCTAAACTTTAAAGCTGCTTGGGGCACTATGGGATATGGTGCAGAATGACAAAAGCACACACCAGCATGTCAATTATTATTATGTCAATGATTAAACTAGTGTACTTTATATACTGTTGAAAAAACCACTACTATGATTAAGGAATGACAGGTTTGTGTTATCCTTGAAATGAAAGTCAACCTAATTTAGCACAAATTGATAAATCCTATTTAAAAATCCCTTAAATCCAACATGAACCAGTCCTAATCTTTGATTTGTAGCATTTTCTGCAATGTCTCAATTCAACCAGTTTCATTTGAGGGCTGGTTGCTACCTCTGTACAAACTGTTGTATCTTCTAACCCATCATCGTCATCAAGCCATGATGAAGGGTCCCGGACTGTTCCTATGGAAACTGTATGTTCTGCTCGTGGCGAGACCACCGCTCGTCTCTGTAGACCGTGCATGATGCACATGACCTACAGCACCGTGGTTAGAAGACTTACTGTTATTTTGTAATATTAAGAAACCGTGTTCATGTTCATTGGTTGTAGTTTTCATTCAGCACTGACGGTGGGTGCATTTTGCCGACTGGCGTCTAGTTCTGATACGACCACAACCAAAAGTCAACTTTTATCATTAACTAATGATACAGAAAACATGTAGGTAGAACATACTATGTACTGAGCATTAAAAGTGCCTCTCTAAAATGGAGAAAAAAAACGATTTCATATCCTCCTTTGCTGGTGCAGATTCCAATTGAAGCCCAAATACCAGTTAAAACCAGTCGTTTGTTTAGTCACTGATTATTGTGAGGCTCAGTGCACAGTGAGAGATCATGTACGATAAACTGGATGTTTTTATTCTGAGATCCGCAGCATTCTCCGCCAACACACGCAGAAACCGCCGCTTGCTCTCTGACCCTTTGAGACGGGAAGGAGAAGATGATGACATTTTTTTTTCTTTGTTTATTTGTAGGGAAATTAGATGTCATGCAACACGAAGCCATTGAGATTTCAGGAAATAGAAAGCAGATGCTTGGTGAACCGTGTTCGAACAGTCGATGGTGTTTCAATGGCCATCGATCCGTTTGCTTATGAAGATCATCAGAAGGCTGCTTGGCACACCAGTGGACCTGCAACCCACGGCGCCTCTTGACGTTCCTCTTTCCAGACCACAGCGAGAACCTGGAATAAAAAGGAGGCCGTCTGATGTTTTTGCCATATTGACCAAAGTGTATTTTTATTTCCGTTTCAGGTGGAGAAGGAACGAAGAAAAGATGTTCTGCCACTAGAAGACGGGTAAGCGTTCTTTTGACTTCCTAAATCCTCTGTAGCAAAGTAGAATTTTAACCTTTTACTAGTTCAAATATCGATCACAGAAAGTCACACATGCATCCAGCGGTTTCCAAAGAATATTTAGAGTCGTACGGTTTTTCCACTGAGCTATGTGATCCCCAACAAACCGGCAGGCAGGTGGCGTCATGCCGGAGCGCTTTCTGGCGTTTAGTGTCGCCGGCTGTGGCGTGTGTTTGTGTGCTACGGCTCAGGCGACACGTCTCCGTTTGATGTGAACATATTCAACAAACCGCGGATTAAAGGAGCGCTCTGTTAAGTGGTTTATTAGATCTGCTTAATTAAACCGTAGCTGTGGGGTGGCCCGTTTTTTTATTTTTATTATTTGTTCTCACACACTAATGGCGAGCTTGCGGTTCCAGTTTGATACGACCGAAGGTTTCTAAAAAGGCTTCTAGGAGTCGTCCCGTGTGTGCAGGCTGTGTTGTGTTGGCGAGTGAGGGGGGTGTGTGACGGAGAGAGTTTTGGGGGCGTGCGAGAGGCACAGAACCAAATTCCTGACTAATTTTAGAACTCCTTGAAAGAAAAAAAGAAAAAAAAGGAGGTTGGTCCGTCTCTCCCAGCTGGTTTCGTTCCAGCAGAAGAAAATGTTTGGAAAATAAGACGTTGATGCGGCAAAATAACAAATATTCCTGGTGTCATTTAGGAAAAAAGTGATCAGAAACAGGCTTGTATATCCAGTGTTCTTTTTTAAGTCACTCTAGTGTTTCTAGTTTATCTTTCTAGAGTAGCAACGGCAGTAATGTAGAGAAAGACTCCAGCACGTCGTGTACCTAAAGCAGCTCCATGTTTTTACTGGCCGGGACGTTCGTACCTTTTCAAATACCACACTCTGCATTAATGATCCACCCAATTAAACTTTTTTATTTGTAGGTATGTAGTGGAGTAACGCCTACCCGAGCAGAGAATGGAATCACTATTTCGTAGCACCCACCCTCCTGTTCTCCATCAGGTGAACACCGTTAGCCTATAACTATACGTAAGAAGAACTCAGACTGCATTTGTCTTATTGGAGCTTGGAGAGAAAAAGCCCTGAAGTTCAATCTCAGGGTGCAAAGTTTGAAAGGTTGGATGTTCACTAGCCGGGTCTGATCGAATGAATGTTCTACTAAGTTGTGTTAATGTGGGCTTGTCAAAGTAAGTTTTATTTATATATTATTCGTCTCCTGTTACTCCACCAACTTTCTGAAAGTCGTGAACCGCCTTCCGTCTTGATATGAAGTTCGTCTGGGTCACGCGCAGCCAACTGTTGCTGAACACTGTGGGAATACGGCTATTTTTAAACCTGGGGAGGTGAGAAGCGAAGGAGGCTTCGTGGTGCCGGTTGACCTCGAGACCCCCGGCGCTGTGGGCCGCCGGGCGCCTCCTGCACGGGTTATCAGGCACTTAGCGGGCCTGCCATCGCTCTCTCCCGGCCCGCGAAGCAAAGCAGATGCCGACGTTAATGATCTCCGAGTGAGAGTCTAGTCTTGTGTCAAAAGGTCTTCGTTTAACTTCTTTCAAGCGTTTTTTTCCCACTTTAATCTCACAATGATGTCCTCTGCAGTCTAGTGTTGATACTGTGGCAACGTGTGCTTCTCATTTCGCACATCCTCAATTTGTTTCCATGTCTCCTACGAACGCCTGTGAAACCTGTTGACCCCCCCCGCCCCCCCCCTCCGGATCGAAGCTTGTGTGTCCCTCCTCTAAATGCTCCCAATCGTACCACATCGTAGAACGAGCATTTCTTTATTAGAAGAGAAAAGAACGGCACTAAAGGTTTTTCTCCGACCTCTTCGGCGTCTCGCTGGGTTCTACGTAACAAACCGTGTGGCCGGTTGTGAATCTTCAGCAGGTGGCGGTGACACTGAATGCTCCCGAGTTGGCAGAACAACGTGAAACATCGTGGAATTGAAAAGATTTATTTATTTCATTCAGTTTGGATAGAACACCATCTTCATTTCTACCTGATTTAACCATAATAAACTGAGGTACCTGTTATAATAAGGTCGTCTACTAATATTCCCATTCTGTTGTGTGAAATGGAAAGCTGCTGCGCTGCGGTCTCGGTGCTTCAGCTTCCTGAAATGTAGATTGTTGTGTTGCGTGTCGACGGAGGAGATCCTCGCCGTTCATTCCGCCTCCTGATGCCCCGCCGGCACGCTGAAGCATTGATTGGCCAGAGCGCGAGGAAGATGGAGGATCGCTCGGGGTGTTTTTAGTCGTTGGCGTCTTTTTTATTTCTGCTGACTTGGCATTGAAACCGTCTTCCCTTTTTTTTTTTTTTTCTTCCCTTTTTTTGCTTCCTAGTGAATTGACCACGTAGGCCGAGCTGCAGCTCAGAAAGAGATTCAGTTCAGTCGAGCTCGGGCAGCGCTGGCGAGTTAACTATGCAAGTGTAGTTAAATGTAAAATACAACCTGTGGCTATTCTTAGCTACCCTCTGCAGAAGTAACGTCTCTGAAACCCACACCACCGCTAATTAAAGTGTCCTCCTAAGCAGCGGTAGATCGCAGAGACAAACGCAATGAATTGCGTTTAATACGTCGCGTTTCTGTAGACTACAGACGCTGTCCTGTTGAGCGCTGACCACATTAACCAAACGCAAGCGATACTGTGGCTGTGCCCTCTGTTAAAGCCCTTAGAACATTTGCAGCTTAACTTCAGTATTTCTATCAAATATTAACAAGCCGTGTCTGTTTAATAAATTATGAAAACAGGGTTATTATATACAAATGTTTATTTTGGGGAATATGATGGAAAACTCTAAAACCTTGTTGAATTCACAACCTTTAACATGCAATACACATTTCCATCATCAATATAACAAACAGAAAGGTGACATTTATTATTATTTTTATTTTAGACAAAGGTACAGCTGGTCTATGAACGAAACCAAAATGTAAGTTGGATATTTCGAGGTGTGGTAACACATGACAAAGAACGGCCAGTTAATGTACTGGTTGTGTGCGGTGAGCCGCCTTAGGCCGAAATTCTCTGTTACTGATGTTCCCTCGTGTGAAATATGTCTGAACATGTTGCGTCTTATATTACCAAACACGGAGACGTTTTGTGTTAAGGGTTTAGTCAAATGAGAGACGCCGTCCTACTGGAGAACATGTCCCCGGACCAACCAATTTTGATTCCCTTTTCAATTAGAAAGGCCTCACCTTTCTTTCTTCAATCGTCTCTGTGATATGTAATTGTTAAGGGGTCGATTTTATGGTTTTAATTGATGTTTCATTGATGCTGATGCTGCGTTGAACTCCTGAAATCGGTGTTTCACGGCGCCGGTTCCCAGAGCTCATTAAGCACAGGATGTCAAACACACATAGTCGGCAATAAAACACAGCGCAGCTGCTGGAGAAACTGATTGCTGTTTTAACTGTGACTTTGTTTGTTGCTCGTATTGTGATTTCACTACATGTGGTGCACAGCAACGTGGACTGGAAGCTCCTTCTGATGACGTTCATATCAGCCTGTTCCAGGTTTGTTGAACTGAAGAATCACCAGGAAAAAAAAACAAACAATCCCTTTCTCAATGTCCTTGTGGTTGTGTGCGGCCTCCTCTGGGCTGTTTACAGTGCACGGGGGCCTGTGTTGTGGAATCTCCATGTAGAGGTCTTGTCTGGCTCCGGTGGAGATTGAAGGAGTCCAGAAGCGGCGTGTTTTTGGCCGCGGCCGCAGCTCTTCCCCTGAAAACCGCTCCAACTTCTCGTTGTTGGAACGAAAGTTGGAACAGATGCCGTCGAGGAGGCAGAGAGGTGAACGGAGACACCAGCTTGGAGAACTCCGGTCCCCTCGGGTCCGACATGTCCCCCCTAATGCTCTCGATCAACGCGAGTCCCGTGAGCAGTGAAGCCAGACCACGTTTAAGACCTTTTGTCCCCATTTTGGTTCAGATATCTGTCATTCCTTTGCGTTTGGCAGCACCTCAACTTGACGACCGTGATTTTCTCTCCTTTGTAGGCGTTAAAAAAAAGGGTCAATAATTGTTTTCTGACAGTATACAACTCTTTGTACTGTGTAATATGGATGCATTGTAGTTTTGTGGTGATGTGTTCAATATTAGTCATCATGTCAACTGTTGAGACATTTGTTTTTCTATTTGCAAACTTCAATGGCGAGGCCTATTATTTGCATATGCAAAGGCTCTGTTTAAATGATGCTCCTGTATTGCCTCCGCTTTTAATGTGATTGTTATCTGATTTCTGCGCTGGCAGGATATTCGTGGTTTAAGAAGCAGTCGGGGGCCGTAATAGTTTGACTGAACTGTCACGTGTCAGAAAGGGGACGCTATGTTCTTGCCTTTTTGATTTTACTAAAGTATTCAAAACATAAATTGCTTTTCTTATCCTACAATGAAACCAGATGACATTTGATTACTGTCCTTTGCACTCATATTTTGTTTCTTTCTTCCCCCCCCACCAGCTCTTCTCTATATGCTCGGGAGAACGGGGGTCCGTTGCATTTTCAGCCCCCAGCGTTGCAGTTTGGGACGCAGTAAGTTCTGTTCTCTCTTCCTGGTTTAATATGATGGGTTGTTCATTTAATTTTGAAAATAAAGAATCCCACCGCGTTGAAATAAGACTGGTGTTGTGGCGAGCAACATGGCGTTGTGGCGAGCAACATGTCGCTGCGATGAATGCCACAGAAAGGGAAGATTTTGTGAAGCGAGGGGCCCTTGAACCTTAAAGAACAGACAGGATATCCAAGTCTGGCAGTAAGCAGTCGTTCCCAGCATCCGCATGCGCACGGCGCTGGGGGGGGGGCGACCCCAGTCAGAAGGGTTGAGAGCTTCGCTGTTTGCCACCGTACTGCAAAAACAGAGCGACCGTCGGGACGTAGCGCTGCGGCTGGACTGTTTCACAGGGAGCTCCTATTTTGTAGCGCTTTGCGTCATACATTTGGAATGTGCAGGCGAATCTCCAAAAAATCCACAATTTTCACTGGATAAATGTTTTGAGACTTTGATGTAGCTTTGGGAAATTTGCAGTTGAGTTCAAAACAGGAGAAAGAACACAAACATCCCACACAGTGGCTGGAACTAAGAAATATTGATTAGTCTGCCGTCTGGTTTAAGATCTAATCTCCTACAGGCATCTAATGTATTTCTGTGGCTTAAAGTGAAAGTAAGTTCAAACTCTCGTAGTGAAACAGGAAGTGACTGATGCATCATTTTAGGCTTTATAAAGAAAATATCAACATGTAATTACATGTGTATGTAGAATGATAGATGATGCAGGGTGATGTTTTTTTTTTACCAGCTCCATGACATTTCCCCCCTGAGTCACAACAAATGACTGAATTAATGTGTTAAAAAGAAGGCAGGAAACGCTGCTCCTGCGCCGTGTTGCTTTGAAATGCGGCGACCAAGACGGACTTCAGTGCTGCAGGAACGCTGTCGACCCTCAGAAGCGCCGCTCACTCGACATTTGCGGTCCAGACTACAGTTTTAGTTTGGGTGTCACCAGGCGAAATATGTTGAGTGGTGTCGCTGTGAGATTATAGCAGCAATGGCCAAACCCAGAGAGCTAATCTGTGGGTTGATGTGACCCGAGAGCCTTTTCATAACTTCCCTTATGTCCTTATTTGTACATGTGGTTTTACTACTTACCCGTGAGTCTTTCTCAGAGGAACCTCTTTTTTTGTTACCCATCTACTGACAAAGAGTCGGCTGCATTTCCTCTTTTGGCTTTTGAATATTCGCCGAATGCAAAACACTACTTACTCCGTCTCCCAACTTTTTTTTACTGAGCTGCAGGCTCATAAATTTGACCACCGCAGCCACTCGATGAGCATCAGACGTACCTAATCAATTTGACAGAAGCTCCTTAGATGCCTCGTGAAGGAGCAGACCCCACATCAGTGCGTGTTTTAAATTGCGCTGCCCTTCGGGGGCTTGCCGCGGTGCTTCCTGGGTGAGGGTTGCGTTGTTTATGGCGCTGTTCTTTCTGTCTTCACAGGCGTCTGGGGCTGGCAAGAGCTGAAACCGTATACATACACAACCCCAGCCAGGACGTTCCTGTGACACTGCTGTCGATGTTTACGTCCAGCAGGCAGTTTTACATACCTTTCTTTCACAGAAGAGTAAGTGTATGTGTGCGTGTAGCTACACATTGTTTTTGTAGGAATGTCTTGTATAACTTCCCCTGTTTCCCTTCTGTCCCAGGTGATTCCACCCAGAGGAAAGGCATCTTTTAAAGTAATTTTCCTACCGTCTGAGGAGGGCAATTTAGAAAACACATTATTTATAAACACATCGGCCCATGGGCTACTGTCATACCAGGTCAGTTCCATTAATACATTTCCTGCTGTGTTGTCCCGGGTCACGTTCTGTTGGGAGACTGTGCTGAAATCCTGCTTCTCTCCAGATAGTAGAGTGAGAGATACTCGCATGTCGGATGTGTTACCTCAATCTCCCATACTGACAAAAAAAATGTGCTTCAGAAAAGCTCATTAAGTTGTTGCATGAAGATCACTGACTGCAGAACTGCTGTTTTCTGCAACTTCTATCATAACATTCTAAACTGTTTTTTTTTTTTGCATTTACTTCACCTCAGTAGACCCGAGTAGAATAATCGGAGTATAATCAGGTAATCTGCATTCACTAGCTTCAAGCTGCAGCATTCCCTTATTTGCACTCCGGTCCCTGAGTCTGCAAGACATTCCCAAATGAGTCATGTGCAATGTGTGTTCTGTTCATCTCCCATTCAACCTGCAGTACAGTGTTACTCACACATAGCTCATAAATGGCAGGCGAATACGCCCAAACCTGTGAACACTTGGGAGTCCCTGCGCGGCCTCGCGGTGCCACTCCCCTGACGCGCCTCAGAAACCTGTGAATGCTTCAGTCATTCGATGGTTTTGTTTAAGTTGTCAATGACACGGACAATACAAACCAGCATGTGCCAACAGACGTATGACTTTTGATTAATTACGGTCATTATCTCTCCTTCCTTTCCTCACGCTTGAATCGAATGTTGTGGTCCAGACGATGGTGAGAACGTGGTAATGACTGAAGGAGCAAAGGTTTTAGGGCCTGATGTTTGACATTTGTGCTTAATTCAGCTTGAATATATTTTAAAATCATTCCTTAAAAAGCAGTACTACTTTGTTATTATTGTACACATGCTTTTGAGAATCTTTCTTTCTTCTAAAGATGAACTATTTATTTTTTCCCCAAGGTTTTTGGTGTGGGAGTTCAGCCGGGTTCATTAAAGTCTGTCCAAAGAACAGATAGTCTGCTAGTATTCCCTCACATCCAAAGCATTAAGCTGACCCAAACTCAGGTATGTGTTTAAATGTCTTTGTGCAGTCTATGCATTGGAGCCACTAACAGACACAAACAGCTGATTTGCCTTCCCCTGCAGCCCTGATAGACTTAAGAAACAGCGGCTTTGTGATGCACGGCGACAAGCGCTCGCTGTTGTCCATCCTCTTAGTGCGTTTGTCCAGTCGGCACGGAGGAAGTCAAAAGAAGCAAAAAAAACACTTTTTTAAATGCCTGAATGTAAATGTGTGTTTGCAGATTACAACCACAAAGTATCCATTCAAAATGGCCGGCGCTTTGTATAACGCTTCATTTGCACACGTTTTTATGCGGCGCAGAAACACCAATGACACATTAGAAGTGTTGGAAGTGCGTTCGAAGCTGTCTGAACGGAGTCCTCGCCCCCACAACAGGAAGTGTAGTTGGCAGTTGCAAAATGTCAGCTTGCAGGAGGACTTTAACTGTCATAACCACTGAGTCGGCTGCTCCGCAGTTGTCTTTTTATCTCAATAAGCTCCCTGTGGTTCAACAACGCCATCCACCTTAATAGTATACTTATAATCATATTTTATAGTATAATCGTTTGTGCACTTTTTCCAAATTCAATAAATTCATTAAACGTGTCTTTTGAATAAATTCTATTTTATCATATTTTACCCCACAAGGCTAAACATGATGACAAAGCCACACCGCTTGTCTGCTGATAGGATAGTTTGCATTATGAAATTGTTATTATAAAATCGTGTTGTGATGTGTGATCAAACGATCTTCATATTAGACACTTAAAAAAGAGAAAGTCCCTCCATTGGTTGGACGGTTCAAAAACAACAGTGGAATTTGAATTGCTTTACTATAACTCGTGTCCTTTTCAGGTGCAGTCACGTATTCATTTTGTATAAAACTCCACATTCTGCATTAATTTGAATCCAATAAGACCCCTTTCTGGCGAGGTCCACCAAGATCAGCATTGGACAATATTTAAACCATGCTTAAGACATCCCCCAGAGTGCTCCGCTGGTCAGTAATCTGTGTTTTCACACCTGTGACTTCAGACTGATGCTATGTTGTTTCTTTAATTTGTTAAACCAGCCAAAGCTGCTCTGTCATGGATTTCCTGTAATGTGCCGTGCACGGCCAGCACCACTAGAGTTCAGTCACGTGTGGCTTTGTAAGAGACACTGAGCATTAAAGGCCTTTTGTATTACAGATAATGTTTTCTATGATGCTTACACTCGTTTTTGACTGGTCTTTGGCGGCGTTTCTCCTGCAGGAAGATGCGTCTAACATCACTATACTGGGTCTACTCCTGGAGTGCACCTTACCCAAGAGTTTGTTCAACAACCCTCAGGTACTTATTTAAAGAAATATTAAAACATTTTCCATGGAACTGTTATTTGTATCTTATATGATTTTGAAAAGTCACACTAAAAACTCCCAAGATTACAACCAGTCCTGATAAAAATCAACAATTCAAAATATTAGCTGCTGGACACAATATGTCTCTTACTTTATTGTAAAATCAATCCTCACTATTTGGGCACTGACGGCTTCAAGTTTCCCCCCCCTCACATTTAGTTAGTTAGGCGCACACTGGACCACAATATGCTCACACACTAGTTGTGTTGTCGTGGAGACGGAGCGGAACTATTAATCCACAGTCTTGTAACTACTACTACTCGCATAGGGTGAACTTTGTTGAAAACACAGCAGGGCATTTCGTCTAATAATACTCCATGTGATGTACGTTCTTGGCAACTGGTCCCTACTTTGCGGTGAGCATGGAATCTTTCACACTGCTCTCGTCATTCGCGCCCTCTCCTCCGAGCAGAAGGCCGGCTCGTATAAAGCTCCAACAGACAGCCGGGCTTGTCAACGTAGCGCCTTCGGTTTCCTCAAGGACCCCGCGGGAGGTTGACGTCCCTTTCCAGGCTTTTAACTTCTCTCTCCAATGACACCATAATTAACGCAGAGGAGGATGCAAACGGCAGCTGCAGACAAAGTATCGATATTGTCATAATTACACTAAAAAGAAATGATTCTGCCGTTCTGTTGAATGAAGGTCTCAGCTGTGACCTTTGGCTCTTATCCAAGATCCACACCTGTGCGACACATTGCTGGTGTAATTTGGGTCGGTGTCGATGCTGCTTGCAGATTAAAGGGGCCTTACAGGAAGTTAACAGTAGGCTCGGTTTCAAGGGATTAGGTCTGTTATTGCATCGGGGAGCCCCGGTAGCATCGAGGCAGGGAGTCCGTCTACAGCTCGTAAAGGGCTGACTCGTCGGCTCAGATGAGACCTCGTCTTTGGTGAGATTTTCACCCTGCTGGTACTGACCTGCGAGCTTAAAGAGGGCATTAGTCACAAGGTGGGGGTAGTAGTGGTTTACTGCCTGCTTGTTTCTGTCCGTCAATGTACCTCAAGTATCTGGTTCACTTTAACTTTATCTGGTTTCTCTTCCCATTCGCCGAACTTCCTAGACGTCAAATTACTCCTGTTGTCATGCTCGTCCTTCTGTTTGGTGCATGACTGGTGTGTCTTTCCCGTCCCGCTCCCAGGGGTCCAGCCTCCAGAGAGAAGAGCGCCTCAGTCTGCAGATTAATCTGTCCGTGCAAGGTGACCGGCCCACTGACCTGGACAAGCTCAAGCCTTACGTCATTGAGCACCTTTTGGTGCTGCTGATGGCCCCCACTGCTGGAGAGGCTGCAGTCGGTGAGTTTGTCTGACCAGTGGGACTCAAAGTGTGTTTTTCTGTACATCCGTATATATATATTTTTTGTATGACCTATTTCTTTATTTTTTTATTACAGGGGAACCAAAAATAGGAGTTTATATGTTAAATTCTGGAGTCAAGAAGCTCTGTGTAAAGGTAAGGTGTCATTTGTTGGTCTGCTATATTATGGGGTTTATAGCAATTACAACAATTTATAGGAAGAAATCTATATGGTTTTGACGGGATTATTCTTCTCCCCAGGACATGCAGGTGCAATCAAAAGTGGAGGCCAATCTGGAATTCAACCAGGTTCTTCTGAGACAAGAGGCAAAAAACTTCACTGAAGTGGCAACGCTTACATGTGGAGGTGACCACTCATCTATATTCAAATATTTTTTTTTATCAATGTACATGATAACCTATCAGGGTTATTGGATGTAACCCAAATGTACTTTATTGTAGTATATTACTATACTGTATTTTTTGTCAACAACAGTTCTGTTTCATGTATCAGGTTCGGGCCACGGAGGGAAATGCATGAATCATATCAGTTTAAAAATTCTGGGAAACCAGACAACTTACAGCTTCCCTGGACTGCATATCACACGCAGGTAATGCCATTTCACACCCCTTACCTTTAGTCTGAGGTGTGTGTGTGTGTACATAGCAATCAAGATAAATCCATCGGTTTAGAACGGGTAAATGATCGGGACGAGCCCTCAACGCATTATGACCATTAACGGGTGTAATGGGGCCGTTTTGTTGTTTATTCATGCAGGAACAACACTGGGGATTTGTTCAGCCTGTTCCAGGTGAAACAAAGAGATTCGGAGCAGGTGGATCTGTGGCTGACGAGCTCCCTCCTCTTACCCGTCACTGTGATGAATGTCAGCCTCTCCCAGAACCTGCAGGGAGTAATGAAGGTTTGCATCACTAAGGAAACCGCGTTTTAGCTGTTTTAATCCTGCTTTATGCATTGGTGTATTAACCTTTATCATAAGGGCCTTAAATTCAGAGCAGGACTTGACACAGATATCTCTGCTGCCCCCCACCTGTCAGGTGATGAACTTCAGCGCTCCGCTGACGGTTCCCCAGGGCTGCTGGCACATCCTCTCCCTGCAGCTGCTCAGCAGAGCGCTGCCTGTCAACCAGGTGTTCACCCTGAGTCTGGACACCAGCCTGGGCACAGCCCTGCACATCCCCCTTTACTTCCACTCTTCTCCTTTGAAGGTAAAACACCAGCTGTAGACGCTACAGTGGCTAGTACGGAGGAAACGGGATATAGTGATCAGGGGTCACGGTTATAAAACGTACGATCTACTCTACATGTGAAATTTCACCTGAGGTTTAAGCTGCTTTATATATGTTACAATTTTAAATGGGGTTGTGGAATGAATGATTCTGTTCAGCCTCTTGAGCGGTTTATACTGTAGTGTATTGGGTTGCAGAATCGGATGTGGTAACAGGTGGTCTTTCTGTCAGCAGGGGGAGGTGATGTTTGACGGGGAGCCTGAGTGGGGACGACCTTGTCCTCTCAGATTGTCTGAAACAGGTGAGACGCCACTTGAGCTCTGGGGTGAGAGAAAACCCCCCCCTCATTTTTAAGTGTCCAAATATGAATTGTTAATTTTCTCTTACTCCTTGTGTCAGGGCGGTCAGAGTGGCAGCGTACCCTCCTGCCCGACTTCTCCCCCTCGTCTTGGTCCATAGACAGCAGGCTGGCTGCTGAGCTCTGCTCTCGCTGGCAGAGCCACAAAGACCAGCTGTCCTGCAGGTCAGGCTTTCTTCTTCACGCACTAATGTGTATTACAATCCGTCCCTACGCACCCTGAACATCATTCACATTCTAAAGCTTTTTGTCTTCCCAGGTGGCCCAGACTCCCCGTGGAGACTTCCTTTCCTCTGGACTTTGGTGCGACACCTGTCAATGAGAGCAAGGTGGGTAACGCGGGTAACAGTCAACAGAAAATGATGCGTATGTGTGACATTTGTCTCAAGCAAATGGAAAACATTTCTTTTGTTTCAGGTGAAGACGTTCATGCTGAAGAACCCTTCTTCTTCGGTGGTTTCCGTAGAGATTCGTCTCCTCTCCCTGTACCCGGCCCCCCTGGAGGCTCTGGACCTCCTAACCAAATGGTGCGCCGTCTGGAGTGTTTCTTTTGATAGTGGACAGAATTATTCAAATGCTGTTGTTTTGTGCCTCGGCTGTTTGAAGCGTTGACCCAGCTCGTCCCTCACACGACTCCTCAAGCTGTTTGCTCTGTTTTGCTCGACAGGTTTAATATCAGCCCCCTTTCTTTCAACATCAGCACCAGAGAGTTTTCTCTCTTGGCCTCTCCCCCCAAAGTAAGTCCTGAAAAGTCTCTCGTGAAATGGTCCCAATTGTATTTACTTATTGATTTTGACTCCCACAGCTGAAGGTAATTTGTTGTTCTTTTCTTGCCCATTGCGCTCTCCTTCCACACCTTTCTTTGCCTCGCCTGTGCAGGCGGGGGGAAATGTGAAGGCCTTGAGGGGACAGGGTGTCCTGCGCTTGCTGCTGCAGCCCTGGGAGGCCAGAGAAGTTGCCGTGGTCTTTACTCCCTCTGAGCACAAACCCACCACCACCATTCTCGTCATCAGGTAACTGCTCATGTTAGTAGGATGAGTGTGTCCATGTTCACATGTGTATTTAGGTTATGTACTTGAATTGTGAAACTTTGAGAGATTTGAGAATTTCATCAACCTTTTTTGAGACATTGTGACTTAGTAGGTGACATAAAGTACATTTGTTACTATTAACATCAAAGCTTGGTTAGGCATCATAAAATAAATCCCCAATATTTGAAATATTTTCCAGATAAAAACAACTTGGCGCCTTTTATTTGGAAAGGAGTTGTTAACAGCCATAGCTCCAAAAGTCTAGAAAGAAAGTTCCCCAGAAGTCATCGGTGAGCGACGCTCCCTTTTAGATGCCCCACTGAAGCCAATCCCCTAAAATAATCATGATGAACATGAACAACGGGCGTGGCTGCAGTTGGCTAGCAGAGTTAGCAGGTAGACCTGTTCGCCCAATCGTTTCACTTCCTTCAAAGCATTTGATCTACGATGCGTTCAGTGAGGTTCTTCTTTTATCCATTACGCCGCGAGCTGTAACGAAGGCTCCGCTCTGTTCGTCTGTTCAGGTCTTTTTGTTGTTCCTTACGCTGGGTGCGGCGTCCTGTGAACAATGGTGTTTTCTTCTCTCTCTGACCCCGTTAAAGGAACAACCTGACGGTGTTTGACATGATGACGGTGCGGGGCCACGGAGCCAAAGAGCTGCTGAGAATTGGAGGAAAGCTGCCCGGCCCCGGAGGCTCGCTGCGCTTCAACGTCCCTCAGTCCACCCTGATGGAATGCCGCGACGGTGGGATGAATGTTTGAGCTTGATGGCGCTGTTGATGGCGCGCGTTCACCCTCCCAACAGGAAGATGACAAAACAAAAAGTAAAACCTTCCTTCTTGGTCTCTCGCAGGTCTGCGCACCAACAAGCCGCTTTTCGCCATCAGAAAGAGCTTCAGGGTGGAGAATGCAGGAGAGCTTCCCCTCACAGTCATGTCGATGAATATTAACGGATACAAGTGTCAGGGCTTTGGCTTTGAGGTGTTGCAGTGTCGACCCTTCAGCCTGGACCACAACACCTCCTCTGAGATCACCATTGCGTAGGTGGAATTTTAGCCCGCTTCACGTCACTCAATGTTTTAATAATGACCGTTGACTTTTAAACTGTATGTTAGAGTAATGTAAAATCTCATTCATCATTTTCTGCTTTCTGTGTGCGAATTGTCCTGTTTTTAAAAAAAGAATATCTATTTCTGTGTGTCAAACTTTCTCTACCGGTCTGTGTCCTCAGCTTCACCCCAGACTTCACCTCGTCCTGGGTGATCCGGGACCTCACGCTGGTGACATCACGAGGCACCCACTTCCCTTTCACTCTCAACGTGACGCTGCCCCACCACATGCTGCCTCTCTGCGCTCAGGTGGTTCCTGGACCCAGCTGGGAGGAAACCTTCTGGATGGTCACCCTCATCTTCACATGGTTAGTATCTGTTTTCAAATGACAATTTTTTTTTTTACCTAGCTTTTCCTCCAGACATTCTCCGTTTTGAGAATTAACAGAAACAGTTTGACAAAAAACACAGACACACATAGCAATTAAAAGTGTTGTTTGAAGAAGGCTACATCAAGGTCAAAGTATTTTTATTAGATTATTCTTTTATTTTACCATTAGTAATCTAATCACAGTAATGAGTCATAGATGTTTGGTGTAACTCATTGTCCGTTGTATCCGTTTGTGTTTCAGCTTCTCCCTGTTTGGTGTGTGTCTGATGGCCTTCCATCAGGCCCAGTATATCCTGACTGAGTTTTCCACACCCACAATCAGGAGCAACCACAACTCTGTCCTGTCCCGGGAAAACGGCCCAGTCAATAACATGGCGCCCAACGGAGTAAAGTAAGTCCCGTGTTTTTCAGCAGTAGTAATAACGACGACTATTGTGGTTTAAACAACAACATTTGTCTTTGTCGTTGAGCAGTAAAGCAAAGGGCAGCTGTAAGAGCTACGTGGACGTATGTCACAGCTCCGACAAAGGGAAAGGGCGTGGCTCTCCGGCCGTGGCCAACATTCCCACCCCGCGTCCTCAATCGTCCTCCAAGACCTCCAAGTCCTCCTTGATCGCCCCGTCCCAACCACAAAAGAAACACAGGGTGTCACTCTACTACACCAAATACAAGCCAAGCTCGTCCACGGCAGTGCCCGATGCTGTGATGATAGAGGAGAACCACGAAGACCTCATCCCAGATCCTCCTCTGACCCCAGACCCTGACGTCTGCAACAACAACAACGAACCAGCTTTCATCAGTATGCAGGATAAAAAGTCGCCCGTAGACTTTAAGGAAGACCCCATAAGCACTATAGAAGATGGAATGCCAGCAGCAGTTACGTTTCCCATGGAAATTCCTGCTGGTTTCCCAGACAACCTCATAGTGGGTCCAGGACCGATGCCCGGCCTGCTGACGTGCAGTCCCGTGGAGAAGAGCTGCACCGAGCTCTCTGCAGAGAAGATCGGCTCCGAGAAAAGTGACCGATCTGAAATGGAGGTAAGGCAGGAGCTGCTCGTTCACATTTCATGTCTTTTCCAAACCGTATAATCCTAATGACTTCTCACTGAAAAAACACCCGTCTTTACATCACGTTCTTCTGTTTCCAGCTGAGAGAAGATTCCAAAGGCCAGAAAAAGAAAGCCCAGTGCGCAGAGACTGGCACTGCATCAGGAACTAATAAGGGAAAGAGGAGTCGCAGGAAGGCAGAAAATGTCACCAGGTAAACAATGAATCAATTTATATTCACATTCCATATTCCAGAGTACAATAACATTCAACTCCTTTGTTCTCTACTCAATAAAACTGTAGTGAAGCACTGTTATAAAGCGTGAAACCGTAAAAATGCGTTCTAATCGTTTGTCTGATGACCGTTGCAGCGCTCCCGTGCACAACGTGGCCGTGATACCTGAACAGGAGAAAGAAGCCGATTGGAAAACTGGAGACCGCAGCCTCGGTGGACCCCGCAACAGGAACCGCTGCAGCAACGGCTCCAAGTCAGAAGCACCGAAGCCCGGGCCGAGTGTCGAGAGCCACCAGAAACAGAACGGTGGGCGCACGCACGCAAACACGCGCACTTTACTAACGTCCGAGCGCCTGGTCTGAATCTCACTGGCCGCCTCGGTGTCCGGCAGGTGTGTGTCCCGTTCGTCCTCGGCGGAAGTGCATGACGGAGCGGCGCGGTGGTGCGGTGTGCGAGTCGGGCTCGGACTCCGGCAGCTCGTCGGGCAGCGTGCGGGCCAGCCGGGGCAGCTGGGGCAGCTGGAGCAGCGCCAGCAGCGTGGAGGGAGACCGAGACCCCAACGGCCGAACACACGCCTGCACGAACTCATCCAGAAAAAGTAAAGGACACGTGTGCAGTGCCTCATTCAGAAAGAGTCAAGTCGATCAGAAGCTTATTTAGGAAGAACGTATCCTGTTAACTTCATTAGAGCTCGTAATCATTTTGGTTTAGAGACGGCGGCTGTACGGATGAGAAAGGTTACATTACTCTTCTGCTTTTTCCAGGGGACTCTTTGCAGTACGGCGTCTACCCATCAGAGAGAGACTGCTACCAGACCGTGAATACAAACTACAAGGCGCTCGGGTACCTCAGCGCACACACACCACTTGACGCTCCAATAACACACTCTTATCTAAACATTTGTTTGTGATTGTCCGGAAAATATAGAATTATATTAATACTAATTCACCGGAGTGTGAATGTGGACAAAATCTGTTTTAAACAAACTGTGTTTCCGAGCACATTTATTTATTTATTTGGTAAATAAAAAATAATGCTAAAATAGTATATATTACACTAATAATATAATGTTTCCCAACTATTTATTTATTCTACAAAATGGTGTCGGCGTAAAATGTAACTGAAAGTGTGGATGTTGATATTAAATATCATTATAATTGTATCAGAATCTTGAATCTGTTCCCAGTGTAACTTGTACCTTTTGCCCTTTTCCCTGTTTAGCAGGAACAGTTTGTACCGTAAAGACATGTGCCAAAGCCCCGACCCCCCAGCGTCCAGCTTCGCCCAGAGTTTTGCTGCTGCTGTTGCTGCAGGAGGAGACCGGAACGCGGGTAACGACATCCACAGCGAATCCGACAACAATTTGTGCATAACGTCCGTCTGATTTGCATTAAGATGTTCGTTGTTTTGCTTCCTCAGACCTGGCGGGTCACTATTTGCCTGAGGAGACGTGGGCCGCTCCGTCCATCCCCCTCACCAACCAGTTCAGATACAACGCCTCCGAAGCGCTGCCGTACGCCCCTCAGCCGGCCACCACCGCCTCCTACAACGGGTCAGTGAACGCACATCCGGTTATTAGATATTGGAAGAATCTGAACTGACCATCGGCGCTTTGTTGTGGAAAATGAATATATAGTAACTAAAATGAATTTGTGATTTTCCTAAACACAAATGCCGGTCTAAACACCCTTAGTCGGAGACCGTATCTGTCCTTGTTTCACTCGTCTCTGTCAAAGCGTAGGATCAAACGTTTCCTTGTTTCCCTGCAGGTTTACTTGGACTAGTGCCAACACCCATTGCAACGGTCCCTACACCTACGGCGAGGGAAACAGCTACATAGGTACAAGCTCACGCCTCTGAAAATCTCTACTCGCTTCCGTTACTGGGACGAGCGCTGACGAGCATTTGTTTGTCGCGATGATCCCGCAGGTAACGGCACATTTCCGAGCGTCTTCCCCGGCCAGGAGGCCCAGAACGCTCGCAGCAGTCAGACCAGCTGGAGCGAGGAGCAGCCTCAGGAATCGACCTCGGCCTGGGACACGGCGGCCTGCGTGGGCAGCAAGGTGAGGAGTCGCTCATCCATCCGCTCCCCTCCTGCAGCTGAATGTCGGTCATCACATCTCAGGAGCTGGATTTGTCCTTTGGGTTATTTTAAGTGTTTATACCTTATTTGATTATTATCCAAATTAGTTGTTTTGTGTATAGAAAGGCAGAAAAATTTTGAAAATTTGGCAAAAACGGTACTTTAGAGCTTCAGTATGAACATACATAGGATACTCAGGAAACAACAAAAGGAAAACAATTACGGAGTTACAGTTGGTCACACACCTGGTTGTGTAACCGCAGTACCACATGTGTTGCACACACACACACACAGCACCGCGCTTGTTGTGACCTTTGAAGAGTTACAGAAACAAAAACGTGTGGAACAGAAACCATAAACATCGGAGACCACTGACGGCCCCCGAGCATTGTGACTCGCATCGTGTCACGTAAAAAAACTGTTCATCTGTTGCTGTGTCATTTTCATTGGCAACACACACACACACACACACACTGAAGACGAAAGTGGCTGCAGAAGGAAGTTGCCTCGTCCCTTTTGCGCTTTGTGTCACAGTAGAAATGAGGAACAAAAATTTTTTAGACTGAAAGTGTGTTTTCAACTCCTTCATTCGCTGCTTCTCCTTTTTGTTGTTCATCAAAGACACATAAATATCAGTCTGCCCTCCAGCACAAAAACAAATGGTTAGTCAAAAATGTTGTTTTCAAAATGAATAATTAGATTTACTGCTGTTTGACAACTGTAAACTATACGGCCTCGTTTGTATGTATTAGAATTTCTTACTCTGAAATACTGGTTAAAAAAAAATCAGCATTTATTGGGCTGAATCCAACTTCCATGAGGTCGTAATGAAACGACACACACCTCAAACTAAACTATGAATACTGAGCACCTCGTTCGACTTCACCACAGCTCACGTCTCTCTCTCTGTCTCTGTCTCTGTGTGTGTGTGTGTCTCTCTGTCCTCCCTCCACAGCCATACTTCTCTGGGACCCGCAGCCTGTCCCCCATGTCCAGCCTGTTCGGATCCATCTGGACGCCGCAGAGCCACTTCCAGCCCGAGCGGTCGGCCCCGTTGTCCCCCGTGTCCCCCATCACTCCGCCTCGCTCTCCCTTCGCCCGGGGGCCGGAGGGGACGTGCGCTCCGATCCAGTACTCCAGCTTCAACCCCTTCGGCCCCCACATGAACCTGGACATATGGAACTCTTCCTCCAACCGCAGCTCCAACTCGCAGCTGTCCAACGACTCCGGCTACTGCGGAGACGTTTAAAAGTTTAAAGATTACGAAGCGGCCGACCTTAACGATAATTGCAAACATATGAAAAAAAAATTGATATGTAAAAGAAAGGAAATAAAAATGAATGTTCTTTTATCATTGATGGGGAAAATGTGAATATTCCTTCTTTTATGTTCCCATTTTCAAATGTTAAATGTTGTGGAAGGTTCAGCATTTGTTGTATATTTTTCTAGATGTTTTGCAGTTTTGATCATAGAAAATAAAAAAAAAAAGGTTTTGTACTTTAACAGGTTTTCTTTACTTATGTTAATGTAGTATTTAACTTTTAACGAGGTCGCTTTTTCTTAATTTAACTCATTTCATCGTCTCTTGTCCCACGTTTCCCCGTTGTGTCTCGTTGCGTTTCCTCGTCTGCCTTGTTGTCCACAGGAAACGGGCTTAAAGCTCGTTGTCTTGTCCTCGTGCCACGCAGGCCGCCCTGCACGCCAGAAAGCCTTCGCTCGCGTGCACTCACGGCGGCGTTGTGTCTTTCGTCCGGCTTGTTTTTATCCGTCAAGTCTCCTCTTCGTGAAGACGCTGTCTCAGGAACGCCGAGAACCAATTTAGTTGAATTTAGCACACGGTACATTGGACGAGGTCAAAAATGGTCTTGATGTGGGATTGGGTTCTCCTTTTAATGTGACGTTTTTATTGGTCGTGTCCTTCACCGGCTGTTTGTTCTCCCGATACTCGTATGGGAAAGTGGTTAAGAGGCCTTCGTTGGCCCCGTTAACAACAACAAAACGGAAGAAAACGGCGTTGTGCTTTATGGTTTCTGTCTGCAGAATCAACGGGACGAGCGCTGCTGTTCCATCTGAGAGTATAACTCAACGCTTCTAGTGAATTTGCAAGCGTTTTGACTAAAATAGCTCTACATAAAAGATAAGAGTGGGCGTCATCGCTGTTCCTTTGTTTCCAAATGGGTTTTTTGGAGACGTGGGGAAGTTTTTTTTTTTGCAAACCGGAGAAGTGATGCAGTAAACCATTTAAACCTGTGAATGCATCTTCCTGTCATGCGATGAAGAAGAGGGGGGATGTCAGCTGTGAGGCGCCCAGGCTTATTCAGGTATTTGCACTTTATTATGTCATACTTATAGTGTGCTGATGAAAGCTATTACAAATTGATTACTACAAAATAAATAAGAAAAAAATATATGAATCATGATGAATGATACATCAAATTTAATTTTGAATTGCGTATTTCACAGACCACCCAAAATGTCAGGTATTATCACTGCGTTTTTTAAAGGACTCAAAAATTGGCCTTTTCCCCAGGAGACATTTGGAAATGTCCCACTAAGAAATCGTTGATTGCAGACTATTTATGGTCCTGGTATTGTGCACGTCTGCTTACTGAGCCGGCATTAATGTTATTAGTGCACCTGTTATTTTCTGCCTTGAAAAAAACCCCTTGATAAGTCACAAAGTTTAAGCTTAAGCAATATTTCTTTGAGAAAACATTGTATTTTCAAACACACGGCAAAAAATATCCACGACGAAGAATTTTCCCCGCTGACTCATTTGGAGAAGTTGGATTCGTCCTTCAACAGACTAAAAACGGTTCTGCCGGATGGTTTAAAAAAAATAAAGAAGAACTTCCATTTGGGAGGACTTGACCTTCGATCTGTCCGATAAAGGGATTCTGCCCTCAGTGTTCAGTGTCCACATTCATTAGTGAGTTCCTGCCCGTTAAGCGGTTGTGTACTTACGTTTACGAATGTTCAAAGTGTACAATCGTTTGTGTAAAAGCAGTCAACCAAAAAGACGGTTGACAGCATGAGTTAGTTTAAAAGATAAAATGATAATGTCACAGCCTGAATTTACTCAGCATGTCAGAGGAAATGTATGTACTAAAAATGTTTGCCTAATGACTTAAGCTGGAATGGTTTGTGTATAACCTCATATGCATATCATGAATTTCATTGTGTGTCTGTGTGTGTGTGTGTGTGTGTGTGTGTGTTCACATGCTTGTGTGCCTAAAAGCGTGTGTAATTCATTGTCAGGCTCTCGAGAGCTGACATATTGCCGCTATTGATCTTTAGTCCTAAAATCAACACAGAAGCCTGGATACTGATGACGGGCAGGCCAAGGGAGTCAGGTTGTGCTGATAACACACACACACACACGCACACACACACATTAATGCTCAGCGTGCACAGCACATGCACGTATTTACAGAGTTACAGATGTCGGCGAAGGTCGCTCAAATCCGATGAAGCGCAGGACTTAATCAGCGAGACTTCTATGTATAAAAGTTCATGTAGTTCATGTCCATGTTTTCTACAGTAAAATAAACATGACTTACCTCCCAATATACAAAAATATATTACAAATATTGGGCACCTGAAACTCCGGTTTGAATCTGAATCCACTATTATTACTTGCCGGGACATTAGCTAATATTTATTCATTGGAAAATATATTGTTTTACCTTTTTTATTATATTCTCGTCAAAACGTATATCTAAAAAAAAAATTTGAAAAATGGGAAAAACGTCTCAACTGGTTGATAATAAATAAATAAATTGTCCTTCAAGTTCCGGTTTCTTCTTTCTTTCTTTTTTTTTCTTTTCTTTTTTTGTTTAATCCAACACGCCCTCCTGCTGCTGTAAAAACTCACCGGTGTCAAATGTGTTTCCTTCCACGGCTTAAAGTCGACCCCAAACCAACAAGTAATGCTTAAAAATACGGTTACCACCCGTCTGGTGACGGTTGGTCCTTTCCTAAGAGTCAACATGTCTCCTGTATTTAAGATTTTTCAGTCAGAGCTAATTAGATTATTTTTATGACGGCCGCTTAAACCTTTTGTGGTTTTGGTCTCATGCATAAAATTGTTGACAGTAACGACAAGAATAATTATAAATACAATGTGAGCAGCCGCTTCTTCACCTCATTCAATGGAACCAGTCAGTCAACTTGTGTGTCTGAGCACATCAACCTCTTGGCTTGTTTGATTTTTTGTTGCTTTTTTTTTTGTTGCTTTCTTTACTTTAAAACATTACAGCGAGTGCGGCGTCCCACCGGCTTCTGCCGAGTGTTCCCCTTTAGAAGTCAAAACGGCATGTGATTCGATTTCACGCTCTTTTATCCTTTAACTAGCCTGATAACGGGGGGGGGGGGGGGGCGGAAAAAAGCAATGATGTTTGTGCGTGTGTGCGTATAACAACTCTCCATCATCTCCTAGCAGAGGGTCCATTAGCCCCGGACCCCCTCCCCTGTTGCCCAGTGATAAAGTAAACCATGTGTGTTTGGCCAATCCGTCATGCAAATATTTGTTCTGGAAGCTACCTCATCCTACCGGAGCGACACACACACACACACACACACACACACGCGGCCCGTGCTGAGGTATATATGCAGTGCCCAGCCTGGCGGCCCAGAGTCACAAACTTGCATACAGAAAAGTCCTGGACCAGACCTTCCCTCGGACTTCGGCACAGCCACGGTAATACAACCTCAAGTCTTTTCCAATCGTGAGGCTTTGTCCCATTGACAAAACCGCTCACGTTGTTGTTGTTTTTTGGTCCTTCAGCAACTGACCCTCTCGGTGTTGAGAAGCCGACATGGCGGCGGGCGTCATCAGAACCTTCCTCGTTCAGGCCCCGACCCCGGCCTACTTCCCGCTGATCTTCCAGCGCTCGCCGTGCAAGGAAGACGAGGATGTGGAGATGCCGGAGGACAAGCCGGAGATGACGGAAGATGAGGAAGAGAGAGAGGTCGACGAGGAGGAGGAGGAGGAGGATGTAGAATCTGAAGCTCAGGAGGAAGAGGAGGAATGCTTGGAGGTCTTCTTAAATCCGGCCCACCGCGCTTCAGATGTGACCAAGCGGCTGCTGAGGTTCGCCGATCTCATCAGCCGCGACGTCCAGCGGTACTTCGGCCGCTGCTCCGGCGATCCGGAAGGCTGCGACATCTACAGCGACTCGGTCTCCGTCGCGACCAGCGGCCGTCTGCGTTACTACGACGACCTTCTGAAAATCGCGAGAGCGGGAGGCCAGGAGGGGCAAGAAGACAGCTCGGCGGCCTGCTCTGACGACCCGGGAGTCGGGGTCGCTAAGGGCAACAGCGGTTTGGGGCCCTTGGCCGAACTTTTCAGCCAACGGGGCCCGAGTCAGGGCCCCAACCGGCCGATGATCAAGCGGCTCCTACCGCTCAGTTTCTGGACCGAGCCGACGCCCTGCGGCTCTCTGGTCGCTTTCAGCAACACACCTGAGGTCACGCACGCGCACGGTGACACACTTTCGCAGGACAGCGCGCACACAGACTCTAACACACGCGCGCAGTGCGATCCGCTGCCACAGCACGACACACACGCCCTGGAAAACGCTCAGCTGGACTTCAGTGACTTGCTGGCATACTGGGATCCGAACCCAGAGCTCGCACACACGCTGACGGAGGACACACACATGCAGCACTGAACACGGCGGCCCACAGCAGCTTCATTCACATTCGTTTCAACCTTGAAAGATACTTGTAAAAAGATTAATAAAGGACAAAGAAAAAAACGGAGACAAATTGATTTGGGATTCGCTCATTTTTCATCTGGCAGTTTATCATTCATGTGATTTGATCTGAATGTTTGGACGTCAGAGTTAAAGCAGAGCAAGGAGGGAATCAGTCATAGAGACTCGATAAAATGAAGATTCCTTAAAATGCTCATAACAATGATATTTGAATATCTCTTGCGCAAAAAAGCAATGAGACAAACTCCACTTGTTGTGGATGATCATGTGATGCAATCGGAAGCTGCTTCTACCTGAACTTTGAACCCTGATGAGATACTTTTGTCCAAAACAATTTCAATGCATTGAGCAGCACAAAGCAAATGAATGTGTTTCTAAGTGGGGACATTTGTGCCATTACCTCAAAATGTAAGCACATCGAGCAAAAAAACTAAAACCAAACCTGCACAACCAGACACCGATTATTCCAGTTAGCAGACCCTTTAAATGAGGTTAAAATATATAACCATCCTTGGAGCAACATGTGGCTTGGCAATGCTCATTTCCAAATATCCCAAAGTCTTTTTCTGTTATACATTAAACAGAGGAGCGAGGTTAAAATGTTTGCTTTTTTACAACAGAAATAGTGTGACAAAAGAGGCAAAAAGTGGCGAGACAGAAATGCCGATAATGCGTGTGCTCTCGATGCTTCCAGAGGGTCTGATGAGGCCTGGAGGGGAGCGAAATGACAGAAGTATGCACCTCCACGCATGCTGCTACATGGCCGGTGTCTCACAAACAAAATACGCAATAAAGAAAATGATCAAGAAAAAGATTAAGTGTGTCTGTGTGAGAAAAAACAGCCAAGTCAGTTCTGCAAATTCTCAATCTACAGGGCAGACTTTCATTGGTTCACACTGAAAATAATCCCCTGCAGGCGCATCACCTGATTGGGTGTGAGGGAAGGCCAGTGAAAATGTGACACACATACATCCAGCACAGATAAAGCTGCAAACTGTCAGCCACACAAGTGCTGTCGGTGTCCGGATACGCGAGAGGCAACGCAGGCATGAGGACGCACACCCTTTTGACGCTGGCTCTGCTGGGCCTGCTGCTGTGGGCCCCCCGCACCCGGGCCGACGACCAGGACGCCCCCGAACCCGAGGACAGCGACGAGGACGCCCCTAAACCAGAGGACAGCGACGAGGACGCCCCCGAACCCGAGGACAGCGACGAGGACGCCCCCGAACCCGAGGACACACAGGGAGACTCATCGGAGGAGGACGGCGAGGCCGAGGTGCCACCAAAAAAGGAGAAAACAACAGAGATAGAGGAGGAGAAGGATGTGATGGTTCTCCACATCAACAACTTTGACAGAGCTCTCAGCGAGAATCGATATCTGCTGGTTAAATTCTGTGAGTAGTTTTTGAATCAAGTTTCTTTTGTGTACCGTCGTTGACCAGTTTTGTGCTTAAAAGGTGGTTGGAATAAACGTGAAGGTGAAGTCCTGAACTTGACGGGGTGCAACCTGGACTTATCCTGAGGCGTTATCTCACCCGCGTACAAACACGTGGCCTCTGCGCTCCAGATGCTCCCTCGCTTCTACTCTCCCACAGTTGAGCTCACGGGCGGAGGGTTCTGGACAAGGAAAAGAGTGAAGTGGATAAAGCCCGAGCCCAACGGCCGACGCTGCTATCGGCAGCTCATTTACATTTGCGTGAGATAGCGGCAAAGGGGGAAACTGTGTAGAACGGAGGCCCGTTGACTTCCCGCACGGCTGCTGTGAAGAGATCAACTACATCTGTGTGTGTGTGTGTGTGTGTGTGTGTGTGTGTAGATGTTCCCTGGTGTGGCCACTGCAAAAAGCTGGAGCCCATTTACGCCGAGGCTGCGGCGAAGTTGAAGGAGGAGGGGTCGGAGATCCGTTTGGCCCAAGTGGAGGCCACGGAGGAGATGGAGCTGTCCACGGAGTTCGAAATCCAAGGCTATCCTGTTCTGAAACTGTTCATGGACGGAGACCGAAAGAAGCCCATCGAATTCACTGGTAACACACACACACACACACACACACACACACACACACACATGCACACACGCACAATGCAACTGTAGACCACTCTGTGTGTGTGTGTGTTCAGTGCTGAACCCGTCAAACATCTTCTACACGCCTGAGGTTGTTTGATTGGACCAACGTTTTTTCTTTATCCTTAATGTTTGAGCAGATCAACTGAATCTGACATAATCTAGTTAAATTTGAGGTTTTCCTGTAACATCTGGATAAAGGTTCTCTTTGATTGTGAGATTATGGAGCTGGTTTGGTTGTGTTTGTGTGTTTTCCAGGTAAGAGGACATCAGAGGGAATAATCCGGTGGTTGGAGCGTCGCGCCGGCCCCGGTGCTCCGCTGCTCGACTCCGCAGACTCTGCAGCTCGGTTCATCGAGGCCCATAACATCACTGTTATAGGATTCTTCCATGTAGGTCCACCCTTATCAATGAATAACGTGTTCATATTTACACTCACATTCATGTTTTAACATTCACATCTGCATCAGAATCCGGAGAGCGAAGCGGTCAAGGTGTTCAAGGAGGTGGCTTTGGACCTCGCCGACACAGAGTTCGCTCTGTCAGCGAGTCCGGAGGTTTTCCAGAAGTACGAAGTCAAAGCCAACTCAGTGGTGCTCTTCAAAAAGGTACGGATGTGTTTTGATCCCAACTGAGAGGCTCGTTTGTGTTTTAGAGAGAGGCCGAAGCAGGGTGCACACAGCTTAGCTTTGCTGCCATCTGGTGCAAGATGATTGGAGTAAACGTCCTCACAAGGATAGAAAGATGAGGATATTTAGCTGACGCTGCTTCTTTAAAAGTATTTTCTAACTATGATCGTGACATAGATTCATTCAGGATTCGGGTGACATGTAGTATTTTCACAAAAAGTACCCAGGAGTAGTACAAGAAATGCTTCAGTTTATGCACAACAACTTGTTTGTGTTACAAACAAGGAGGGATGGTGACATTTATAGATAGAAAATGATACAAGACTCAAAACAACCCCAAATAAATGCAGAAATGTATTTTTTGTTAATATTTGGCATCAATAAGTGTGTAATGTTTGTGACTGATTCAAAGCAAATTTCCGGGAGCTGAAGGCCTTTTTTAAAAAGAATCTTACACTAAATCCAAACCCAAAATGCCCAAACTGACTTTCCCAACCAACCTTTCTGTGTTTTGCCAGTTTGACGAAGGAAGAGCAGACTTTCCGCTCTCAGACGACGGGGAGCTGAACCCACAAAATCTGACCGCCTTCATCAACCAAAACAGCCTGGAGCTGATCATCCCGTTCAGCCAGGAGGTAACACACACACACATCATCAGACGTTCTAAAGGAAATGTCAAAGGATGTTGAAGTTATAATGCACGCTGTGTGTTTTCAGAATGCACCGCTGATCTTCTCCTCGGGCGTCCATCTGCACTGCCTGCTGTTCATCAACTCCTCCGTGGAGAGTCAGACCGTCCTGGTGCACCAATCCAGGCCCATCGCCAAAGAGCTCAGGGGAAAGGTAACTGTGTGTGTGTGTGTGTGTCTTCTAAATGAATCATAATGTTACCCCCACTACACCGTATTGCCTCTTTTTGTCTCCCATTTGTGCGCGTTGTGTAGATGCTGTTCGTGAGGATCGACGTGTCTTCAGCTTTGTCCAACGTGCTCAATTACTTCGGCGTGTCCGAGAAAGACGCCCCCACCGTGCGCCTCATCAACATGGAAACGGAGAAGAAGTTCAGCATCGCTGCGGACGACCTCACCTTGGATTCACTCAGGCGGTTGTGCCAGGACGTCGTTGCCGGCACGGCAAAGGTGAAAAAACACACGTGAAGCTTTGTATCCGGCGGCGACATATTCGACCCGGCCTCTAATGGTCTGGTTTTGCGGCGCAGCCTTACTATCGTACGGAGGAGATCCCAGAGGACTGGGACAAAGAACCAGTCAAAGTCCTGGTGGGAAAGAACTTTGAGTCCGTCGCTACGGACCCGACCAAAAACGTCTTTGTGGAGTTCTGTAAGTGTGCGTCCTAAAGCATATACAACTTGTGTGTTTATCATATTGGAACAAGACACATATTTAAAAATCCAAAATATAACTGTTCTTGTGTGTGTGTGTGTTTGTGTAGATGCTCCATGGTGTGGACACTGTAAGGAACTGACCCCCATCTGGGAACAGCTGGCCGAAAAGTACGCCGACCGCGATGACATCATCATTGCCAAGATAGATGCCACGGCCAACGAGGTGGAGTCTTTAACCATCTCGGGGTTCCCGACCCTCAAATACTTCCCGGCGGATGGCAAAGAGGTAGCCTTCATCTTCATCAGCCACACCAGCGCCTCCACGAGCTCTTAACCGTCCTCATTCCTTCCCGTCCATTATTTCTTCTTCTCCCCGTCAGGTGGTGGACTACACTGGGAAGAGGGATCTGGAGACCATGTCCAAGTTCCTGGACAATGGAGGAGTGTTGCCCCCGGCTGAAAGCCAGGAGGAGGAGGAGGAGGACTTTGACGACGAAGATGACGACACCGGTGACGAGGTCTGTGTTTTTTACTGCCACTCAATTTGTTTCTCCCTCTTTTATGGATTTAATCGCCAGTCCCTCATCTTACTTTCATCTTCTTCTGTGTCTCAGGAGGCTCCTGATTCTGCAGAGGTACCGACCAACACGACGTCTAAAGACGAGCTGTGATGTCACTTTGTTTTTTTGATCAGTACCAATTTTTCTTAATAAAATGAATTTGGGTTACAAACATAAATATGTGGTTACTCATTAATATGTTGAATGGGCTTTTAAGTAAGTTAATCCTACAAGATACTTACGTGATGAATAAATCAGAAGCATCAGACATTGAAGTCGACGGGGCGACATATGCTGATGAAAACAAATTGGGGGATATTATAAATATAAAGATAGAAACACTGTTGTGTCTCTAGTGAATCCGAGACGAGCGTTTTAAATGTTGCGTTTTAAATCATTACATTTAAAAACATACATTAAAACCTGTATACAAAGTATGTTACCACCTAATGTGAGTACCAATATATCGCCTGTGAGGCCGCACAGTGGTCCCGTTAGCTACAAGCTAACACTAGCACGCTAACAGACTCACAATGACGGTGCTAAGCTAATGCTAAGAAGGGAACGTTTAAGCTAACATGTTTTATATTATATGAAAAGGGGAAAAAAAGTTTTTTAAAAGGTGTGACATGAGAGGGGGGAGGTTATTTACAACAGCCTTTTCATAAAAATACCCGAAAAAATCTGACACAACCTAGCCATATGATTATTAAATTATTTGTATATACATTTAATTTGAAACACTTTGGGGGTCCCATATCATATAATCAAATTAAATAAGGGGGTCAAAGTAAAGAAGTCTTTAGCAGAACATTTCATAAAGAATGAACAAACTCCCACTAGATAAGCAGCATCTAAAGATGCAAATACTCACAGGTATCAATAGGTTTTCTACAAAGCTATTAGGTAATATTTGTCTTGATTCTAATCTATTTCTTTGTAAACCAAATACTATTCTATTCAGGTCATGTTTTGGTAATCAAATAAAAGTGCTACGGGTGGAGGAGTTGGAGGTGGAGGCAGGTTCTGCGTGAGGGAAAGAAGGTTTGAGAGTTTGCGCAACGGAAACATGTAAACAGGGTTTGGTTTTCAGGGAAGTCAAATGTTTCTAATTCCAGAGGAGAACAGGTTGAACAGGATTAGTTGGTACGACTCGCCCGAAACATGGGACACGATTCCTCCCGTCAGCCTCACACATCCCAGGTAAGGCTGATGCTCCTCACACGGCACAATGTTTAGGTTGTTTCTTTACGGCGCTGGCAGCTCCGATCGGGTTTCCATCGCAACTTTGGCGGCTCGGTTTCACCAGGAGTCTTTGATACCGGTACTGTTGTTTTTAGGAGACTCATGTCTCTGGCATCACACTGGCATGTTTTGTGACATTTAAATGACTCAGCATTATCTGTGTTACTACTGTAGTAACGTTGTGTTATTTTGAACTTTTATTGGGTTTTAAGGTGAGCTTTGTTCAGGTGGGAGTGTGTCGTGCGATAATAAGTGTACTAATACTTTGTGCAGTGGTGGAATGTAACACAACAACATTGAAGTACTTTTCTATTTGACGTTTCTTTCAATGCTACTCCACTACATTCATCTGATTCATTGAGATTAATAATACAAACACATACATCAACAAATGATTATGTGATATTATTGATTGGGATACCGAGCAAAACAGTCAAGTGAAACAATAGTTCTTTTTTTTTAAATAGTCCATTTTGCGTAGTTTTTAAAACTGTGTTTACCTGAGTAAAAGGTTTGAGTTTCACGACTGCAAACATGTAGGTACTTTAAATAAATCCACTCAATGTGTTACCTTTGCAGACCCTATATTTGTGTACATGTTAAGTTCTTCTGAATGTCAAATGTTTCTTAATATATGCAGACTCTGCACCAGACGAGGATGTTGTTTTAAAGTGAATTTTACATCTTAACTTTAGTAATTAAGAAAAACTTGACCGGATGTCTACTTTGTATTTGTAAGTAAACAAAAAGGCCACCGTGTGTGTTGTTTTGTTTTGACGCCGTCACTTTAAACTTCGCCTCACACAGAGATCACAAAGCTCTCGCTGTTGTTCAGTCAGTGTAGGAATAGATGTAGAAGAAGAGATACTAACACCAGCGCCAAATAGGAAGTCAAATGTATTTTGCATGATATCAATGATGTTGAAAAAGTCAAAAACTAACCCTCCCCAGGAAGGCCAATTGCAGGTCAATGACTAAAGGCACTAAACTGAACGTGTGACTGATCCGCCTCTCTGTGTCGCCAGCTTCCTGTTTGACTGGAGGATCTGATGGAACCCCCTTCGTACGAGGAGGCAAGTCTACACCCTTCAGCCTTCAACGTCCTCCCTCCCCCCTACTACCACGGCCCCCAGCACTCCCCCCCAACACCTCCTCCCACCTACGGTGAAGCAGGTAAGAACAACCACCCCATTATCATCATTTATTATGCCCTGAAACGTCAGAGCTGCTTTGATATAGCTGTGTAAAACATTTCATTTAAATAGATGTATATAACTAGTGAAAATATGTATTTAATAGCGATAAAATAAGAAAATATAGCATCTTTGTACAAGCCAATAGAAAGCGGAATCGATTTCAACAGTGAAGGATAAAAAAAAAAAAAGAAAAAGAAAATCATCAAAAATTGTTGTGATATAATAATATATATAAAGATACAATATCGGATGGCAGCAGCGGCGGGTTTGGTGATAGATTAATGTGATGAGTATCAAGGCCTGTGGGAAAAGGCAGTATACGATTCTCCTTGTTGTCCTACATTTTTACTTAATCTGGAGTGAGAACAAAATAGATGCGTTTTCAATTTTGAAAGTGTTCATATTTCTTTTCTCTTTAGTCTCAACCCGGCAGGATCCTTTCCCCGTGTTGACTTTGCCGACTGCTCAGACGTCACGAAACCACGGAACCGTGATCCATCCCATCACACAAAGTATTGCAGCCGCGTCTTTACCTCCTACTCACTCTCGATGACGTAAACCAGCTGTGAAAATGATGCGTTGTGTCTTCGTTGCCAGTCGGTGCGGTGCGGCACGGCGGCAGCAGACGACCTCAGCCGGCGGCGGTGGTGGTGACGCAGCCGGCGCCCGTCCCCGTCTCGGTGAGACACCTGGGAGACATCCCTGCCCTGGTACGCTGCCCGCACTGCAACAGAGTCGTCACCACTGTGGTCAAACACGTGCCCGGGATGAGCGCCTGGTCTTTGTGCGTTTTTCTGGCATTGATGGGGTGAGACAAAGACACACACACACACACACACAGACACACACTGTGTTTAACATCAGAGGGCCGAACCACCTTTAACGTCTCGCCTTGTGTCCGTGCTGGTTTGTGCTTGTTTCAGGTTGATCTGTGGTTTCTGTCTGATTCCGTTCATGGTGCAAAGTCTACAAGATGTTCATCATTACTGCCCAGAGTGTAAAAACCGCCTGCACGTACATCAAAGGTGACACTTTGGGAACCAATGCGGCTGTTGTCTAACAGGGAGAAATGACAAAAATGTAAAAAGATGATACGTGTCTGATCTTGTATGTACATACTCACTCAAACTGTGATAACAATAACTGTGATGTAGGATATGGAGGATATTGGAAGACACATTGACTCAGATTCATTCTTAATAAACCAGAGGGAGCGAGCTCACCTGTGTGGGTGTGCAGGGCCGTCGAGCTGCAACCGGTTAAACATTAACACGCATTTGGAACCTAACAAGTTAAATTGATTAACAGTTACAATATAGAGTTTAAAATGATGGGGTCTTTATCTTTATAATGCTGTTTCCCTCAGTGTCCGGTCCTCATGCCTACAGTTCCTTCTCTAGCAGACTGAAACTATACGAGTATCTATCTTCTCATCCAACCCTCTGCAAGAAAGTCAAATAAATACTGATCTTAAAATGAATAAACACACGGGTTGGATTGTCATGCAACCCTTCATGTATGTGTGTGGTGCCCGTGCTGCTGCGACTAATTCCTGCAGCCAACATCAAGGCCCAGTTTGATTCTTTTTCTTTTTTTTTTTAAATCAAATTCTTGTGATCTTATTATTTATCATTCTATCATGTTGATAGGCAAATAAACATGGTCTTTGTTACTTTGCTGAAGCTGCAAATGTGTTTTTATTTGTGTGACATTCGTGCAATATCTGCGTACGCTGGAGCACGTTTCCATTTTGACCTTGCTGAGGCCGCCAGCGTTGGTTGCAAAGGGTATTCAGATACCAGCGATATACTTGATATGAGCGTCAGCCAATAGCAAAGACACAGCGAGACTCGCATAGGGGAGTTAATCAGCTACAGACCGGTGGGTTTAGTCGGCTGATAACAAAAACGTTAACAACTACCTGCCCAGCACTGATACAAACTCACACACACACACAGCGGACCTTCTTTTCACCACTCCCTTCATACCTTCGAGTCGAGACCTTAGTCGCCCTGCAGGTGAACCGCCATGAAGACGCTGCGGCTGCTCGGCCTGACGGCCTTTTGTCTCTGCGCGTTTGTCGCCGCCGACAAGCGGCCCGAGCGACAGGCGGAGGACAAGCCGTCCCCCGAGGACGGAGACGTTTTACAGCTGAAAAAAGGAAACTTCAACAGGGCGCTGAGAAAGAATAAGCAGCTGCTGGTGCACTTCTGTGAGTCTGCTTGATTGTTTGTTCGTAATTTGCGCTTTGGAGAATGCACGAGTAAAGTGAAGTGAATGTCCTCCCGTGTGTGCAGACGTGCCTCTGTCTGGAGAAGGCCATCGTATCTCGGCCGCGTTCGAGGGCGCCGCCGCCGAGCTTCAGGGGTCAGAGGTCAAACTGGCTGTGGTCGATGTGGCGAAGGAGAAAGACCTGGCCAAAGAACTCAACGTGACAGGCCTCGCCACGATCAGACTTTACCTCGCTGGAGACAAACACAACCCTGTGACTTGTCCTGGTGCGTCCAAATATCGTAGATATTATGTAGGTCCTGATTGCACCTTCTACCTGTCACCTGCTAAGATTCACAAGACAAAACCGATACCTCTTTTCATGCCAGCGATCGTCACGGAAAATCATTATTCTGATTCAACTGTCGGCAAGAAAGCAAGCGAGTCAAACATTTTCCTCTTTCTTCGATGTTAACTATGAAAATTATTTGTTTTTTTTGCTGGATTCTGACAAAGCTCCTCACACCTCGGCTTCCATCTTAGCCTGGCTGAAAAGGAGAGCGGGCTCCGCCGCTGACCTCATCGCCGATCTCAGCCAATCGGAGTCCTCCGAGGAGCTGACGGTGGTTGGCTTCTTTAAGGTGAAACAATCTGTTTCGTTTTTCCTCGCTTCTGTCAATCAATTGTCTGAATAAAAACGAGCATTTGCTTCCCCGTGTGTAGGAGCTGGACCACGAGTATGTCCAGGTGTTCTACGATGCGGCGGTGGACCTTCCTGATGTTAACTTTGCTGTGACACAGAACAATGAAGTGATCACCAAATATGGCCTAACACACGATGTTGTGCTGCTGTTGAAACAGGTACTTTAAATACAACGTAAGCCTAAACAGCAAAGCTGCATTTCAACGCTTCTTTCCTTAGCGCTGACTCAATTCTTTTGCATTTTTGCATGAGGCGTATTGGATTTAAATAATTTAACCACATCTCATATCAAGCGGTTGAAATATATAAAGTAATGCGCTGCCTTCCACCTGTGTTTGTTTGTGTGTGTGTGTGTGTGTTTGTTCTGGTGTGTCTGCTGCAGTCTAAGCTCATCCAGGCTTACAAAATGACGCCTCAGACATCTAAAGAGATGCTGATCGTCTTTATCACCGTCTACCAGATGGACCCGGTCACAGAGTACACGGGGCAGGTAGAGGATTCGCTGCATGGTGCATTTTCACACACTTACTGCATAGCTGCTCTCCTCCCCAATCTGGAAACTTGCATTCAGACTCTAATCTTTTTAATAAATTACAGAAATTCTATAGTCATTGTTAGTTTGTGCGATAGTCAAACACCTCTTGCCTCTTTTTTTATCACATTTTCTGTGAATTTTGTTGAAATAAAAAATATTACTAATCTCTTCTCAATGCAGACCTTTTTTACATTTTGACAACTAAACTGCTGCAGAATATGGTGTAGACATAAATGTGATGTTACGATTTGTGGCTTTGTCCACATTCCTCTGTGAAACGTACAGGTAGAGCTTCCAAAAGTGGAGTTCACAGACGCGTATTTGTCGTTTTTTCTCTCTTGCAGACAGCCACTCAGATATTAAGCTCGCCTGTGTTGAACCACGCGCTGCTGTTTGTCAACAAAAGCTCTGCGGCCTTCAAGGAGATCCACTCTGCTTTCAACGGTGCCGCCGAATCCTACAGGTTGAAGGTAGAAACCCCACCAATCGTTTCCCACAGCAGCGCTGAACAAACACACACGTTAGAACAATAACGTGTGTTTCGCGCAGATTTTGTTTGTGTGGGTGGACGTGGACGAGCCTCGGAACGGCAGGATGATGGAGTACTTCCGGGTTCGGAGCTTCGAGGCTCCTCTGATCCGGCTGGTCAACCTGACGGACCACGTGACCTATCACCTGCCCTCCGACACGCTGGATGTGCACACCATAAAAGCATTCTGCCAGTCCTACCTGGAGGGCGAGGCCAAGGTCAGGCATGCGCTCTCACTCCGTGCGTGACACACACACACACACACACGCACGCAACGGGGACCCGATTTAAGTGACGGTGTTTGTGTTGACGCGACAGCCCAAGATGCAGAGCCAGCCGATACCTGAAGGATGGGACCAACGGCCGGTGAAGGAGCTGGTGGGAATGACTCTGGAGAAAGTCGGCTTCAACCCCGACAAGACGGTTTTTGTCCTGTTCTGTGCGTGAATGCTTTTTCATCGCGAAGCTACCCAGTTGGCTTCGATATTTTGGAATGTGCAGGCGAACAGACACAAAGGTTGAGTCTGAGCTTTATGTCACGAGGAAGCATTCTCTCAATAGCAATCTATGAACTCAACCTACGGCAACGTTCAATCCCTCGCCAAACAAACCATTTTAGCTTTGAAAAAATGAAAAATCTGCAACATGCAACCAACTGAATGGTCCCTGTGATGTCTTTAGACGTTCATGCTTCCTGGGTGACTTATACTGCTAAAACGAGGCCATCAACTCGTGCTTTCTCAGCTTTCCCTTCTGTTCTTTCTACGTTGCCACTTACGGGTGCACGTCTCTTTCCATATTGGACGTGTATTTCAGACCTCCCCTACAGTGCGGCGTCCCGGGCTCTGTTTCCACTGTGGGAGGAGCTGGCCGAGGCTTTGAAGGGTCGAGAGGACGTGGTCGTGGCTCGCATCGACGCCTCCGCCAATGACATCAACATGTCGGTGCAGGGCGGATACCCGTCGCTCTGCCTGTTCCCCGCTCTGTACGCTGAGAGGGTGAGGAACACGCCGGTGCTTCTGTTTTGTCTCATGGAAAGTGTGTGAGTGAGCGTTGCGCTGGTGCTCTGTGGGGGGGAGGGGGGACTTGACCTCTGTGGCGGTAATTTGGTTCATTGAGTGATGTCTTTGTCCCTGTCAGGTTGTGGTTTATACCGGTAAAAGGGAGGTGAAGGATCTGCTGAAGTTTGTGGACAAAGAGATGAAGAAAGCAAAAAAATACAGAGTCACGGTAATTTATGGTACCACAAACCTCAACATTACTGCAGCGTTCTTATAGTTGTTTGTGTGTTTTATCTCTGTGTTCAAAACATACACCTTTGTTTGGCGTCTCCAGGAGGATGAAGACAGGAGGAAGTACATCGAGGCTGCAAAAGCTGAAGAGGCAAAAAAAGCCAACCAAAGCAAAGATGAGCTTTGAAACAGAAACAAAGAGAGTACTGTGTGCGTGTGTGTGTGTGTGTGTGTGTGTGTGTGTGTGTGTGCGTCTTGTACTTTTTAGTCACAAACACAGAACTGGTTTTATCTCAACCAAGCTGTCATTAACCGTCCAATCAAATCCAGCAACGTCTAATACACAATTGTAAAAATATTGGTCAAAACTCTTTAAAAAACTTCTATTCTAGTCATAATAAACCATTTCAACATCGTATGTGTTCCCATAATTGTATCCACATCTCTCAATTAATAGAAATAAAATAAAAACACTCATATGGTTCGTGTGCGTTATTTTTGGACAAAGTCCTCCTACTAACAACAGCCAGGTCGGACTCGCAACCATAACATGACGACATCTGACCGTCGTCATCCGTCAGCCTGCGATCCGCTCGCCGGTGACGCGTCGTGACGTCACGCGGAGGCTGCAGGAGGACGCCGCCGCCTCCGTCCGCGCGCAGCTCCCTCCGCCCGTCTCCTCGCGCCGTCTCTGCGGGCGTCGCGCTGCGCATCGCCGGGCAGGATGGAGCGAGCGGGAGCGTACGGCGCCGCGAAGGCCGGCGGCGTCGCCTTCGATCCCGTCGCCTTCTTCACTCACCCGCGGACCATCCTCAGGCTGATGTCGTGGGTAAGAAAGCCGCCGGTGATGCGTGCGCGGGTTCGCGTCATTGGACAGGCCTACCTGCCCCCCCCCCATTCACATTGTCTGTGTCCCTCGCGCTTTGCCTTTGTGTTTTTTGTCGGGATTGCTAAAAAAAAAAAAAAAATCATGTTTAATAAAAAGCTCAATATCTTTGAATTAAATCTCTGTTTTGCAGCGTGGTCGAATAAATAGAAGTGGTTTCCGAGATGGAGCTCGAGGACCATGCGTCTGGCTTCCATATGCTTATCTGGTGCCTCTTTGTGTCTAGATAGCGCTTTGGGTTTTATTGCCTCCCCATCCAGAATGTGACACCTCTCTATGTGTCTCTGCGGTGCGATGCTGTGCAGCTGTGAGTCACCGCACACATGCAATGTGCACCGAAGGAACCATTTGGTTTAGAGGCATAGCAAGTTAGGAGAAGCACACAATAACCCGGCTCCTTATTTATGTCCCAGTTTCTTATGAAAAAATGACTTGTTTTTTTTGTAAAGACCTATTAATTTCAGGGTGATACATGTGAGAAAAGAGGAAAAAATCACAAATTCAAGACAGAAAAGCAGCAATTACTCAGGAGTGAGCGGCAGGACTCAATAAATGTTAGAAAAGATTAATTATTTTCAATCAATTACTCAACTACTCATTTTAATCATTAAAAACCGCTAAATTAAAACGTTTTGCATGCTGTTGACCGTCATATTGTGCGCTGAGGTTGGTGTCTCGTTTAAAGGGATTCGACAAACATATTTCAAACAGATCATTTCAAAACACTTGCCCATTGAGGTTTGTTAAATTCTTTGACATTGGACGCTGGTACTTCTGCTGAACACAGCTGAAGTAATGTCCTTCTCATAAACTTCACTGTTTGGCGCTTGACATTTTTGCTTAGCAAAACCAGTATTGTATATATTTGTAAAACTGCACCGAGCCCTTTAGAAATGTTACTGGATCTCCGCTCCACCAGACCGGATGACCTTTTTCATAACAACTCATTATAATGTTAAATCAGTCAAACTTTTCCAATTAATTCTGTGAACTTACCCTTTAAAAAGACTATATATACAACGTCACTTGAACAGAAGCTCTGTTTGTACTGGTGTGACTGGGTGCACGAGGAATGGAAGGCATTCACACACCAGTGTGACTTCATTCTCTTCTACCTGTTACATCATGAAACATCTCACACGCCTCTCATCCTCCCCCCTCCGTCAGGTTTTCTCCATAGTGGTGTTCGGCTGCATCATCAACGAGGGCTACATCAACATCGGCAGCGAGCGTTTGCTGTGCGTCTTCAACAACAACGCCGACGCCTGTAACTATGGCGTCACCGTGGGCGTGGCCTGTTTCCTGGGAAGCATCTTTTTCCTGATCCTGGACATTTATTTCCCGTCCATCAGCAGCGTCAAGGACAGGAGACGGGCTGTAATGCTGGACCTCGCCTTCTCTGGTACATTAAATACACACAAAAACAGCGGTGGAAGATAACTAAGGGTATTTACTTATTTACGTGTTTATTAACACGTTTAAAAGATGATGCATGTCACTTTTTTTTCCGGGCCCCTCTGTGTCTCCAGGTCTCGCGAGCTTCCTGTGGTTCGTTGGATTCTGTTTTCTGGCCAATCAGTGGCAGGCGACCTCGCCAGACGAGCTGCCGTTGGCCCAAGGCTCAGACGCCGCGAGAGCCACCATCACCTTCTGCTTCTTCTCCATCCTGACCTGGGTGTGTATGTGTGCACCTGCTGGCCCTAAACCTGCTCTGTTTTTGCGTGCATTCACGTGTGAATTGCGTTTGCGTGTGTGTCTCTTTCAGGGTTATCAGTGTGTGCCGGTAATGAGCACGTTAAAGAACATTTCCTTCATGGAGGACAAGCAAAGGCTCTTACACAGAGCACCTGCAGCCTCGCTTTAGTCCGACACACACACACACACACACACACACACACACACGCAGCCCTTTAGGCGCCCTCGAGCGAGGCTCTTAACCCCCATCCGATCGGTTAAGCTGCTCGTTATCTAACAGGTCGGACCTCTATTGGGCAGTTTCGGGGTGTGAATGTATGTAAATGTGAACAAAGTGTTCTCGGAAAGAAGCTGCTCTCAGCGAAACTTAAATAAAAAACACTCTCACAACGCCAGAGAACCGGCCAGCAGATTTATTAATCAATCAGGGGCCTTGTTCAAACCATTTCCATCATCCGACTAAAAGCAGCCATTCATCTCCCTCTCAGAGGACGTCAGGAGGTTAAGCTGTAATTATGTCAAAGATCTACAGTATATTGTTTAAAAAACAAACATTTTCAGCTAGCCGAGTCCTTCATATCCAACAGTTCTGTGATAATTAGGTCTGTAACCCTTCCTCAGGGATTTATGGCATGTGAAGGGGAAGTCTTCTGCTTTTACACACTGAAGCTGATTTGATGTTCTCGAGAAGCCTTTAAAAACTGTTGAATGAAGACGAGTCAAAATCAATGGTGTTCACCCAGCCACACTTTACATTCCGTACAACATCCTCAGACCCTCACTTATAATGTGTTTTGGCTTTTTAACATCTGCATGATGGTTGGCTACTAACCTCTAACAAACATCTGCCGTAGAAAATAGGAGCATTGTTTTTCTCAAGAAGGGGATTTACCAAACATGGATGGTATAATCAGTAGTAATATACAGTAAGATGCTCTTAACCTCCACGGACCACTATTTAAATGGACTATGACCAAAAGTCGTCCCTGCTACCTTGATTGTGATTACGGGCTGTAGGTAAATTAAATCCAATTGAACACTGAACCAAATCCTCTCAAGGTGCTTCAACACGTGTGTTTTGGGAATCCCTGAATCTTGGTTTGGATGACGCTCCGGGTTTCTGTCATGCAGGCGAAAATATCTCGACAGCTGTTGGATGGATTGCCATGAAATTTCGTTGGACGAATCCCAGTGACTCTGCTGATGCCGTGTCTTTCAATCTGGTGCCATAATCGCGCCGCTAACATGTTTTATCATTGTGAGCATTCATCTCAAATAGACGCTATCGCTCACAAGCTGCTAGCTTGGCTCCAAACTCTCCATCTTGCTGAGAAAAAGCAGTAAAAATCCGTTTCTGAGTAACAGCCCCTGCTAACGTGTGTGTGTGTGTGTGTGTTACTAACAGGTTGTGCTGACGCTGAGTGCACTGCGCCTCTTCTTAACGGGCAGCAACAGAAACTTGTTCACATGGCAACACATGGATCCTCCCCTCGGCAGTGCCAGAGCGACGGCCGTACCCCATCGCCAACGGGGCCACCATCGTGACCACCAACCCCTACCAAGCGCCCCCCTTCACTGAAACCCTGGACCCCCAGAAGCTCACGCAGCAGAGACCCGTGGCTCCTGTCCTCTAGAGACGGACGGAAAACGGGTGTTGTGCTGAGAGACGCCGCGGCCGACGCGGGCACAGATGTCCAGATGTCCTGCCTCGCTGATTAGTGGCCGTCAATCCTCTCCCGGGATTGGCGGGCTTTTTGGGTCATGTGTGATCTGTCTTCACTGTGACAACTGCTGGCTCAGCTTAGTTAGAAACTCTCTGTGTCAAAAATGGTCTTTTTCTGCACACGCACACACTCCCACATACACACACACGTGTACACATACGTGTATGCACAAACACATTGATGCACGCAAACACAGCTGTACTGCAAACACACCTGGACATATACGTGTACAATTGAAAACACACAAACACGTATACACACACACACACACACACACACGCACCCTGACTGCATGATCGTATGGACAGATGCAGAAGAACATAGATGTAGATCTGTGACGACGCTCCATCTGCCCTATGAAGCGATGCAAGGTATTTAGTGAAGGGAACATGGAGGACAGTGAAGTGTTGGTTGCCCCCGGTGAGGCGGACCAGGTACAAGCTGCTCTGCAGAAACGAGGCCTCCGACCAGGCGACGCTGAGACTGACAGGCGGCTTCACCGAGCGACCGCCAGGGAAGTGGCGCAGTGTGGGCAGAGGTTTCTATTGGCAAGAAAACAAAGGCAGGACAGCTGGATGCATTCTGAATGCTGTAGTGTTTCTGTGTGAAATATTTATGTGGTTTAATATTTTATTGTGATATGATGAAATGGTTCAGTGAAATATAAAAAAAATAAAATCCCCCCCACCACCACTATCAGAGCTGTGAGTGTATTTTTGTTCGCATCAACTTTAAATAGTTTTTTTTCTCTCTATAGTGAAATTATGTATTGAGACCTAGATAGATCCAACAATGTGTTATGCAGATCAATCTAAATCCACCGGAAAGTGTGCTTGAATTTATTAGCAGCAGTAGGCAACAGCTGTACTATATGAGGTCTTTATTTTTGTATCAAGCAAATATCAGTGTGTCAAAAACACACGAGATTAAGTGGTGATTAAAATAAATGATGTTGCGCAAAAAAAGTGATAGAAAACAAATAAAATATTCTTAGCAAATTCATCATATAAAATTCCATAAAAAGTCATAGAACAGTTTGTCTCAAAGAATATCACAATAAAGTGATCAAAAAGACACCACAGTATGTTATAGTATATTATGCGAAAATAGACTTTAAAAACTCGAGTAGTGTGTCAAAAAAAAATCATCTAAATTCATTGTGTAGTGTGATGAAAGAAATCATAGCGTAGGAAGTCATGGTAAACAAGTAACCGGGAAAACATATTATCGTGGTATAATATTTACCCAAATTATAAAAAAAAAAAAACTGTAATATGTTGACAAAAATCATAGGATAATAGTTTGAAAAAGAAAGAAAAAAGTCTTAGTCTAGCATGTTTGTTGAAAGAGGTTGAAAAGGGTCCCAGTGTAGCATAACCAAAACCGTCTCAACTGGTGTTAATCGTGTTTATGTTCCTTACTATCAAAATCAATACCAAATTGTTATTTACAAATATATACATTAAACATGACAGTTTTATAAGAAAGAATATGGAGGCCACTGAAAGTCAGACAGAAAGTGGTTTTATTCCAGAACTGTCCAGTCATGTTACTACAGGTGAGCTCACTGTGTCATGCCCTGCTTTCTTTCTGCAGGAACATTATAATATTATTATTATTATATATATATTATTATATCATGAACAACTGCATCACCCAGAGTCATCATTATCATGGTCATTATCATAATCAACAACCTCTTACACTCTGACCTCATCATCAATCATCCTCATCACCAGGAGATAAATTGACATTCAAAATGTAGAAATTCACCATTTTTACTTCTTATATCATCGCCGTTGTGTTAATAAAATATAATCTTAGCTTTTTCTACAAAGTTTTACACGCCGTTACATATGACCTGAATAAGCCCTTCTGTCTGAACAATAAATCTCCCCTAAGCGGTCAGGTAAGACGGGCCAGCTTCAGACAGCAGGGGGCCTTTTCACTCTGCAGACCTGCGATCAACATGCTCCATACTCAACTACCTCTACCCTGAGAATACCAAGACAGAGCGAAATAAAGCAGGAAAGAGGAATGGGCGAGAAAGCAAACGGACGGCACATTCGATCGTGAGGGGATCAGGAGTACGGAGAGGTAGAAACCACTAAAGCCGAGGACGCACTACGCAATTTTGCGGTTCAGAGGTTGCGAGCGGAAAATGAACAGTCGGTGGGTGATCGGGTTCAGGCTGCGAAGGTTTTTCAATCATCACGAAGACGGCCGTGTTTGATTTGACCGGCAAAATACTGCATGATGAAGCAACTTCCAGTGGCAGTTTAGTGTAGGCTAAGAGGTAGGAAAAGATGTGTGACGTGTAAAAAACAAAAAGACCTTCACACGGTTTGACGAAACATTCTTATGTTGCTCCACTTTCAACAAGCCGCAATACAATTTCGAGTTTCTTTCCAACAAAATGTGCCTGCATCAATCTATATGGATGTGCAATTACAAATTACGCATTTTTTTTTTATATAAAAGGGTTTGTCAGTTCTAACTTTTGTGAATTCATTACTTAAAAATCTATTTATTTCATGAACATAAATTGTAATTCCTGCGCCACAGTATATGCAACGAAGGAATTTTACAAAAAGTAAACAGTTCGGTCAAACAAAAAAGGTATTTTGACACTGGATGAGACGCTGTGTTTGAAACTTTGAAAACTCTATCAACTGAATCAGAAACAGCAATTCATTTGACCATCAATTAATTATCATGGTTCAAGAATCCCACATGTGGAGACTTTATCATCTCATTGTAGTGAATATTTTGTCGACCAAAAAATCAATTGACTTATCAAGGAAATAATCTGCAGATTAATGGAGAAAATAAGTTAGACAGTGAGGGCCGAGAGAAGACGACAAGCAAGCGGAAGGTTAACGTCTGAGTAAATATAGCAGGGGAGTGACTACCGTGTCTGAACTAAAGCTAGGACTATGACAGAAGTAAAGCAAACGTCTTCTTGTGTGCATCTGGCGTGCAAACAGCACGGCGGGTTCGAGTCCTCCAACACGCACCGATACGCAAAGTCCGAAAGACTTCTTCTCAGACGCCCAGTGGAAATCTTGTGGTTGTGACGAAGGGAGCGGCGTCTCCCAAAACAGGAAACGCTTCCCGTTGAGGGCCGCGGGTCGCGCCCCCCCCCTCCTCCTCGCTTGTGTGCTTCAGCTGCACATCTGACTCCTCCTCCTTCAAACAAAGCAACCAACACGCCCACATGCTGTCCCCCTAGTCGTCCGCGGGAGCCTCCTCTGATTGATTTGGAGGGCTGGACGTGGCGTCGAATGACAGCGTCCGCCTTCTCAGCTCGACGCTGCTGTCCGTCCGCGGCGCGGCCACGGCTACCCGCTCCTCCCCCGGCGGCGGGCTGGTCCTCCGCTTCCTGTTCCCGCCCGAGGCCGGAGACGCCGATTGGCTCAGGCGGCTCCCCTGCTCCGCGGGGCTCGGGCTCGGGCGTCTGCTTTTGGGCGGCGAGCCGGGAGGCAGCTGCGCGCGCGAGTGTGCCTCGGCGGAACTGTTAATGCGGCTGACTTCCTCGTCGGCGGCGTCCAACTTGGGGCCCGGGTCCGACGGGACGGATTCGCCGCTGGGCACCTTCAGGCTGGACAGCCTCGGCGGGCCGACCGCGGGCCTCGCCTCGGCGTCTGCTTGTGGCTGCGAGGCGCGGGCGGCCTGCCCGGGTGCCTGTTCCGGCCCGGTGGTTTCGCCCTGGCTGCCGCTGTGGCCCCTGCTGGAGATGACCCGCTGGGGGTGCGCGTACTTCAGCGTGTGGACACTGGACGACCGCTGGCGGGACGCCGCGGGAGACGCGGCGGGCCGGGAGTCCGCCAGGTCGTCGGCCGAACCGCTCTGGTCCAGAGAGTCGCAGCGCACGGCCTCCTGCGGACACAAATATAATATATATAATATAATAATATAAATATAATATAATAAGAAAAAGAGGAGAGGATGCGGTGATGATGACCCACCTGTCTCCGCAGCGGTCTGCTGGCAGTGTGGAAGGACGCCGGCCTCCTCAGGACCGAACTGCTATCCGGGACGTATGAGGGACTCAGCTTGTTTCTGTCCAAGCTGTCTTCGGGGCCGAGCCACTGAGAAGGACGTCCGCCGGCGCTGTGGGCGGAACTCAGTCGAAGTGAGGAGTGTCTTTCCACGCCGGGCCCGTCGGCGCGGCGGTCCGCGTCGAGCCTGTACCCGTCCATGCTGCGGGTGGAGCTGAGTCTGTGTCTGTTCATCCGATGGGCCGGGCTGGACCTGTATTCGTCGATGCTGTGAGCCGAACTGAGCCTGTGTCTGCTCATCCGGTGGGTCGGGCTGGACCTGTGGCCGTCGACGCCGTCGGCCGGGCCGGGCCTGTGCGACGGGTGCCAGTCGATGCTCTGAGACGGGCTGAGGAAGATCTTCGGCCTCGAGCTGCGTCCGGTCCCCAGCGATGCGTGGCTGATGGCCGGCAGGGCGCCGGGAACCTGCAGCAGTGAGCCGCCTCCGCTGGAGCCCAGAGAGGTCATAGAGCCTGCAGGGAGCAACGTGCAAAAGAAATTCCCTGAAGGGGTTGCTGGGATATTGCGTAGAAGAGAAGGCGATTGGCATAAATGTCAGACAAACAAACGGCACCGGGGTCGAAGGTGCGGCAACATGAAAACGGAATCCAGTATTTCTAAAGAGTCTTATTGAAAATGAGAATTTAAAAATGTCCAGATGGATTTATATACTGAAATAATACACTTTATATCCAATAAACATACAAAAGGGAAAGTTACCAGAATATTTGGTGACTCGTTTTCAAACAAATGCACAGATTCACTCTTCCTACCCAGAATATCCTAATTTAATAAAACGAGATGGATGGGTCCTAGATGGAGAATCCTTTTTCTCTTGTGGTTTAAAATCCAATCACAAAAAAAATGATCCTATCAACAACTCTAGTCTGTTTATCCAAAGCCAGATCAAACGTAATAAACACTCACTACTGCAGCACCCAATATTTATTAATCCACAATAGAAAACAGGCCGCATCAACCCAACCTCTGTTACAGGAAGTAGCCCTGCTGCTGCGTTTCGGAATATTTAGCTATTTAGTGTATTCTTAATTACTTTTTCAGTGTTTTGCCATGTTATTCTGAAGTGGTAAAACTATGAGAGGAAATCAACCAGCAGTTTGTAGGTGCACACTCGTACCAATTTGTCACTAATATTAAAGTGACCATCTCTCTCTCTGGTTTCTGTAAATCTCTTGTTGTATACGTCATCATATCTCAACAGCCTTCTATGCTATTTATGGGAGCGATAACCTTTACAGCAGTCATTCAGTAGTTGTAGCGCAGTCGCTTAATTGAATTGGCTGTAAACAACCAAATTACCTGAGTAGCTGTAGCCGGAATACGCCTCGTGGCAAACGGGAGGATAAGGGGAGCATCTGAGTGGCTGGACGTAGCTGTCGCTGGGGAGAGACAGCATGCGTCCTATGCTCAGCAGGTTGCCATGGGAACAATCCTCGTCCTCAACCTGCAGCTGCCACACAAGATCGTCACCCCAGTCAACGTCATTGTCATCTTTCCTTCACACAGGCGGAAATGGAAAAACACAAACTCTGTCTGTCTGTTACCTGAGCAGGTGCGCCCGCGTTCGGCGCCGGGTCTCCGCCCAGAGACGCGGTGCTCAGGCGGCGGTTGGTCTCCTCCCACTTCCTCATCTCCTCCCGCTCCCTCATCTCTTCCCGCTCTTTTTTCTCCTCCAGCTCATCCAGCAGCGCCTCCTTGTTGCTCTCCTCCAGGTGCTTCATGAGAACGGCCACGACCACGTTGACCAGCACGAACTGAGCCGTCAGGACGAAGGTGACGAAGTAGATGGGAGAGATCAGGGGCAGGTAGGTGAGGCAGTGGCGTTCCTGCGGGCGACACTCTCGCAACGTGTCCTGGACCCCGGGGGGGTGGGGGGGGGGGGGAAAGAAGAGAAGAACATAGAGACCATGAAGCAAAGTCGAAGAAGGTAGATTCATGATCGTGATTCATGGTGATGTTCAGGTGGATCCATGAACTTGGACGTGTTTCCTCACTTCTCCAACAGGGGGAGATGTGGATCTGAGTGTGAACAGACGTTGAGCCGGTCACAGAAGAATCCTGTTCTCCCCTAAAAACCCCTCATGAAACAGCGATCTTCTCTCCGCTTAACGCAAACCCTGTTTCAGAAGCGGCTGCTTTGAGACAGTCAGCATTCGCACAGAAACACAACCGTGGACTTCCTGCTCTGTCCATCGCACACAGAACGCACACAGCAAAGGGAGGAAAATAACCTTCATAATCCCATTCCAGTTGTCCCCGGTAGACACCCTGAAGAGGGTGAGGAAAGCCATTCCGAAGTTGTCAAAGGTAGCGTGGCGACTAAGACCCTCGCATGGGTTCTCGTCCGAACACTCTGTGCGAGGATAAAAAGAGGAAAAGGTTTCTCAGAGACGGCAAGTGTGGGGGAGGAAGGCAATAGGGGGAGAAGAAGGAGAACTTGTAGATTAGAGCGCTCATTAGAACACTGATTCTACATAATTAACATAATTAATGTTACAACAAGATGTATGCATGTTACATAATCTAAGGATATCTCACCCGTCAGCTGAGGCTCGCACTCTGTCACGCGTATCTGTGCATCATCCGTATCAATACATATATATATGCATGCACACACTCACGTGCTCGCCCATTCACGCATGCATGCACGTACACGCGCGCACACACACACTAACCCAGTTTTCCAAAGAGCTCAACTCCCAGAGCTGCATAGATGAAGAACAGCAACATGAAGAGCAGACCCAGATTCCCCACCTAGACGGACATATTACGGGCACACACAGATATATACAGTGTATGATACACAGAAAAAAGGACATGTACAGTATTGATCGGGAGTCTCGCAAACATGCAAACAGAGAGAGGCCATAGACGGATGTTTTCTACATCTTAAAAAAACACAGCGGAAGCCGTCCTGATGCCTGAATCATAACTGTGGTTTCACAGCCTGGATCCAGACCTAATGAGCCTCAAACCTGCCTGTTCACTCTAATAATAAAGCGATTCAGAGGGACTTGGCTGTGGGAGGTGGGGAGATGTCTGATTGGATGATGGCTGAACCCATTGATGAAGTTCACTTGGACACACCCCCCCCCCCAAGGACCAGGGTTCAACCCCCCCTGCAGTGATCTGTCACTTCACAGACATTATTCCTGGTCGGGGGTGCGATAAAGGATAATGGGTATTTTGTTGCACGAGAGTCACTTTGTTTGTTGGGAAAACACACGGCGAGCAGTGGATCTGCGAGTGTGCTATGATTTTGTAATTGGCCACTTAAATTTGAAAAGACTAATTTAAGTGGTTGAAATGTAGCTGCATGATGTACTAGAATGAGCTTGTTAGTAGACAGAAAAATAAAAAAACACCATATTGGACAAACTTTTGACCCGATGATGGTACTTGATTAAAGGTTAAGGGACAACCAAGGTTATCACAATCCGTCCTGACGGAGACAGGAATGGGTTTAGCAAAGTCCACGACAATCTATCCAGTAGGACAAATATAAAACCTCATGTTGGCGCTAGAGGGAGAAGTCACGGGATCACCACACTCGTTAGGCGTCACACCCCTGGGATCATTTCTGTACGAAATGTATAAGTTGCACATTTCAGACTGGATGGAAGAGGTTGCCAACCCGTCCAACATTATCATCCCCAGAGCCAAACTGTTAAATATAAAGACAGTGTCAGCTGGTGGTTCTGGCTCGAGAAGTCTGGCGTGCAACAACAATAGTGCTGCATAAAAGAAAAAGAAGCCGCATCCTGAATGAGACAGGTGACATCGTAGAGGCTTCAAGCAAAAAAAAAAACCCAAAACGATTGGATCAGGCCTCATTAATCACTTTTGCCGCATCTCAGCGCAATGTCATCTGGCAATCCGATAAGTGCAATCATCCCTTCTCGGTAGAATATTTGGCCGATTTTACTCTTTAACTGACGAGTTTTACAATCTTGCTTAAAGGGAGAATAAATCTTTCTTCGTATTTTTTAATCTTCTCATAGACGATAAGTGGGAAAACAATGGCACGGAAGCGGCCGTTACGTGTCACAAAGTAAAGATCGAACTGTTTTTTTTCCATCGGCCACGCAGATACGTTTAAGCATCAGCCTTTAGCCTCCAGCTAACTACGAGAACGCCGTTCTCTGGTTATTCAGTGTCAGTAAATCATGAACGGGGGCAGTCCGTGCCAGGTCGGATAAATCACTGAATAAAACAAGCTGTCTGCAATTGTTCTGATCCGGGAAACCGGGCTCGGAGTTAAAGGGATGCGGCATATTTCACGGCGCCGCGCCGCCTCTCACCTGAGGCAGGGCTTGCATCACTGTGTCCAACAGAGCTCTCATTCCTGTCGCCATCTTCAACAGCTTCAGCACTGGAACATCAAAACGGGTCGGCTCTGATCAGCCACATGCCATCGTGTTTGTGTTGATTTGTGTGCGCGTGTGTGTGTGTGTGTGTGTGTACCTCTCGTTATCCTGAGGACTCTCATGATGCGTATGATGGTTGGGTTGATGGGGAGGGAAGCGTTCAGGTCTATTTCTTCCAGTGCGATTCCCATGATGGACAACAACACAATGGCGAGGTCCAACTGGTTCCACCTTACACACGCACACAGACACACAAACCGTTTCAGTTCCTGTAAAGGATAAAGTTGTGTTTGTGAGCGCCTTTGTGTCGACGTGGATACCTCTCTTTGAAAAAGCGGCGCAGGCCAAAAGCGATGAGTTTGAGAATTGCCTCGATGACAAAAACCACCGTGAAGACGTAATTGCAGTACTTCAGTATCTCCTCGAAGTACTGCGGGGACACACAAACGCACACTTTGAGGAGCAAAACCCAAACAGCTGTAGCTGTAGCGTCACCGCCGCGCGTTGCTTCATTACTATGGTTCTAGGGCAGGTGGTGGAAAGCGTTGCCATGGTTACCCGAGGCTGATTGTAGTGCTCCATGCTCATGGTGAGGAGGTTTGTGAAGATGATGATGGTGATGAAGAGGTCCAGGTAGTGGCTGGTGCACACGGTGTGGATGGATCGACGCAGTGGGGAGTAGTCAGCGTAGTACGGCTTCTCCTGGGCCCCTGCGTTTCACACAAAACAAACACACACACACACACACACACGGTCATTAATGCTCCTGGAAGAAAAGCGTAACTTGGATTCAAGGACTAAGTGGACGCAAAGTGGTCTGTGTGCATATGTGTGTGTTTGGGCGAAAAGAGCCAACTCAGGAATTCACACTCCTATCCATCATGCGCACACACACACACACACACACACACACACACACACAAAAGGCACACTGCACGGCACCTCAAGGTGTCTTTGGGGCAAAAAACTCTCGCACCGCCCGCTGCCAGACAGTTAACTGACTAAGAGGAAAAGCACTACTAGAGATTACACTGCAGAGAGAGAAGGACGGAGCGAGACAGACGCAAAGTATCCCGAGAGGGAGACAGCGCGTGCTTTAGAAGTGTGTAATTGCACATTACATGTGGTGAGGTCCCCGTGTATGTTTACAAATCTGCGGCAACGCTTTGTTCCTTTTTATTTAAGAGTGCAGTGAATAAAAAGGAAATCTGTGTTGCTCGATGTTCGGTCCCTATAGCATCCCATGACAGACAGATGCCCTGGCACACGTGTCGAGGTGGCATCGGCACATTGGGTTTATTGGCAGCCTTTGGTAGTCTTACACAAGCACAACGGATGCAATTCCCATATTGGAAATAATGCTCTCGCGTGTGATTGAACGCAAATAAAACGCCCAAATGTTTAAGGAAGCTGTTGTTATGAAAGCATATGGGTGACTGTGGCTTTTACTGCACGTCTCCCATCCCCTCCCGTTATCTCACTTCTCCTCCTCTTCTCCGTCCGCTTCTGCCGCTTCTCCTCCCTCATCCGCGCCTCCTCCTCCTCCTGCTGCTGCCGACACTTGTGAAAGTTTTCCACCACCACGCCCACAAACATGTTGAGCACAAAGAAGCTGACGATGAGGAGGAAAGAGATGAAGAACAGCAGCATCCAGGGGTTGTTGTTTCTTATTGGCTGCAGAGAGAAAAAACGGGAGAAGCGGAGGAGGTGGGGAAGGAGGAGGAGAGGCGGCATGGGGACAAACAGACAAAGAGAGGAGGGCCGAGTAGTGATGGAGGAGGTTGAGAGGAAGTAGAGGAGAGGAGCGTAAACAAGGAGACAATGTAAATCCTGAGTCAGCACTGCGATGTCAACTCACATCTATTTATCCATCTGCCTCCTGTCTTTCCTTTACACATCTGTTCTGAATGCTTCCCTGATTTTTACGTGGCACATCCCCTCTTCCTCTCTCTCTCTCTGTGTGTGTGTCTGTGTGTGTGTGTGCGTGCGTGTGTTTCTTTACCTGCCTGTCCACTGCGACAGCGTCCAGGCCATCATACATGATGCTGACCCAGCCGTCCTTACATGACAGCACAAACAGAGACATCAGTGCCTGGAAGAGCGAGACACACGTCCGTCAATCAGTTTGTGAAAGCAGGCGACAGCTCTTTGCGTGTGTGTGTGTGTGTGTGTGTGTGTGTGTGTGTGTGTGTGTGTGTGTGTGTGCAGGACAAACCTGTCCCAGGTTGTCAAAGTTGTATTTTCGTCGAACCCATCGGTATCCCGCCCCCAGACACTGGGTTTTATTCATGATTTTGCTCACATCAAGCCCGTCACAATAGAAGAACTTCCCTTTGAACAGCTGTATTGATAGACAGTGCACACAGATAAACACACACACAACAACACCGTGACCTAAAGGTAAACAAAGCTCTTTTTCTGTACAGTGAATCTATGTTGCAGCTACGACATCCGAGTACCATCTGGTCTGCTTCACAGCGATTCCAGCGCGGAGAGCTCTCATTACAGGACGACTCGGATGAAGTGCAATTTGAGAAATAAATGCCTGTGAGGATTAGCTTCAGCATTCATCAAGCGTAATCTTCTGTGCTACTAGCAAATACCTTAGAGTTTACAGGTGGTGCCTCTGGAAAATACTTTTAACATATATATATCTATATATATCTATATATATAGATATATATATATATAGATATGGATAGAACATTACATCATATTTCCAACAATGATTATTCAGATGTGTTTTGGATCATAGTAAAGGCCGACTTTTACAAGCTTAACTTTGCTTCCTTTATTATCAGGTGACAATTCAACCATTTGGTAAAGCATATTAAAAAATATATATTTGACACGTTTTTGATTCAAACTACACAATTATGTACATGTGTATAATGTACATAATATGTTGAATGAAATACTTTTGGAATAAATAAGCTTCCCATGGACATTTTCAACAATTATGGTCCAAATGTCCTTCTTGAAGACAAAGTGACATCTAGCTGATTTCTTTACGACTCGGCGTTAGAGATCAGGTTAAGTTAAGGTCAATACATGTTTAAATAAGACAGAGACCAAAAATGTTCTTTACCAAACTGTAGAACAGAAAGGGATGTGATAGTGATAAAACTGAGTGATTATTGTACACTTGAATCAATAATTTACTGTAAATTCTTTGGCCAGACGCTCCTGGTCCCCAGATGGTGAACAACTGTTTTCTATCATGATAATCTTATGGATCATTGTATCCTGTACAACCTTTCATTTATTGTATGTTTTTAAACAAATACATGCAATGAATAAATGCTTGTTAAAAAAACCAAATACATAACAACTTCAACTGATTAATTAATATGTTAGAAATCTGTATGCCAATCAAATACCAGCCAAACTATTTCAGCAGAATCCCTGTATAGTTGAACCATTGTATTTTTAATTACTTCCAGGGACTGTGGTGCATAATCAGCTCATTTGCATTCCCTCCCAGGTTTTCTCATCCTTTTTTTTTTTTTACCTGCAGCCTTTTCTGAGTTGTGCCTCGTTCATTTTTAACCATGGTGATCAGTGTTTTCATGCAGCAGAATAGACTTTGGATGTTTGGGCACAAAAACTTGGTGAAAATAAGTTTAAACAGGCTATTCTTTTAATGCCCAAAAAAACCCTTCTAAAAAAACATGGCTTTTCCCCAACAAGGGAATCTAGATAGTTTAAATATTTACCTGGACCCCCAGAATTCCAAACACGATGAAAAAAGCACAGCAGATGAGGACGATATTTCCGATGGGTCTGAGAGACGTGATCAGAGTCTCCACCACCAGTTTTAGACCAGGAGCCCGACTTATAACCCTGCAACAAACACACACACACACACACACACACACACACAGTTACACACACGCTACCACACCAAATAGTATTAATGGAGCAGACACAAGAGAAAACACTGCAATCCTGCCTGAGTGGTCGCAGTGTGCGCAGCAGACGCAGCACACGGAGGATGCCCAGGATTCGATTACCCCCTGCTGATGCTATGGAGACCAGGATGTCCACCATGGACACAAAGACCAGCACTCCGTCTAAGACATTCCAGCTGCTCTGCAGGTAGACACCGTTTCCAAAGTACAGGCCCATAGCTACCACCTCAAAACAGACACACGGCAGAATTACTGACATCGTAAAACAATAGGAGGTGAATAATATGAGATGGAAAACCAGTCTGTAAAGCAATTCTGATCCCCCGCAGAGAAAATTGCCCTTTTACAAGTAAGTTGAGAAAGTGAGTCTGGAGTAAAGACGTGGTTCATGAAACGTGTCTTGTTATGGTTACCTTGATCATCATTTCACCCACGAAGATCACCGTGAAGATGTAATTGGACAAACTGAGGAAGACCCGCTCCTGTCACACACACACACACACACACACACACACACAGACAGAGAAGCGCATACTTCAATCCTAGGGTTACGTTTCCCAGTAGCTTTAGAACTCTCTCTCCGGCGTGTTGTATAATGAGCTGAAATAAATATCCATTAAGTACGACCAGTAGTACAACCGTGATTAAAAAAAATACTGAGAGCAGCAGAAGATTTCTTATAACGTCTCCCAAACTGCTGTTACATCACCAACGAGCACATAAAGGCTGCAGTAATCAGCGGCTTGTGATACGTTGAGTCGTGTGTGTGTTTGTGTTATATTTGTACTTCTGTACTTTTGTGAGGACCGATAATGAAAGATTGAGGCCAGTCCTCACTTCTCTACAGGGCTGTTTGAGGTTTGGACCAGATCTCAAACCCTGCATTTAAAAAAGCCAATCAAGTAGTAAAGAATATTAATAAAATATATTGAAATAGAGCAGACCAGCCGAGGAACAGTTTCAGTGCAGAATTACAACCATTGAGTTCAGATTCAAAGCTGCTACAAGGATTTTGGACGGTCCCTGCGGGTGTTTCTGATGAGTCCCTTTATAAAACCTCCCATGTGATTGCATCAGCTGTCTGACAATCAGTCCTGGTTCTCCCTTCCCTCCCGTGGGCCCAGCAAAACGGCCCCGGGCCCCCCGGCAGAGTGTCAGAGTGTGCGAGTTGAAGGAATAACTTCTACGGTCACAATTTGGTCAAACTTTCTTCGCCGGTGTTCATATGGAGACATCAGAATTGAGTCTCATAACCACTTAAAAGTTCCTCAAAGTAACTGGTGCTACGATGGTGCTGGGGGACGCGCTGTGTCACCCGGGGTGAAGTATTGAGCAACAGGTGGATGTTGGCGTGCGTGCTACCATGCTGTTGGACGGTATGTCGGGTCTCTCCAGTGCTATGGTGATGCAATTCAGGAAGATGAAGAGAAGGATGACGTGATCAAACATCTTGTGGCCTATGACCCTCTGACACCACAACCTGAGGCTGGGGAGAGAAACGGAGAAGGACACGAATGGGTGATGGCACATCACGGATCACCTGCTCCACTGCATGTGCCAACATACAGATGTAGCCTTAAATTGATACCAAGGGTAAACTTCACACTTCAACTGACAATCTGTCACACGCGCTGCGGTTTAAACCCTCCCTAGGCCACCCAGGAAAATATCAGAGTCAGCGTGTGTGTGTGTGTGTCCGCGTGAAGAGGGTATTTACCGGTTGTGTGGAGCGAACACATAGAGCGACCACTCCTCGTGCTCCAGGCACCACTGAGGCTCGTACGGCTCCAGAATCTTCTTCACCTTCTTACATAAACTCTGGAAAAAAAAAAACGAACACATACGAACTGCATGATTCATTTGGCGGAGCTGTGCCCTCAATGTATGACTGCGTGTGAAGGAGTGAACGTTGACATCTCAATCTACATATGAATGAGAGTGCAGCGCAGAAGGCTTTACCTCCTCAACCTCGTCGTCCTCCTGATCGCTGTGGTAGAGCGCGGCCAGGGGGCCGTCGTCCGGGAGGTGGAAGGTGGTGCCGTTGCAGTCGGGCGAGTGGAGGGCGGGCACCTGCAGGTACTCCGACTGGTCCAGCGACGGCTCCCTGCTGCTGAGGTCGGAGCTGGTGTGCGCGTCGGACAGCAGGGACTCCATCTCCCCCGACTGGCTCCTCCTGTGGAGGCTGGGGGCCCGGCCGATGCTGGTCCAGCTGGAGCGACGGCTCTCCGAGCCGCAGTCCCACGGGACCTGTGACGGCAGCTTCGAACAACAGGAACGACTGGTTGGGTTTCTGGATTTATTCCTTTGAGCGCAGATGAAGGAAAAACGTGTCGCGGACCCCGGGAAGCGAATAGCGGCCCTCGATAAGCGCCCCTCGATTCATCGCCTTACGTGACAGTAAATGGATTACGAAATAAAAAGAGTAAAACGGAATAGAAGAGTAAGCTTTTCATCCACTCCGAGTTGTGACAAAATAACAGAACTGAGTGCCGTCCATTGTTCCGCGAGATGCCAGATTCAAAGAGTGTGACATCAGTCAAGGACACCTACGTTAATATTCGAGGAAAGGCGAATAACTGAAACCAGCTGGAATGTCACCAAAAGGCCAAGACAAATCTTCCAACCATTCAAACATCCACAGCTGGAGAGAACACCACACCTGACAGCAGCGTGCCGCCAATTAACGGGCAGCGGCAGCCGAAAAGAGCAGCAACGCATATCGTTTTTTTTTTTTCCTCTGCATTGCACAGCTCACACACTCTCGGTCACGCCTGAAAAAACTGATTTCTCTCCTGCGGTGATTCCACGTGAGCCGATGGTAACTGGTGCTGGGATCCACTCGAGCGTGAGACACAATGAAACACAGACGTGAGACAATATTTGGCTTCGCAAATGTAATTGTGTTTTTGTGAGAAACCCTCAAGGTCATTAAGATTTGTATTTTCTCATATGGAATATAAAGCTCTGTTATTTTGTAGGTTTTTAACTTGTGCAGAACGATCACAAATCCCCAATTTAAAAAAACGTGGATAATCATCCTGCGATCGTATCTAAAGCACAGCTAATCCGGGCTTTGTCTCTTTCTTAATATATTTCCCCATTCTCAGTTTGAGTGCTTCATCGCTGGGCATTTCATTTAATGTGGTGACAGGAAAAGTGGAGGCGCGTGTCCAAGGCTCACCGGCGACCTCTGCTCCGGGCTGTGGGCGTCCATGGAGGCGGCGCTGGCCCGGCGTGACTGGCTGTAGGTGATGATGGGCGTGGCTGCCGTGTGCGTGATGACCGGCAGAGGGGGAGGGAGGTGAGGGGGCATGGAGGCCTTCGGGTTCAGGAGACCATTGGGGCTCAGCATCATGGCCTGAATCTTGAGCTCTAAACGCACACACACACACAAGTGATGCAAACATATGTAAAGGATAATTCCAGTTTATCAAAACTTGTATTGGTTATTGTCCGTGCTGAAGACACAGTAGTCCATTTAAGGCCAAGACAAACGCACAAAAAAGGACAATAACTTTAAAAAGCAGCTTACAAATCCCCAAAGAGAAACTCTCTGCAGCTGTTATTTTTTAAAGATTATATTTTGCCATAATTGAGACCCCCCCATTTCACCCCCATTGTGGAAATGGGGGGGTGAACACTGCAATTACACTGAGCTACCAAGGAAGTCTGTTTTCAGTGAATACTAAATAGAAAACATGTAAAAGGATTTTAAATCAGCGCAACATTTTACTGAATTTCGGGGCTCCGTCCAAATTATTTGAGGCGTTGCCTTGGTGATATACTACTGTGTCAGGTATGGCAGGTAAATTGTGACACTTTTCAGCTTGGCTTTAGAGCTGCAGCTGCCTGATCCAAGAAGTGATCTTCAGGACTAGAAGGTCATTAGCAGTGCACGTCCCCCCCCCCGCCGCGCCCTGAGCGCCACGAGTGCCACGACTTCCCGACCACTGCCGAAAACTCATACGCCTCATCTGTCTCACACAAACAACGAACGGGGGCAGCGAGTGACGTGAGGAACTGTGGCAGCTCGGCGGCTCGTTCGCTCATCGGGCTCGTTCTACCGGAGAGAGCGAGACGCAGCGCTTCAGACGCTCATTTGAGCCCACTGCCGTCAGACTGCGTGACAACAGCAGAGCCCACGGTCTGTCATCTGCCTGACCCCCCCCCCACCTATCCCCACCTACCCCACAACAGCCCCCAGTGGCCATCATCCCAAAGTGGATCGTAGGGGAGTGCGGCTATTTTCGCCTGCGGTTTTCTACGTTTGTCTAGGGGTCGCTACCTGCGGCGTACAGCTCCCTCAACTTCTCCTCGTCCTCGAAACTGAGCGATTGGCCCTCTTCGTCCGTCTCGGATCTGTTGGCGTCTCCCTTAAAAAAAAAAAAACACACACACACACACAAAACACCAGCGGAATCACCACCGACATCGTCATAATCTGTGTGCTGGTGCGACAGTGAAAAATACGGCCGAGGTTGAAAGGGAAAGACTGGGAGACAAAGAAGGGAAGGCAGACGGGCGACGGGGATCTCCAGGGTTCCAGAGTTGAGTTATGTGCACGGCTTTGGCAGCGATCTCCTGTACTCGCGCCAATAAAGCTTTACAGAATTTAATTAAAATTCACGCCAGAAAGATGGAGGCAGGCGGCTTTGGCAAAGGGTATCTGAGTGTGTGTGTCTGTGTGTGTGTGTGTGTTTGTTTTAGAGAGAGAGAGAGAAAGAGAGAAGGAGAAAGTTCTCTCTGATGCTGGAGATAAAAGATGAAAACTAAACAACAAAAGCTCACCAGCTGTGAATGGCAGGCGATATCAAACACATCCTACCCTGGAGAGTATCGTGTGTACGTGTGTGTGTTGGTGAGAAAGAGAGCGAGAGGGTGAGATAGAGGAAGGGAGGACAGAGGAAGTTGGATGAAGAGAGAGAGGGGAGAAACCACACAGGCAGGATGCTGGAGATTATTCTCTTGTCGGCAGCTTTGGTATCGTCAGCACAACAGAGCTCAATTAGTCTCGTCGTCTCCGCCTCGTTCTCTAAGTAGCTCAAAAGCAGCGTCACTTGGCCCTTACTTCGGCCTGAAAGCCCTCAACCAAAATGGCCACGAGCAGGTTGAAGAGGACGTAGTTGCCGAAGGTCATGAGGGCTACAAAGTAGAGGGCGGCCAGCGGCGTGGTGGAGGCCATGCCGTTGTAGAGCACCCCGTTCCAGTCCTCCTGGGTGAGGATCTGCAGATGGGGGAGGTAGGGGGGAGATGTTTAGAGATGGCGCAAGTCAAGACGTATGTGGGGATTAGAAAAATGAAGACAATTAAACATGAGCAGATTCTTCATTTGATATCACACTGTCAGTTACACGGCCGTGCTCATCAGTGTGAGACGAGCTCCTGTGGAGAGCTTGTTTCATTACTCTTCCTCCCACTTTGCTTGTGGAGCCAATCTTACCTGCCCGCTGGGAAAGTTTCGGAATTTTGTTAAGAATGAGGGATCCTAAATTGGAGCGTGCGTGAGTGTGAGTACTCCTAAATTGGAACATCATCCGGGCTAGCAGTAATTAATCGATGGGGAAAATCGTTAAAAATGCCCGATTTACTCATCAGTGATCTCGTCCGTGTCTTTATGTTTGCATCAGTGTCAGAAGAGAGACTGCGCGTGGGTGTGTTGGTCTAACCTGAAACACAGTGACAGTCGCCCACAGCAGAGAGTCAAAGTTCTTTCTGTCGGGGAAAGTGTCTCCACTGTCCTGCAGCAAACCGAATTTACAACCGAACAAATGCATCCCCAAGATACTGCAACACAAAGACAATGACAACATGTGTTACTTTCATTATCTAGTCAGCTAACATGCATGTGTTATAAAAGAAGATTATGCACGTAGTGATTTATATCCTGTAACGTTGTGGTGAAAAGGTCAGAGCTCGTTATTTTGATTCTTTCAAGGTGTAATTAAACCTGAGAAAAACAAACAAGCTTGTCTCAACTTTTATAGAGGAAAAAAAAAACCAGAATATACCTGAATATGAAAATAAAGAGCATGAGCAACATGCAGAACGTGGCTACGTTGTCCATCGTCTTCATCAGCACCACCAGCTGCCTCCTCAGGGCGGGAAGGAAGCGGACCAGCTTCAGAACCCTCAGCAGCCGGAACGTACGGAGCACCGACAACCCCCCCTCTGCGTCACCCGAAAGCTCCCACACGCTGCAACGCACAAGTCCAGTTCACATCAAACCATATACATATATGTGCTCAACTGCAGCTCGAACTCTTTTCGAGGGCACACGAGCCTCACTTCCAGGTGGAGGAAGGTCTGAGTCTGATGAGAGGGGATGTGGGCCAACGCTGTTTGCAACCTACCAGCCAATAAAGGAGGTGCTCTGGCACAGTAAACAAGCAGAGCCCTTCCAGCGCAGATGCATAATTTAGCTTGTTGTACAACATAATGGAGTGAACGAGGGCCCCCTCGGAGTAGGAGTGCATGCAGGGCCTCTGTGACAGCCCCGGAGACGTCACAGCGGGGAGGATTTCCAAAGGACGGGTCGGATGCAAACGGAATTCTTATTTCGGGGTGAACTCACAGTCAGACTCAGGGACTCACCTGATGATGACGATGATGCTGTCGAAGCCGTTGTAGGGGTTCTTGATGTAGCCAAAGAGCCCGAGAGCCATGAGCTTCAGCACCATCTCCAGGCTGAACAGACTTGTGAACACCATGTTACTGATCTCCAAAATATCTGTCAGCTCCTTCGGCTGAAGAGGAGCGGTGTTTGTGGCAGAGAAAAAGGGGGAGAGATTGATGTTAGACAGGTGAGGAAAACGAACAAACAAACAGAGGCAGACAGGCTGCCAGTGAGCAGAGCAGCAGAGTCAACACGGGAGCAGTTTTTAAATTGTTACTTAGGGCGACTTAAATACGGAGAGAGAAGCTGCTCCAGTGGTTCCCCACACGCTTTTTATCATTATTACCATAAAGATTATTCAAATCAGTGGTTCTCAAACTGTGGGGCAGAACATGCAACACAGAGGAGAGATACGGTTTTGCCAAAAAAAAAAGAGTTAGAGAGAGATGTTTGTCCAAAAAGAGGGCCGGGGAGGTCATCAAGATTCTTTTAGGCTGCAAAACACTGATGATATTTCGAAAGAAATTGCTCACATCACTTAATATTTTTAATTAGCACCACAGTGGTTTATGTAGTTCTAGATAAGAACTTATGGAAAGATTGAAAAGCCTTCTCAGTTCAAACTGGGGCATGACGGCACAACAGCTTAGAACCACTGACTCATTTTTCTTTCTTGAGATTTTCAATTAAATGCATTATGTGGCACTTTTTTGCTGTCTATTTTCTTCCATTATTTTCAAACCGACAAAACATTGTAAACAAGTAACTGTGCCTTTGAGCGTCCTCTGAGCAGGAACATTCGCCTGACGTAGATCTCCTCTCCGTAGAGAGAGAGATCACAAAACAAGTCTCTGAGGTGCTTCAGACTGAGCTGCACATTTTCATTTCCCTAAAATGAGGGAAAGTCGTCGAATGAGATTGTAAAGGCCCTTTGTACTTTTAGACGACAATAGATTTTTATGGCACAGAGAAAGATAGTCATGCGTCAATGAAGTAATTCATACACTTTCTCTGGTTTGGTTTTGGATTTGTTGATTGTAAAAAAAAAAAAAGCAGGAAATAAAGCTGGACTCGTGCATAAACATGAGCTACTCAAGACGCCACGGCTGATCCGTCATATTGTACAGGAAATGTGCCGCCTCTCCCGCAGTCGACTTCTGCCTTTCAGCCAATCACAATGTCAGATCTGTCCTCCTCTCCCTCCTCATTCGCCCTCGCTCTCTTTTCTCACTCTGCCTCGTCTCGCTCCCTTTCTCCTGTCCCAGGGTCACGCTTTAATTAACACTTCAGGTCTTATGAGTTTCTCCACCTCCTCTCCACACGTGCACGCACAGCACACATGCAAGCACACACCCACGCGGTCACGCAGAAACTCTAAGACACACACTTTGTGATCACAAAACCCGGTGCAATAAATGACGATTGGAGGGTACATTTTAATGACTGCCCCCCCCCCGTCCCCCTCCACACACACACACGCACACAATGATTAGCACATCCTGTTTCAATCAAACTGTTCTCACATGCAGTCTGCGAGAGGCGAGCACATTGCTCGTGCACGTGCATGCACAAACGTACCTGTTCGTGGTACTCTATGCCCATTGACAGCGTGTTGATAAGGATGGCAATCATGATTCCTCTGCTGAAGTATCTGCTGCCGACAATGAGTTCCAGTTTAGTCTGGAGTACCGCCCAGTAGCGCTTGCACAGCGCTTTCGTTGGCTCAGACACCTGTGCATCGGCGTGGCGGGGGCCGCTACAGTGACACGGGCTGCTACAGTGACACGGGCTGTTACTGTGACACGGGCTGTTGCCATGGCACGAGTTGCTGTAGCCATGATGCTGATCCTCGGGCCGCTCGTTGACACTTTCGCTGTCCTTAAGCTGGTTGTAGTAAATGCAGTAGGGGCATACTGAGGACTCTCCTTGGACTTCACCTGGCAATGGTAACCCGGGGTGCCCGCTGCAGCCGCCTGCACAGAGACAAGGAGGAGGTGATGGAGACACGTGTCACACCACTCCTGCAACCGTTCTGTCTTCAATCTGTTTTCTCTTTGTTAAAGGAGAGCACCGTCATTTCATTTCTGGGAGACAAAAAAAAATTCAATAACATAGAAGCAACTGTGCAGTTGGGATGTTTTCGTGAAGATGGGAAGATCTTTTTTTAGAACACAGATGTGTGTGTGTGTGTGCGTGTGTGTGTGTGCGTGTGTTGGAGTGAAGCAGGAGTGAATTTCAGCAGAATTCATTTAGAAGCATCTCGGGAGGGAATGGCAATGACATACCAATAAAGACCAATCTAACACGGGCAGTTCACTTGTCATCACAATTATTATAGATATAGGGAAATCCAATCTGGCCGTTCTGCGGTGTGTGTGTCTATAGATAATGTGAGCTGCAAAGGAAACTTTCAGCAGGCAGAGTTGCCGGAAAATGTCTCTGCGCTGCAAAAAAAACATCATTCCGGAGCTTAGGTTTTCAGCGTTTTGGCTGAGTGCATGTCAGCACGTACTGAATAATTACTCACTTGTTTGCTGTATTGCAAGTGTGTCAGCTACAGTTACAATTTATCAGAATTATATTATTTGCTCTGAACCGATTTTACATATCAAGGTCGCGCATATCGGGAGGGAAGAGAGCCTCTGAAAACAGTCCAATGTCTTCTGACTCTGGAGGAGCTTCAAAGGAAGCAGCCTCGCAAGATGTCATTGTTACGTCAAGAGGGTAACCTCGGCTTAGAGATAACAATTTTATTATGGAAAGCATTGTGAATAGAGTTTGAAGGACATGTTGGTCTTTTCGAGCATACCAAGGGTTTAAAGTACATCCTGGCATCTGCTGCGTTCTTTTTAACCACCCACTTTTTATTTTTCCGTGTATCGCGTGTCCCTCAATTTTATGCATGTGCCTTTTTATGGAGCGCTCCTTTAAACCTTTCGCATCTGTCAAACCAGCGCCGTGAATTCCTCCAAGACGAACAGTTATGTCAGAAAGGGTGTGTGGATTATCTGGAGGAAGTTGACATTGTGACTTGATATAGCTGTAGAATTGCAAATATTCACTTCTTGAAGCTGCAGTCGGTAATCTTGAGAAAGTAGCAGGAGTACGCACACTAGATTTTCAAAATGATCCAGCAAAAAAAAAAGCCCACTGTCGTAAACTCTCTTGCAACGAAAGATGCCAAAAGTCCCTAAATCGAAATCCTTTCGGAATGTAGTGTTTCAACAACAAAAATGTGTTTGTTTTTCAAGATTACCTCAAAGGCCTCAAAGTCAACTCCCCTCAGATTTCAGGAAATACCGTGTAAAAGGTCGCTTAAAAGAAATGATTTGGATCAATTGTCAATTGTTGACACCTCAACCTTTAGTCTTGAATGAGTAGTTTGATCTGAGAGTTTTGCTCTTTTGACATCATCATATTTTTGTTGAGGGTTATGACATCTTTTGTCTGCGTTCTTTTTTTTCCCCCCCATCATCCTTTTTTTTGGAGCTTGCAGCTGCTGTTAATGTGTTTTTCTCTTCCCTTTCATCCATCGTATTCCCCAAATTTGTTATTAGCAAATCCCATGTGTGTACAATAACCCATGTGTGATCTTATGTAAGGCTGCAGACAGATGTGTGGCCAAATACCTGAACATAAACACGCCACAGTTATTGAGGTATATTACCAAAAGCTTCTTATTTCTACTTCATGTGCAGACTGCAGCATTTGCAAGCTTTTCTTCTTCTTCATCATCAAAATGCTTTAAGCACCAAAAAGCCAAATTAAATTCACCTCCATTGAGGTGGCAGACGTCTGGGATCTGCAGGTCTTAACGCTGCCGAAGGCGAGAGGGAAAACGCTGTGTTTTGATTTGGGAAACAGAGCCTGAAGGATTATTTTTCTTTTAAAAAGTGTTGAAAGAATAAAGCAAAGTTTCCCAAATCAACCCCGACAAACACAAACATTGCAGCTCTGTTGGCTCTCTTCATTAAAAGAATATCAGCGTTGCCATAATGAGAGGGTCCTCCACATGTAAGATCCAGTGCGGCCTAGGTAGCTATGACCTTAAGAACCCTCGCACTCATTCACAGTCGCACGCCCCACTTCGCGCTCACCGTGCTCCGCCGCCGCCAGCTGTGGCAGCCGGTCCACGGCCTCCTTGGCTACGAGCCTCTTGTGGTCCAGGGCCGTCGCATCCGGGAGGCTGAGGAGGGGCGATATGAACGGATAGTTGAAACCGCTCCCTCCATCTCCATTTCTGACCCCGTGATGATGCTGGGGATGATGATGATGATGCTGCTGATGCTGCTGCTGCTGGTGATGATGCTGCTGATGATGCTGGTGATGATGATGATAAAGCTGATGAAGGTGCGAAAGGTCGCTGGGAACGTGTCCCGAGTGCCGGTGCGCGAGTCCGTTCATCTCTCCGGCTCCGCCCCCTCCTCGGCTTTTCTCCCTGCAGGCGCACATGCACGCGCAGTGGAAGTTTGTGCGCGTCTGGGAGAAGCAGCGGGACATCCGGCGCCACGCCTTGCGGCCCAAGTGCGCCACGTAGCGGATGATCTCCTCGTAGCAGCTCCCCGGTTGGCTGTCGCTGGCCAGCGTGGAAGCCGATTGGTGGAGCTGCCGGGCGCGCTGCTCTGATTTCATCAGGGCGTGCTCCCTCTGTTTAGTTTCAGAAAACTGGGTTGCTATGACGACCAGGCACAGGTTGATCATGAAGAAGGAGCCCACCTGGTCACAAAAATGGGGCACGTTACACTCTTTTGTAACAAACACTACGGTGTGAAGGAGCTGCTTTTCTGCGTGTGTGTACGTACAATAATTAGGAAGATGAAGTAGATAAAATTGTAGAAAGAATGTGCATCCATGACGTAGTACATGATGTCCACCCAACCCTCAAGAGTAATTACCTGCATGGAATCAAAGCACACACACACAGAATGCACTGTGCATCATCATTGACTGATTAAAGATATCTTTATATAAATCATTCCAACATTTACCTGAAAAATGGCAATCCATGCATATCCAATGTTGTCAAAGTTAATAGCTCCTTTGTGTGGGTTCACTTCGCCCGCGCGGCACTCGTTGTAATACCGGTACCAGTTGACACACGACGCCGCTTCGTCTACTTTGAGTCCCATCTCCGGACCGGCCTCCTCGGCGTCCAGGAAGCAGGAAGTCCCGCTGACGCGGCGGCGAGGCACGTCAGTGCATCGGAGCATTCCGTTCTCTCTCTCCATCGAGCAGATGAAGGGGTGGTCGTCGGTGCCATCTGGCTGGTAGTAGCCTCTCAGGAATGAGATGTTATATCTCCTGGAGAAGGCGGCGGGGGGGGCATTACATTATTTATTTATTTATTACACACGTGTTAAGAAATAACTTTTCAACTTCTTTTTTTCCTGTCTGGTGCACTCGGGCTGAAGAACTTTCATGTCCTTGAAAATGGGTCACAGAGATGTAGGTATAGTCGTATTTTTGCATTAAGAGCTGGACACTGCGATTACTCGTGCAGGAGCAAACACGGCATCTATTGCGGATTATTTTCAGTGACGGATTAATAGACATTTGGTGAACTAGTGGGTACTTACAACAACAGGGATTGACTCATTTTGCACCACGATGGAGCTCTATAGCACAGAGGAATAAGCTCCAGTTACATAATTAATGCTCTTTGTTGGTTTTTGTCCAATACGAAACATATTGAATGTCACCGTTCTCATAATCGAACTGACGAAACAATATACATACAACGTGTTTCAGGTCAAATTCAAGTCAAGATTTTACTTCAATTGTTTTAGGAATTATTCAGAAAGACGGAATTTTGGAATCAACATTCTGTTTAAAAAAAAAGATTTGATTGCTTAGACAGAAAGACAAGAAGTGCTTGAGTGGGAAATGAGGAATACAGTGAGGGGAAAAGAGAAAGGGAGAGTGCATTGGAGAGATAAGCAATCAATCTTCTGTGGTATGGAGAAGGGTCACAGAGAAGCAGCGCTCCCTCACTAGTTATTAAGAAAGGTCGTTGTCTTGTTTATGAAGCAGAAAGGAAATCCAAACGGCTAATTGAAAATAAAATCTAGAGACGGATTAGCTGTGGGCAAAGATGCACTGGCTGCTTCTGCAGCAGACTAACACGAGATAAAAGCCAGCAACAAAATGTGATTTTGTCTGTCCTGGTCCAGCTGTCGTATGTCAGAATGAAGTCTCAGGTTCCCGCAACTGTGACGAAATTAGAACAACGCAGTGGAGCTGTTTTCGCTCACGCTGCTGTGTGACGGTCACATAAAAGCTGCTTTGAATCTACGGCTCTACAAAGTGACAACAGAGAATTCCTGGCAAGAAACTGAGCGGCCCGCTCATTCGCTCTTAAATCACAATTACCTCTTAAACCCCGTCTTGTTACTCCAACACCTGCTACTCTACGTGATGGAGGAAGGAATCCCACATCAACACTCGCATCTCCTCTCTCAGACTACACAGGTAATGGGTCTGGCACAAGAGGAGGCCATTTATCGCCACCGACGTTTATGTTACGCTCTGATGGCAGACGGTCGGAACATGTTGTACTATATATATATATATATATATATAGTGAGATATATATTGTAGAATCCCATTTCCATACAATACACTCCGTTAAAGCACCTCCACCCACTGTGACTGAAGTGCATTCCGTCGAGGACTTGACCTCGGAGCAGGAGGGTCGCCCGTTCAAGTCCTCGAACCACTAAGTGTGAGTGTGCGTGGACCCGTAGCTGGAGAGGGCCCCCCCGAGGTCCTTGGAGCGAGGCAACAGACCCTCAAACTGCTGCCTGGAATCGAAAAACTACGATGGGTTCGGATCAAAGGCTAAATTACACACGATGAGAGTAGATTTAAATAAACATAAAGTCGAATAATTGCCTTTCTGACTGTGTCAACAAAAGCGGAATAATTATCCACTCAGCAAAAGGAGGAAATGGTGTCAGAGCTGTTGTGTTGGATTATGCAGGTCTTCCTAATGAAGTGGCTGTGAAAACGTTACGGGGTATCAAGAGACATCCATCTAGATTAATTCAATTCTAGATTCTAAATTGCTTTTATTGACTGTTTGTGCTTAAGCAAAGGGACAACGCTGACTGTTGCAATCGCTCTAACTCTGATGCTTTTTCTTCACCTTGTAGTTTAACGAACGTTTAAAAATAATTTTACCCCGACCCTTAAGGCAAAAGCTTAACCCAACAAGTCACATTTCACTGTGGAGACACAGACTTTATTCAGTACAGTTTGATGGCAGGAAAGCAAATTATATATTTATATATATTATGAACCCGTGAGCCCAAAAAGGTTCACAGAGTAGAAAAAATTCATAACATGAAAAGTAATTTCTTTGAGCTTTAAGGACAAGGATTTATGAGGCAGAGTGGGCGAGACTACCTTGAAATACATTGTTAATGTTACAAGGAGTTGAAGTAAATCATGAACACACTCATACTCATCATATGCCTGAAAATGTTTTGCTTCTTATCTGGTGGAAGAAGAAGCATTTGATTTGTGTTGTTTTAAAATTGTCATTTTATGTGACTAAAAAACATATTTCTCTTAAAAGGCCTTAATTTCTTGTTTTTATGTAATTATTTTACTTATCGTGTGGTATTTCCTTTTTTTATTCACTGCAGTAGACACTGCGTGGTGTTGATTTTCATTTGTTACACATATTTTATTCCTAATTATTTGTATTATTATTATTGATTTATCATCAGTAGTAGTACTGATTTAGTTACATTTCTGTACCTTCATTATAACAAAATGGATTCATATTCCTGCCAGCGGCACAGCAGCACGAAGGCTGATTCGACACAGCATCACCTCTGAATTCACTGTCAAGGATTATTATCTAATCGGGATGGTTGAGCAGATGTGAGGTCGTGTGACCCGACACGATGCTGTCTCATGTTATGTGATATCAGGCCGTCGTGTTTGCGAACACGTGAGCGGGAGCGAGGCCGGGGAGCGAGGCCGTGAGCGAGGCCGGGGAGCGAGGCCCGGGAGCGACGGTGCAACGCCGCCAGTCGGACGGCCATCGAGGGCGACATGAAGTGACGGTGAGACTCCCCGAGAGGCGGCACAAAAGGTTCCCTCTGCCCTCTTAATCCTTTTACTCCCTTGATTTGTGATCTCTAATTCCGGAGGGTCCAGCAGGAAGCGCATGTACAGCGCTTCCTGCCCGACGCCGCTGATTAGGGGAACAAACAAGATCAGACTGTGGTATTGATCCCCCCCCCGAATAAATACTAGCTGAGTGAAAAGAATCTAAATCGGTCGTGAGCTCCTGACACAGTCTCGGGAGCAAAGGAGGTCAATTCCCCCCCCACACTGTCGTGACACCTGCTGGTTACTATGGTAACTCACGTCTTGACATCCTCTCCCATGAAACAGCGGTTCCTCAGCAGCCCCGCCCACAGCTGCACGCCAACGATGCCGAAGATGAAGAAGACGAAGAAGCACAGCGCCAGCACGTTGCCCAGCATGGGGAGAGTGTCTAGGAGGAGGGTCACCAGGATACGCATACCTGCCAACACACACACATACAGCATAAACATCATAGGCTACTGTGCCTACTTCTACCAGCGAATATCGGCTGGATTTTACGTCCTTTTACGACTTTACGACTGCTCGGTTCGTGCGACGAGCAAGAACCAACAATGTTTTTCCATGACTTTGTTCGCCGCGTCCTGTCTGTTCTAAACATGCATCGATCCAAAGGAAAGCAGCAGCCGCTGGAGGCAATGAGATGCGGTGGGATTTACGGGTCAGTCGCAGCTTACGAGGACGGTGACACATTTTTCATTGCCTTGGCAATGAATGCAACCGCTGACTTTCAGCTCAGGGTGAATTGCATCCCTTTTTACACATTTATTGGACACTAAGTATGTTGCCTACCGATGCTCGTCGTGCCTACACACATTCATCTTCACTTTGGTAGTTTTTAGGGGATTGTTGCCATGAATCAAACGCACAATGAGTTGGATTGCACTCAGGTCAGCGAGTGGTCGATTCACTAATGTTATGCGTTTTGGCCATAAAAAAAATCTCCTTAATTGCCTTCTTTTTTTCTCTTTACAGCCTTTTGAAGTGTTGCATTGTTCTAAGATTAGCTGAGTCCCGTGCTGTTGTTGTAGATGTGAAGAAGTTCCTAGTCAGCACTTCATCCTCACAGTAACTGTTTCATTTGAAAGCCACTGTACTTGAGTACAAAGCCAAAGGATTCATAGGCGGCCGTAAGTGTCAGTGCACAAGTCGGTGCAGTGTGTGTTAGTGTGTGTCGGAGGAGAGAGGACAAAAACTCACTGGGAACTCTGTTGATGGCTCGCAGCGGGCGCAGGACCCGGACGGTCCTGATGGCCGACAAGCTGACATTGTGTCCGTCGAGCGAGTACTCCAGCATCCTGCGGAGAGGGGAAGCCACTGCGGTGTCACCGGCGGGCCTGATCCGCCTGACCCCCCGGCGAGCGCCGGGGCGCCGCGCGCGGCCTCCGGGGCGCAGCCTTTGAACCACCAATAACCGAGGTCCGTGTCTCGCAGGACCGAACGACGCCATTGTCATTCCGCGCACACACACACACACACACACAAACTTCCTCGGGCACGTCTAAGCACGCGCACACACACGCTTGACATTTAACTGGCATTAAACAAGTGTCCAAGCGTTACACAAAACGCACACAAACACACACAATTTTGGCTCATATTTAATGTCAGATGCGCCTGTGTACATGTGTACGCGTGCGTGTGTGTGTGTGTGTGTGTGTGTGTGTTAAACACTCACCCCACAATGACAATGAAGAAGTCCAATCTGTTCCATGTGTCGCCAAGGTAACCGTTGTGACCTATGACCCCAAGAGCCACCATCTTCATTACCATTTCCCCGGCAAAGAAAACAAAGATTCCATCATCCAGAGCCTGCGTTCACGCACACACACACACACACACACACCGAGAGTATTAGTGTAAACTGAAAAAACTTTTCAGACCCTTGATTATAAAGTCTCAAAGCTGAACATAATTAGTTTGTCATTTCAGATTGTGTGTGCGTGAGGTTGTGCGCTTTACCTGCAGCAGGAAAGGCGTGTGGTCACAGGGCTGGAACATCCCGAGAGTCACACAGTTCAGCAGGATGGCCAAAATGCTCACGCGCTCAAACCATGTGACAGAAGGTTAAGGGTCATCACCACGGCGGGGAGTGAACAACGTTATGACATTATTATTACGCGTCACACTTCGCCTGCTCCCTCAGCATTAAGCGGCTCTATTAGCTCTCAGGATGCCGGTAGGAAGTAACCCCCCAAACACAAGATATCAGAAGGATCAAAATCCAAGTTCGACAAAGTCCCGTTACATTCCAGAGAGAGCTGATATCTCCAAAACCAGGCAACACTTGCCAAAACAATCTATGATTGATACAAATCTGTCCAGGAAAAAGGGAAAATATGACTTTGGGATGAACCGTGCTTCGGAGATTGGATTGCGAGGGGATTTCAGTCACGGATTCCACAAGTGTCGGGAACTCTGCGGGAGAAATGAACACCATTCTTCCCGAAGGATTTTGGCGCCCAATGTCCAACGAGTCTGTAACATATCACATCGACATCTGGCGACTGTGAAGACCAAAGGATACGATTTTGATCCTTTTAATTCTCATCAAACCACCCAGTGACCCGTGTGCCCTGCGTGGAATGAGCTGCATTCATAATGTTTCTCTGCTCATTTATTCAGGTTTTTCTTTTGATTCGTCATCCGTCGGTGTCTAGTCTATGGTAATGTCTGCAAAAACCCAGGGGGACCCTGAGGAAACTGACTGGTTGACTTTAACCGGCCAGCCATGAATATCTTTCAGTGTACAAACCATTGCCGGAATGATATTACAAATGATCTGTGAGCAAGCACGCGCAACTCAAATCTCACAGCTCACAGCTTGTGAAATCAAATCTGCAGGCGAAAAAAAAACAACTGACATGAGGCTGGAAACCAGCTATAATACGCTTAAGTGTATCAACTTGAATTCATAAGCACAACATCAGACAGGACATTTTGACATGTTTAATGCTCTCGACTACAAATGGAAGGCAGCTACCGTGAAGAAGTCGGCAAGGCATTTCGAGTCAGTTTAAGTATAAACTTGCTTATGGTGGCTTTTTGTGCGTCTGTGTTCCTCGCCGGCTGTCAAACGGGAAGAAGGAGCGCGGCTCAGAAGTGGAACGCAAAGAGGTTTAAAGGCAGAAGGAGTCTGAAGTAGAACGTTGAGGGGAAAGATAGTGTTGGCTTCACACAAACACGCATGCACTCGCGTTTGAGCACGAATGTGAAAAACTGCTGAATGGTTGACAGGAACGTACTCCAGAGCCAAGGACGCGTACATAACAAAGCCTGCAGCCCGCACACGGACACACGCACATAGACACACGTGTGCGCGCGCACACAGAGTCCTCTGCCCGCACACTTTGCTCTCAAGAGGGCAGAAAAATTAATGAGAGTACAATCCTTTATCACCCTTGAGACACACAATATATGAGGGGAAGTGAGAGAGAGAGAGAGAGAGAGAGAGGGGGAGAGGGGGAGAGAGAGAGAGAGGGTAATCCAGTGTCCTCCCTTAGCTGTGGTTGCCATGGGAACCCCCATCTCACCGTGGGAACTGACTCCTGAGTCTCACAATCCGCTTGCATCCTGTCTGGACTGGAACACAATTAATACGCACACATAAACAGCCAAACACGCGCGCACAATAGAAAAAGACGTCCTTCAGCGCGACTCCATCTTTAATTACCTCAATGCTGAGGAGGGTCAATCTAATCCTGCTCCCTCTGTACGCGTTACATATGTGTTGCGTAACCATGGGCGTCCATGAGATACACGCACGCGGGGTGGGACGAGGGACGGGGGCCGGGTGAAGGTGGGAGTGATGGAAGAGGTGGGAGTATTTCCAGTGTTGGCCCATCATTCAATATCAGTGATGAAATACAGCGGGGGCATCCTCTCGTCTGATTCGCTCTATTCACTGCCTTTCCTTTATCTTCCATCACGGCCGACCTTCCCCTCTATCATTTCTCATTTTCCTCCACAGCCCTTTTCCCCTCTCTTTGGCCCAATTATTTTTTTCTCTTTGATCCGCTCCTCCTGCTCTCCGTACGTCCCTCTTCATTCATATAGGGTGGCATAATTTCACATCTTCCTTCCGTATCATTTCTTGCATATCTTTTGTGCTCTCCAATCTGCACACATACCGTAAGCTCCTGTAAAACCATCCTCCTCTTCTCCTCAACAGAAGACCCTCGGGACGAGCTTCGGTCTTTCTGGCAGAAACCCGCGGTCTCAGCCAACAGATAAACCACAACTACGCTTAATATTTTAACACGGTCAGGCGGATGGAGAGCAGAGAGACTGACAGGGTGAGAAACACGCATGTACATGCAGAAAGGGAGAGGTGTTAAGAGAAGGAACCACGTGGCAAGACAACGAGGGGGAATTAAGAGACGAGGTGAAGAAAAGCAGCGGGATGAAAGAGGTTAACACTCCGACTCCAAGAGCTGTAAAGTGTAAACAACTGAAAATGTTACGTGGCCTCGGCGCTTTGTTCTATCTCCCTAATTGCCTCATCTTCTTGTTCTCGCTCCCCTTCCTCCTTGTCTGTCATGCACCCCCCCAAACTCCCCAACTCTCTCTCTCTCTCCTCGAGTGACAACACAGGTAATAAAGGTCAGGCAGACATTATAAATCAAATCAGATCACATCTCCCTGATCTTTCTGGCATCATGCTCCGCCCTTGGCTCGGAGTCACATGCTAAGGGCAGCATGTGGGGACATTTTTATAAGCAACGTTCATTAACTAAAAAGGATCATCCATAGGGACACACAGGCCATCTGGATGCACACAGAATATGTGGCCACATTATCTGGCTTGGAAAGGTTTTAGGTTTTCCAATGTGGCTTCCGCTGTCTAATATATCCAATATGTCTTTATATATCAGTTGCAAACCATTAAGGAGAACAACGTCTGGGCTGCCGGGTTGTAAAATCCACTAGTTGGTGTAAATCCTCCACCAGTGTGACACTTTGTCTTTTTACCTTAATCTTGAATGCATTAGAAAGACTTCTCCACTCGACTATTATGCACCCTCCAAAAAGGTTCTGTAAAATGTCTCTGGAGAATGAGGAAGAAAACTCATTTGTAACAGCTTATTAATAACATTAACATGACGTAAAGTCCATTCACTGATGACTTACTAGCATTTATAATTGCAGACCTGCTGGCTTGTTACAAATGGAGTAACCAGCGGGTGCTTATTAATCACTTTTTAACTAAAAGATGGTATCATTATTTAGCCACGGCACATGGCTCTGTGGATGGCCATGTTATTTCACTGGTTTGCCACTGCAGACTGAAATATTTAAACAGCTACTTGCCGTGAAAACAAATTCATTCAGCCAAGCGGATGTATTGTAAAGATGAAGGTGATCATCTGTGTTTTCATCACCATCATTACATTGAATGTTTCATTTGTCACATAGTTAGATTTATGATCCAATATCCTAATGGCAAATATAATTGCTGACTGTTTTAAACTAAATATTCTTAACTCACTGTTTAACCGGGTAAGACTTGATAGACCAATTGATACATTGATAACAAAATAACACGTGTTTTGAATGAAAATCCTCATATTTTTACTACTGAGTATGAATGAGCAACCTGCTCTTTGCTTTAACTCTGCATTCACACACACACACACACACACACACACACACACACAGACTTGATTAAATGTAACCTAGTTGAGCTCGACGTCTGTCATGTGCAGTGTGTGTCTGTGTGTGCATGTGTCTGTGTGACAGAGAGTGTGTGTGTGTGTGTGTGTGTGTGTGTGTGTGTGTGTGTGTGTGTGTGTGTGTGTGTGTGTGTGTGTGTGTGTGTGTGCATGAGAGAGGAAGCGAGTGTGTCTGAAATGAATGTTTCTGAAGTTAAGATACTGTGAAGTTGTCAAATCTTTCGGCTCCACCCCCTCAGAGTGTGACAGCTGGTAACCATGGAAACACGTGCGGGGAATCATGTTAATTGGCTGAAATGACGGCTCACCCTACTTTGAGTAAGACCATCGTTGTATCCCTGCCCCCCCCAACCCCCGTCTCTCCCCGACGCGCACACACACACACACACGTGCACACTCACACACGCACGTGCACACTCACACACACGCGATAACCCAATTAAGAGGCAGTTAAAAAAAGAGAAATAGAGTGATAAATAGGAGGGCAGGGGCTGGATGTTGAGTAAAGGATGATAGAAAGATTGAAGAGAGAGAGCGCAGACGAAGAAAGGCAAGCAGAGAAAGGTACAAGCATAAGAATGACAGATACAGCTTTTCTCATCTTTGAACAAAAGGAAACGCTCTGAATGTTTCATGCACTGCTGAATAAGTTATGTTATGCGTGTGAGTGTGTGAGCGTGTGAACGCGCGTGCGTGTTGCGTGCACGCCTGCGCACCTCTGCACACGCATGGGCGTGTTTCTTTGTGTCATACTATGTTGCATGGAAAAGCTCAGCATTCACAAACTGGGCACCTTGTTCCAACCCAACATCTTCTCCCCCTCCCGAGGAAATAAATAGGAAGAATAATACAAAGACTATATATAAGACTTATATAATAGCAAAAGCCATCGTTGTTTTGGTGCCAAGTGCATGTTAGATAGATGTGCTGTAGGGCGGAGAGGTGTACAGTACGCTGTAAACATGGCACTGAGGAGGACGACTGTGTTTCTAAGAGGGGGGACATGGAAGGACATGAGATAGGAAATGAATTTGTAATATGTACTGAGTGCAATAAAAAAAAAAAGAAAAGGCAGACAGGAAGGAGGGGTCACCTCAGGAAAAAATGGGACTTGTAGCTCTTGGGGGACTGCCCCCCTCCCAGTGCGCTCACATTAATGTCCCTGTCAAACAACGTCCACCCACATTACTTCCCCCGCAGATCACTCACACACACACACACGCTGTAAGAAGTATCAACATATACAATTAACCGTATAATGGGACGGGTGCCCGTAGGCCGCGCTGTGTGGACACGCAAACAGATGAGACGACTGACGGACCCGCAGACGCACACAAAAACAAACAAGTGCAAACTGCAATCGGAAGTGGCTGGGCGTCGAGGGCAGAGCTACGCTGTTGCCAGGCAACCAGGTGATTCCTCCAAAGTGCCTCTCCATGGGAGATTCCCTTGTTTGTGTGAGGGCATTCACACACTTGTTTGTGTGTGCGTGCGTGCTCGCCTGAATGTGTGCACGAGCGAGTGTGTGTTTGCAAGTGTGTCGAGCAAGTTAGTGCTGACACAGTGAGCGTAAAATAATCTTTGCGACCATGGTAACAACCCAGCAGGCTACGGGGGGACTTGAGTCGATGGCAGTTGTAGTTTTCTTTTTTTTTCCTTTTCCTTTTGGTGTACATTTTATTTATTCAGCAATTATGTATTTATATTTCATAGAGAACACAGAGTGCTGACGGCGGCAAATACCCAAATACCCAACAACACACGGAAAACACACACACATTGAGTCATGAGCAGCGGAAAATATTCAATTTGGAAACCCTTCACAAATCCCTGAGGTGTTGCTGACGTTTATACATGCTTCGGAGTATTCATAGCCGCTCACACACACGCGCTCACACCTTCACGTCACCGCCGGCAGTGGATAGAGAGGTTGAGACGGGGTGTGAGAGACTGGGAAGGGAAGGGGAGTGAGTGATGGAGACAAGAATCCTTACTATTTGTGACTCCTTCTGCTGCATAAACGGAGGCCAGTAACAATGCCACTGACAGGCAACTGTAACCCTGGAGATTCATTAGGGGCTCGTCGCCATGGAAACCACCAATCGGGGAAAGACGTTACACATCTTTTCGAACACCTAATGGGTCCAAGGAAATACCTTATACACCAGCACACACGCGCACGCACACACACACACGTGCATGGACATGCACGACACTGACCTTCTTCCAGTCGCTCTCGTGTTTAGAACTAAAGTAAACATCTCTGCGCTACGTGCCTTGTAGGTACAACGGCTTTGAGAGAGTACAGAGCTGAAACACAAACAGACAAAGTGTCTCTCACATTCATTCGCTTCCTCTATGGAGAAACGCACACGCACGCACACGAGCGCACAAGTTTGCCGTGCTTCAGGTGCACTGGGCGGCGGTGGAGGATATGGGTGGCAAACAGCTCGAAGGCACCAGGAGCGGGGAGGGCTGGTTTGGGTCAGAGCCAAAAGCACCACTGGTGCTAGAGTGGGATACGGCAGCTCCTCTTTTTCCTCTTCCTCCTCCTCCTCTTCCTTCCCGTCTTGCTCCCTGTCCTCTCTCTCCACTGACACGTGCACCTTCTCCCTCTCCGCCTCGTCCTCCTCATTCCGTTGCTCCCGCGTTGGTCCTCTGCGCTGCTCATGCAGGTCTGAGTCCTGGTTGCCCGTCATTGCTGCGCTGTGAACAGCCTGAACCTAAAAACAAAAAAAAAGGGGGGGGGGGGGGTGCAGGGGCAAATGTCACGTGTGTGTGTGTGTGTGTGTGTGTCTGTGTAAACCATGTACGATTCGGCTGTTTTTGGAACTGCAGACTGGAAGTGCGCCGATTGTCTGTGCCTCTTTCTCTGAAACAATGAGCAACCTTCAGGGGGAAGAATCGCAGCCAGCGAGGAGTCTTGTGCAGGAAACATAAATCTACGAAAAACCTAAACAGAATGAACCGAGGGGACGAGAGCAAAGGGCGCAAACACAGAGTCGGGCAGCAGGAAGCACTTAGACCACTTCATTTTAATCCTGCAGCTGTACAATTCAGTGATGACAACAGGCCATTACTGCTGATGCTTTTAATCCACATTTTACAATCTGGACATACAGAGAGAAAGTAGCTTGGGTGGCTTATCGTGTCACTTTAAAGAGAATAAAGTCTGGGCTGTATTCGTTTTCATCGTCACTTGCCACTCATGGTGGTTCCGTATCATTCTCCGAGTTATCATTTTTCTTTAAGCTACGATTTCACTTAAAATGTCATGACATGCAGTGACTTTGTCAAGTCACAGTCGCTCGCGGCCACATATCACAAGCACCACCAGGAATTTCTTGAAGCATTGGACTGTTACGCAGAAAATGTCAAATTGAATGACGTGATCTCTGTTTAAATTAAGAGCGTGATCACCAGAGCGGACTCATTCCCTAATTTGAATTTCATCACATGTTCTGCAGTGTACAGCGGAGTTTGGCAGCATGTGACACAGCCCTGAATGTCTCAAGTGCACAACAAACGCTCCCCCGCTGGCCCGGCGCATGCTCACTCCACCGCTCGCTGATCCCCCCTGAGATCCTGGAAATGTATTCCAAAGCTAACAGTGTGTTATCAAGTTGGAGCAAGAGCTGCATTATTTGGAAAAGGAACATAAAGAACAATCAGGACAGAAGCAGTGAGGGCCAACAGAGAGTGCGTGCAGGCGTCACACTCCTTGGCTGCCGTGTGACAGGACGAGAGGAAGAGCTGGCACGGACGTCCGTCGAGAGGAGCGTTTCTCCGTATGTGCGTTAGATGAAAATAATGAGATTGAATCCGCCACTATCCTTCCTTTCCTGTGTATTTTTATAACGGGCACGTTGCCTGGATTGTGTGAGGGGTCCAGGGCCGCGCTGTTTTAAGGCGTTTTGTTGCGGTTCAACAGTGGCTGATGGGCGGACATTAATCAACCGTCGCAAAAGAAGAAAGCCGTTCTTCTGCACAGTTAAAAACCTGCTGATGAGTCTTTTCAAACGACTTTAAAAACTCATTATGAGCCTCATCTCGCCAACGGCCCGGCCAGGTGGAAATCAAATCCTCCTGCCAACCAGTCACCAAAATATATTCCCACCTCTATGAAACAACATTAAGTTTATTATTCCTTCCCACTGTGCACTCATGATCATTTTACCTGGAAATGTACAACCACGTGATGCTCAATGGCAACAACAAATATCCATAAATATGAATATTCTCTCTTTGTTATTCAGTGGTATACAAAAGAGACACATATATACCGGCAATGTAAATCTACAGCCTTTCCCAGGAATACACAGAAGCGAAAACAGTAATTCAAGAATTAACAATAGAATCATATAACATTTAGAGCCATCCTCATCATCAAATGATGATATAACACATTTATATAGATATAGATATATTTCTCTCTCTATATATATGTAAATATAAGGCTACCATCAAGCACGTTGTGGCCATCAACTTATACACCACAACTCTCTACCTGGTTATGAGAATATTATTTAAATGTCTTCCTTTATGAGGAAGACACAGCGCCATTGACAAAGAGCGACGTTGGGATGTGGACCCTTTCTATTGTTCCACGGGCATTGACCAAGCCCGGCGCCCGGGACAGGAGAGCAAAGACAAAAGTATAACACGGCACGAAAAACAAAACAAAAAAAAAAAAACTTTGGGATGCTTTTCTTACCGGGATGCAGCGTCCATCCACCGGCGTCGGTCACTCCGGGTCCGCCGCGCGCCCCGAGCTGGAGTCCTGGCTCGCCATCCGAGCGCAGCCCGCGGTTCCTCCCCCTGTTTTTTCCCCCCCCCCCCCCCCGCCCCCTCCCCTGCAGATATCCAAACTCACCCCGGCAGTCGGTACTCGGGAGGATAAATAAAACGGGTGGGGTGGGGCAGGGGAGGGGGGCGCGGAGGGTGATAAAAGAGAGCAATGTGGCGTAAAAGTTGAAATAACCGGGGGAAAAGTAAAGTTGAATTCAACCGGTTGCCTCTCACCCCGTGCGTCTGCGTCCCCCTCAGCCGCTGGACGCGCTCTGCGGCGTTCAGGTGCCGGAGTTCAGGCGCACCGGGGAGGGAGAGGCGCGTCAAGCCCGCCGGAGAGAGGCGCACCGGAGACTCCTTCAAAATAAGACGGGCCAGTCGCGGAAGCCACGCGGTCGCCCGAAATATCGATGGTTTCATCATTTATAAAGAAATATATCGTGGGCACCTAGGTTGAGTTTGATACAAATATCGAGCTGTTACAGGTGAGTTATTACACCTGGAATAGCGCACCATGAATCGGTTCTTGAGGGTTTTCTTTTCTTTGTATAAACTAGAAACTAACCCGTTAGGAGCAGAGCACTTGGCAACCAGATGATAAGACACAACTGGTCTGCACATTAGCTTGCTAGAATTTCACTTGCTGTTACTGTACTGTTAATTTATATTGCACACATTTAATTTAATTTAAGTTTTTCTTTTACAACCTGCTCAGTTTTGCACTTTTCCCCTTACCTCATTTCTGCCTTAGCCTTACCTCATTTTTATTTTTATTTCATGTACATTTATGTAAATTCATTTTGGTATTTTTTATTTTAATACGGCTTTCCAGAAAAGGCAAGCACAAGAATTTAAATACACAGGGCGTGTGTGATTGACAATAAAAATCTTTGAATCTTTGAATAAGCAGCTGCTCGACTGTGCTAAAGTGAATATTGGTGAGATGTAACGTGCATTAATGAAAACAGCAAATGTTCACCTTCTACGCGTCAGGGACTTGACATGAATTAATTGTCATGCTGACTTGTTGTGCTCATGTCTGAGTGAATTATACAAATAATGACTGAAAACGATGACCGTTTTATTTTGAAGGTTCTGGCCGAAGAGCTTTATTCTCGATCCCAGATAACTTGACACTGACGGAGCGAGTCACAGCATGTGACTTGTCCGCTCTCCTCCGCCTCAAAGTCCCCCCCCCCCCCATCCAATATCCCTCCGAGTGTCTGTCTCTGCACGCCGGTTGTCTCACCAGCCACGATGGTGCTGGTCACTCAGCAGGGAGGAGGATTCACTACACCCAAAGGTGGAGCAGAGCTACGACACTACGACACAGCCACAACATCAAGAGAACGATGAATAACTTCACTCTACATTAGCATTCATGTTATAATAGTGGAAATGATATCAAGATCCTCAGGTATCAATACTTTAAATGTTATATATTGTTTAATCTATAACACTGTATGATATTTCAGGGATAATAAATTGACCCCAATGACCCCTCTGTGAAGAGTGGGTAAGGCGGCTGCTTCACTCAAGTACAAAATGTGCATCCACCTGTCAAAGAACATTTTAAATCAAAGTTTTTTTCATTACCCCCCCCATCAAAAACAAGGCTGTTACATTCTAGATGAGGAGTGAGGAGGGTGAAAAAGGTAGAATATTCTACCTTCTCATTTTCCTGGGAGCTCAGTCCGATTCCATGAAGGCCCGCTGGCGGTCCCCGGATCCCACTTTGGGTTCTGATATTAGAGCTGCAGTCCAGTAGGTCTAAGCAAACAGCTTCCAGGGAGCAAAGTCGTAAATGTCCTCCTGCCGATTGTTTAATATCTACACACGGCTTCCACATCACTTTCTGGTGGCGTTCCGTTCGATGCTTACACTCATCGGGGGTCCCAAGGCAGCAGCTCTGAGGGGCTATAACGCTCATTGAACAAATGCGGAGGCATTAAAAATAGACAAACTACTTTGCTATTTTTAGGCCGTATACGAACGTTGGCAGGTGAGGGACGGGAGTGGGAAGCACAGCCTTTGTTTTTATAAAAAGGCAAGAATTTCAGCAGGTAAATTACTTTAAATACCTGTCGACAATTATTGACAGTGACAAGTCACCTTTGAGCCGGCTGGATAAAAGTTTCTTCCTCTCTCCTCGGGATGCTGCGGAGCCTCAATGGCAGCGAACACATTACGCTCTCCCGCCTCATGTCTTTGTCTCCAGGGACGAGTTGAACCAGGACCGGATAGTCCATTGGAAAAGAATCAGACCAAAAAGGCAACCCAGGAGGATTATGACACCACCCCAACTCTTCACACATCATTCCAGCTGCTGCCACGTGGCAGGTGGCTCAAGGTTTTTAGGCCGTATCCTGGGAACAACGGTCAAAGGTGTAATGTGTGTCGTCTGCGGTGGCTGAGACAAGATGAAACTTCAACATGTGTTTGTTTTTTTGCTTTTCGAGATGAACATCATCATCTTGTCTCCAGACATAAAGTCAGATGATGGCCTGAATTCACCTGCACGTCGAACGCCAAGCCGTGGAGATATCCCGCTCTGACTGACGCAAAGCGGTGCGCTCGCAGGCTGTCTGGATCCACCAACTCGCGTGGCTGGAAAACAGCATGAGATTTTCACTCAGAGCAGGGAAACACCAGGCAATACCCAATTAACGCCCACCCCCGACAAGGCTCCTCGCAGCTCTCAGATCTGTCGGAGCAGCGGCGCGCGTCAAACATTTAGCGTGTCTCAACAACAGAGTTAAAGAATCTAGGACACATTGAGCCACAAAAAAACACACACAAGACCTCTACGGCTAACGTCTGATGAGCATTGCTGGATGCCTCTGTGTGTGTGTGTGTGTGTGTGTGTGTGTGTGTGCTGGCAGTAATCGGTTGTTACTGGGTCTCACGGCTGTGTGTTGGCTTTCCCTTCTCCTTCCAGCTCGCCTCATCCTTCTCCCACTTACTGTCTCCTGTAACTCATGCAAGACTCTTTCTGCTCCGCAGAATCCTTTCATGCATTTTTCACTCCTTCATTGCGGTGTTGTGTGTCCACATGATGGTTCACATTAGTCCCTGAAATGCACTCGCACTTACGCACACGGGCAGGGATACCTTCCCTCTGTTATCGGCTGAGGATGGGTATCTAGGCCAAACATTATTATCGCCGTGTGGTAGGCGCCCCTTGGGTGTGTTTCCATGGTGACCATCGCATAACATCGTATGCAGGGACGTGTTTTATTCCCGGGCATCGTCCCGACCGAATTCACGCGGACACAAATTAAATCACAGATCAATAATCCCGATCAATCATTGAAATTGCCATGGCAACCACTCGAGGGCACGTCACGCTGCCAGGCTGGAACACTGTACACACGTGCAGAAACTCATGAGACTACTTCTCTGTTTGACCTGGTGTCACACACACACACACACACACACGTGAATGTTCATCTACACAGTTGAATTATTTAGGTCTTCAGATGTTTTGCTGTATTTTAGAAAGAACAACTGGATTTCACTCGCGTTCTTTTTTTTTTTTTAACATCATTTATGGAAATCACAGGACACAATCTCCTCTCGCTGTCTCTCTCTCTCTCTCGCGCGCCTCCTCTGTGTCGTGTTTGCAAAGCATAAATGCATCGTGGTCCACACAAATGCATGGGCGATCATGCACACACATCTATGACAGGATAAGAAAGCCAAGAGAGTTTTGTTGTGACGCGGAGGAGCACCTTTTCTGACATTCGGCAGGAGTGAAGTTGCTTAGCAACCTTTGGCCCCAACGACAGGAAATGATGTCCCGCTTGTAAGGCAAAACATAAGCAGACAGACAGACAGGCGGAGAATGGGTGCACACAAGCACACACACCTGTGTGCGTGTGTGTGTGTGTGTGTGTGTGTGTGTGTGTGTGTGTGTGTGTGTGTGTGGACGTACACAGATGCATAGTCAACCGTGCTAGAAAGTAGATTACAGGAATAAAGTGTTGTGATGATGATAATCTGTTAAAACACAAAGTATACTAATCTTCTGTAATGGTCTCACTGAACTCTGAATCCATTAAGGCTGACCCTACACATATATATATATACACAGTACATCCACACAAACACACAAAATGCATGCATGAAGCAGAGCATGCGTGTACGAGCTGCTGTTTAGGGGAACATATCAACGCTGCTCTCTAGGTACATGCACTTGCAACATGCACACACATACACACGAGCACAATGAAGCGTGTGGCTGTGTGCACATGTGGGGTTATATTTTGCAGCTGAGGTATATGAGAGGAGACCTTTTACTACTAATCCGTTCCCCTCCCGTGATTAAAGTCTCAGGACTCACTGCGCCACACGGTGGTCAGTGCGCCTCACCGCACTCGTTTCCCCGTGGGAGCTTTTTGATTTAATTATTCATGTCGGTAAACGAATGAGCTGCCAAAGAGCCCGAGACTCACCGGTGGGTCTGAGGATCCGCTTTTGAGGACATTTTATCCTCTGTGAGTAATCCAGTTCCTTCTGAATATGTTTGTATCGTATATATGTTCTTTTACCACCTTTATGTGCGCTATTTTATTTTCACAAATATCACTAGTAAAAAGAAAGGGTGTGTGGGATTTTAAGTTAATGTTGCTGCTATCGAGAACACTTTCCACAAAGACCACACACACATAGTTCATCATGAGGCCACTTATTAAATTCAACTCATTTTATTTTGTATAGCCCAAAATCGCAAATGACAAAATCTGCCTCAGAGGGCTTTACAGTCGACACATGCAACATCCTGTCCCGAAACCCTCACATCGGCACAGGAAAAACTCCCCAAAAAAAGAAAATCCCTTCCATGGGGGGAAAACCAGTTAATAATACATTTAGAATGCTTCATGAAGACATTTCACTTAAGTGAGCAGACAAACTAACTTATGATACATTATCTATTGTAGCAAAGTATGACTTCTTCACTACAGTCGAGTGTATGAATAATCAAGATGTGTCAAGAGCCCCATCGCTCTGGTTCATTAGTCCCAAGCGTCCAA